GCAGCCAGGAAAAAATACCATTTGCTTTAGTTCAAAAGTTTAGAAACCATTGCAGTATACTTGTTTACATGACGACTGTTAAAAGCACTTCACCACACTCTCCACACTGTTGTAGAGTCTCCATTCATTCGGAAGGAAGCTTTGAATGGAAACCCCATACAGCCTGCAGAAAAGAGTTGGGAATGTGTAATAACAGGGCTTGGTGGGATGCCATACCCATGTTGCTTACCTGTTGCCTTTGGCAGAGCAGGTAAACTCAAAGCATGGTGTGGCACTAGCAATGCATCTCGCCATCCTAATGTCCAGATGGTGTGTATGTGCACAGATATGACCAATAATGTGTAACCCCTCCCCATAAACATTACATTCTAAAGAGTACCTCTGCTGGGCATATTCACTTAATACTCTACATGCATATATCCCATATAGACCTGGGGTGAAGAACCCATTGCCCTCTAAATGTTGTCAGGCTGCAACTCCTATCATCCCTGGCCATTGGTCATGCTGGCTCGGGTTGATGGGAGTTGGAGCCCAACAATATATTGAGAGCTGTGGGTTCTCCATTCTTTATTGCACCAAATGTGTGGAGACCAAGGGTAGGGGTACGGAATGCAGGCACGATCCCTATTATGCACCGACTAAGGCCAGTTTACTGAATTCCGCACAGAGCATTTGATCGGCAGCATTGCGTTGGATGACTTAAGCCTAAGGAAAAGAATGGGATTCCTATTTTTAAAAATGAAGTTCACTGTTGACAATAATACATGTAATTTATAATGAATTATCCGTGAAAAGTAGGTATTTTTCAGGTGTCGTTGAACTACAGATCCCATCATCCCTGACCACTGGCCATACTGGCTGGGACTAATGGGGATCCAGCGTCCAGCAATATCTGGAGGCGACAGTTTCAATGGCTATCCTTAATGCAAACATTCTTTCCAGTAAGGAATGGCTGCTTTTAAACAGATACACAAGACATATTGATATTCTTGCAAAACCCTTCTTTGGAAACCTAACCCTTTAATACTAAACACATTTACTTAGCCAGTTCACACATGCACATAGAGGCAGTAGATTTCTTGGCACATGCAGCTGAATGTGTGAAATAGACTCCCTTGGAGAGCATAGTGCCAGAAGAAGTGGGAGGTTATGTGAATTAAGTTTGATCAGGATGGGTTGACAGAAGAATCAGTATCATGTCTGAGGATGGCCTCAGCATTGTGCTTCTTGGTGGGGCCTGCCTGTGTTTGTGCCTCAGCATATATGTTGGCAGGCTTACCTGGTGATGAGCAGTAACGGTGATGATGGTCGAATGAGTTGTGGTGCCTTGGAGGAATCCAATAGTGTAGAAGCCACCCTTATAGTTTCCCACAATACCCCACTGCAGCACATTATCAGAGTGTTCGAAAGCACAGCAGGAAATTTAAACAGTGACTCGAAGCCATTTAGTGGGCTGTCTTGTTAGAGCACCAGGAAAAGGGAGCCCAGGCCTAGTGTCGGCAGTGGGCACTGCTGAGTCTCTAGCAGCTGCCTGAGGATCCCAGTGACTGATGCTACAAATGAAGAATGAGGAGATGACTAGCAGACCATAGCAAACTCCGCTTGCTATGCAGTTTGTATTTGCAGGAAGGTTTTGGTTGAAGGGGGTTAAATATGCTTGTTGGTCCTCTATGTGTAGCCTGAAGTAGCACAGTCCAGTCTCCTTCCTCAAAATGACACCATCTTCTGTGAGATATACATATGCATAGACCACCCCCTGGTACAATGGCACCTGGCTGAGGTCTCCGCTCTCTTTCTCTTTGCTTTCTTTTTGCTGTATTCTGTCTTCATTTATTCTGTAGCGTGCTCCATTAATGTGAATGAAGGAGGGTGTTTTAAAAATATGCTTTAAAAAGGGTATACTTGGAGGAACCATAGAGTTGGAAGGGATCCCACGGGTAATCTAAGTCCAACCTCCTACAGTGCAGGAATCTCAACACATGGTTCCCCATCAAATTTGAAACCGTAACAGACCCTGCTTAGCTTTACAAGTGGTTGGGCTAGCAGTTTTATTGCTGTGCCACTAGGAAGCTACTCCTTGTCCTACAATACGCTATTGCCAATTCAAAATTGATTTAACCAGATGTGGCTTGTGAACCTGAAAGCTGTGCCCTGTATGGGGCCTTTTAGTGCTCAAGTGTGAGCATTTACCTGCCTATGCACTAGAAAGAAAATGCACCTGCTTATTACTCCAAGCTTGCTGGGGCCAAACTTGCTAGCATTTTGGCATTTAGCAGATATGGATTTTTTTAAAGTGTAAATAGCTGCCACTAGAAGGGGAATTTTATCCTTTTCACTCCCTGCCATAATCCTGACACACACACCCCAGTGTTGCTATTTGCACATGGAGGAAGGTTGGCATTAAGGGGATCTTTCATTCTAATGCAAACAGCAGGTGGGGGGGGCGGGTTTTCATTAGGTTTCAAGTGGGTTGGTGGCTAACATTGTTGCCTGCCATGGTACCAATCTTAATTGCTTGATCTATCCCACAAACATATATTGCCAAGTCTAGCAATCAGAAATTTAATCATGCTTCCCTGAATGTCAAGAATAGGAAGAGTGATTTACTAGGTCCCGGCCCCTGAAATCAGAGACAAGTTGGAAGAAAGTAATATCATCAGATGTGAAAAGCCACTTTGAGAACTAAACTGGTATAATAGGAAGGAAGGAAGGAAGGAAGGAAGGAAGGAAGGAAGGAAGGAAGGAAGGAAGGAAGGAAGGAAGGTTATAGAATCATAACTGAACTCAGCTAGAAGGCTGCCCAATCAAGTGAGGTCATGAGTTAACAGAAATCCCAAGCCAACATGTTGGGGTTTTGTTTTGGTTTTCTTGATGAGGTGGAGATATCCCTTCGCCCAGCTCTGCTTGGTTCTGCTGGTATCCACTAGTGTGTGAGCCTCAAGGAACATCCCAGTGTGCCTGCCCAAATGCTGATAGAGCAGATGTTACTGCTTGTGGTAGCCATTGGAAATAGGGCACTTCTGGACTAGCACAATGTTCACTAGATCCTGGACCATTCCCACGGCTGTCACATGATGGCAACAGCTCTGATCGAGGCCTCTTTGCTGTGCTAGCCTGGAAGCTAGTTTAACAAAGGGTCAGTTTTCCTCTCCTCCCCTTCTACTTTGGCTGGTGCAAATGGTGAAACTATGGCTGCAGCAGTAGCTTTGCCACTCCACCAAGCCCTGCCACTGCTAGCTATAAGCTGCATATTGCATCCTGTAAGTGAAATTCTGTTTTTCGCGGACAGAAAATAGATTGGCATCTACTGGTAAATCTCTGGGAGATTTGTAGTAGATCTGCAAGGGTTTACCAACTACTCAACAATGGCAACAGAAAAAGGCTTGCACGCACATATGCACAATCTGCATATTAGTTAGAATATCTGCTTTGTAGTAACTCAAATGTAACTTGTGTAAGTGTCTGCAGGTTATCGAAATGTGTGGTTCATGCACTGCAATAGATCACTGACCCCAACCTGAGCATGTGGCTCCAGCTGGTGCACCTTAAGGTTCTATTAAAAGCACTAAGAAGGTCCTGTAAACCTGAGGTCTACCTACACCTGCTGTACAGTACACAGTTGCTTCCCATCTTGGGTTTCTAGATGGCCTATGGGGAATTCCTCAATGAGAAGATCAATCATAGAGGGTTTCCTTCAAAGGCAGCTTGTCCATTGCTAATGTCCCTTTTCAGAGTTCCCTAGGAAGTGGGCTTGGTTGTTAAACCATACTGAGAATTGTAGCTCTGTGAGGGGCAATGGTTCCCAGCACCCTTAACAAACTACAGCTCCCAGAAAGAAGCCCTGGTGATTTAAAGTGGTATAATGGGGCTTTAAATATGTGGTCTGAATGTGCCCTTAAGCTGCAGCACCTTTCCTAAACCCTGCTGTCTCTCTCGTTTCCTCACCAACACCTTACAACTGCTCTGCCCCTGACTAGCAGGGTTCCAGCTCAACCGGTGATAGCTGGAATCCCAGTTTTCCTGCTCTGCCCATTTGTGGCATTGAAGCAGTAGTCCAAGCTTGTCACTCTCTAGGGCAGAGGTGAGAAATCTTGCTCTGCCCAAGGGCCACATTCCCTCCGGGCACCTTTCCAGGGGCCACATGTCAGTGATGGGTGGAGCCAGGTGAAAAAGTAGGGAAAGAAACATATATGGATTTTACCTTTGTATACTAATTTCTACACACATTTCTTCATATGTTCTATCCAGGCAAGGTAGAGGCATTATCAGAGTTCTAGGACATTGCAGCCAGGCCAAAACACTCATAGTGTGACCCCTGAGCCTGAGATTCACCACTTCTGCTCTAGGGTTTCAGCATCCTATTCCCATAAAAAATACCTTGAAAAAAAACACAAGATAGATTGTCTGAAACATCGAACACACAGTGGCACTCTCTCTTTGGGAATAGTCTTCGGCATGCCCAGACAGAGACACCCTCTTGCCATTGGGGAAGAAGAAATGTTACCCCAAATGAGCTTATCAGCAAACAAATGTCTAAATCCATCCCTAATTGTCTTTATCCAGGCCTGCTGCCAGTACTATTTTTAACCAAAGAATATACCTCACTTTCTTGGCAGTGGCTCTGCTTTCCTGGGGCTCCATGAAGTGGAGCAAGGCTTTTTGTAGGTCGACAGCAGACATCTCTTTATTTTCTCCAGGGGGTCTGAGCTCAGCGAATTCATCATTAGAGAGCTTGTTTTGTTGCTTTGATGGCAATATTTGCATTTGCCTCCTTGTGCTGCAGGTATCTCTCTCTCTCTCTCTCTCTCTCTCTCTCTCTCTGTGTGTGTGTGTGTGTGTGTGTGTGTGTGTGTGTTTAAAGACTGGGAATTGTGCAAGTCCCAGATAACAAAGGGGCCACAGTAGGAACATAGGAAGCTGCCTTATATTTGAGTCAGGTCCATTGGTCCATCCAGCTCAGTATTGTCCACACTGACTGGCAGCAGCTCTCCATGGTCTCATCTTTCCCAATGCCAGAAATTGAACCTGGGACCTTCTGCATGCAAAGCAGATGCCATACCACTGAAACCATAGCATTCCTCCCTTTGAATGTGTAGGGCTTTACAAAGACCACTGGTTGTTTTCACCAGCTAAAGCTGTTCCAGAGCTAGTAAGTGCAATGTCAAATCTCATACATTTGCCTTTAAATCTCCTGTATTCATTTCCCCCTCCTCATCACTAGTTGCATACATATCTTAAAGCCTGCCATCAGAACCCAAAATCCTCGGGCAGCTGCTGGGCCACCCAGTAGGGCACACCACAGATGCTTGCCCAGAAGCCACCCACCCCCAGTCTGGTGCTATTTTAATTTCACTACAATGCCACACAACTAAGTATAACTCTGGGGCATTGTGAGAAATTTAAATAGCAGCCACTCAGTACTGCTCAGAGCCCTGCTCCTACAATGCTGCCAGCTAAACCCACCAGGGCTCAGTGAGGGCATTTTGCTCAGGGCCCCTTCAAACTGGTACTATACCATCCATGGATGCACATCCTTTCCCAAATTTACAGGATAACCAGCAATGACCTACCTGATGGTGAGAGCCAGAGTAATCTTAATTAGAGCTAGAATGGCAGTAGGAAGCTAGGACCCAAAGGAGGCTGCATTTTATATTTACCTCACATATGGCAGGAAGCAATAAGGCAACAAATATTAATCCCACTTGCACTTGCCCAGGGGAATAGAGAGTGTTCTAGTTGCAAGCTCTGCGGTGCTGGAGCTGGCAGCTATGATAGCCTGCAGTAAAACATCATCCATCCCCTTCAGCAGTAGCTATTGCACACTGGATTTGTTGAACAGATTAGGCTGAAGATGGCCCTGTGACCCTAATAAACCTAAATTATGCTGAATCTACACATCCATCTGTCACCCATGCTTTTTCTTCTATGCATGTTATCCTGTGCTGCATACATTGGCATGTATCAATACACGCACATGTATCAATACATCTTGTTGGGCACCAGGAACACGCTACTAGAAAGCAGCCTTATCAATACTCGCTGACATCAAGTTATCAGTAACACATATTGAACCCAATATATGGGCTTGCCACTTCCCCCCTCTCCTCTTCAACATGGAGGCAAGCAGGTGAACAGAAGCTTAGCTTTGGTTCCTCTTTTGCCTAATGTAGTTTACTGTTATGTCTGAGCTCTGAGATAAACTGTGGTTAGTCTTAACTATTATTTACTAAAACAAGTCAACTTCAAGCTGACTTCTTTCAATAAGAATAAGAGTTCAAATATAACTATAAACTGCTGTTAATTGAAAGTGAAAGTCAAAGCTTCCCAACCCCTCCTGGTTGGAAGGCTGGGGTTAAACCACAGTTTTCCAGTTCAGATAGACCAGGCAAGTGGTTTAATAACCTACAAGAGAAACACCATGTAGTGGGGGGGGGGGTAAACAAAGGTACAACACTTGCTGTCAGACTACAAAAAACATGGTTTGATGTTTTTATGAAACTGGCTTTAGAATCCAGTTCCTTAACAAATATATTTCCCAAAGATGCTGACTTCCTGGGTCTACTGGCTTTTGTTCTAGGGAAAATGCCCAGCTTTCAGAGCAATGTACGGAAGCTTAAAACTGCAGATGGTAGTACCAGTATTTGCAAAACTGAAGGTAGTCAGTTTTGGTGAATCCCAATGATGAAGGTTGGATGACTTTACCCCTTACAGTGGGGTCTCTCAAAGCCTTCTTCTGAATCTTTCAAAATTCTACAAGAACCACTTGACAATTTCATTGTCAGTCCTCCTAACAAATCATGGTCGTTAAATTTAGCCTTTTATAGGTCTAATAGCCAGATTTGGATGTATCTGATTTCTTGATTTAGTACATTTCTAGACATCCTGTCTGCCTTAGCAATTTCTCTTCCTTTTAACAGCCTTCATTTAACAAATAAAAATAAAATACTTCAGTTTCAAGGTGGGGGTTCATTTGTATAGGATATATTGTATACACACTTAAATCTAAATTTAATTTCCCTGAAATAAAATGAATGACATTTAAAAGAAATAAAATAAACCCTGGGGTGTTGTTGTTTTTAAAGAAATGTTATTTTGTAGAAATAAGTTGATCACACTTTTGAAAGGATGTAGAAGATCATAAGTTTACTTCTTAAAGAGACCATGAGTTGTATCCAATTACATTTAGTGCACTAGCTACACAGTTCTGTCTATGACTTCCCAGAATTAAGCCCCACTGAGCTCAATGAGGCATATTTCTAGGTATGTGTTTATAGGATTGCAGCCTTATTTACACTTGCTGTACTTAGTTCCCATTGAAAGGGACAAATTTCTCATGACTTACATCCCATTGATTTTGATGGAAACTAAGTGCAGCTAATGGGCAGAACAATCTAGTCCCTTCCCCATTATGCCAACTGGGCAGAGGTGGTTGGACTGAGCAGAGATGTCCCTCTGTCCAGCTCTCCTGATTAATCTGGCCTCCCGCAAGCTGCCAAACATGCAGGCAGGAGGGGGAATCACTGGCAGGATCACCCCGCTCCTTGGTCAGCAGCCAGCAGGAAGCCACTGAATGGGAGTTCCAAGGGTGGCGCTCAGCCAGTTGGCTCCCAAACCGATTTCATTGCCTTCATGTGACAGGATGGGGCCTGATTGCTCTTCTGCCACGTCTGCCATGCAGTGGTGGGCCTGCCACTCCATACAGCCCCACTGGTGGGGGAGGTTTGGAATGCAGCCTTAGTCTGGATGCAACAGCATGCTATTTAATACTCATCAGACACACACTGCTAGGCCCTGCTGTGCTCTACTGCATAGCTTATATCAAAGGGTCTTGCACTGGAGGACTTCCTGATAGATATCACTTTAGTTCAGGCAAACGTGAAATCAAAAATAACTATTTTTTTAAGCTGAAAAATGCACTCACTTTGCATGAAGTTAAGTAACTAAAGCACTATGTTGTGTGCAATAATGCCACTACCTATGTAGTATGTGGCGTACTAGTTGATGGTAAAGATTTATATTGAAAAGATTAGGTAGAGTGCTTTGTTGCTTTGCTGGAAGCAACCAAGGAACTCTGCCCCTCAAATTAGTAGATTATTACATATACTGAAGCAAAGAAACCTGAAGCATTTCAGTTAGGGTCTCAGTTATAAATCACTCTGCAGCTGATTTCAAATCAGTTTGAGTGCCCTGGCTTTCTCCAAAGAATCCTGTAAACTACACTTTTGTAAGGAGTGTCCTTTCTTTAACCGTTGCGGATGCGCCTGCAGAACTATAATGGTTTGTGCTCTTTGGAAGGGAGCCATACCACTTGAGCTGGTTTGAAATTGATTTAAATTTGTCCTGCAGATGTGACTTGAAAGGAGCTGGGAAACTGGGGCAGGAGAGACCCATCTGCACTCGTATGAAGAATCTTTATAATATGTGACACTGAAACTACTACAACAAAAATATCGTTGTCAACACCATTAATTTGCTGGGCCATAGGTGACTCTTGCCTAATTTACTAAGTAGATAACAAGACTTGTACAAATAGAGAGCCTTTAAAAAAAAAGAAAAAAAGAAAAATGCTTACATGTAGAAAATGTACGACACCCTTGTACTATGGCTTGCACTTTACCTGCATATAAACTGTGAAGTAGGCTGTAGTAATTTATTATTATTTTGTATATTCAGGGGTTGAAGTAGCAAAGCACTAGTACTACATGGCTGGTTTTCAAGCTGTACTGTTAAAAGAAATCTCAGACTAGAGACGGACATGAGGGTTTTGAAGAGAGTTGAAGGTGGCAAGAGACAGGAATCTTGGGCCAAATAGGACCCAATCTTCCCTTGGCTGAAAAAAAAAAGGCTTTGCAAGCATGGATGAGATAATTACTCTTGCCAGGTTGCTATATACAGTGGTACCTTGGTTTGCAACCGCTTTGGATTACAACCATGTCAAACCTGGAAGTACGTGTCCCTTTTTTTTATTACAACCCATTTTTTTTGGATTACAACCCATTTTTTTGGATTACAACCCATTTTTTTGGATTACAACCCATTTTGGGGGGGAGGCCCCATTGGTAAAAGCGCGCCTTGTGTTACAATCTGTTTTGGTTTACAACCGGACCTCCGGAAAGGATAATGGTTGTAAACCAAGGTACCACTGTAGAATGCAATTGATAAACCACTTAAAGGATTGCAAACACCAATGTGGATCAAGACTACACAATCAATAGCCAGATTCTGACAATCCTTTAAACTAGGGTGGCCAGCATGTGCCCTCTAGATGCTGTTGGACTACAGTTGCCACCTTCCCTGATCATTGGACGTGCTGGCTGGGACTGCTGGAAGTTGTAGTTTGATTACTTTTGGGAGGTGAGGGTACAATGTTGGCTACGTCTGCTCTAAACTATTTCCTTACAGGACTCCTCTTCAGGACTACTTTCTTGCTTTCTCTATGAATCAAGCTACAGTTTGCTGCTGTGATACCCAGATTGGTAAATGGTAGTTTAACAGCAGCAGGAGTGGGGAATTTGTTGGACTCCCAACTCCCATAAAGATGGTCAATAGTCAGAGGTAATGGGAGGAATCAGATTGTTAAAACCTCACCTTGCTACTTTGGATGTTGCTGTAAACCAGGCATAGGCAAACTCTGGCCTGCCAGATGTTTGGGACTACAATTCCCATCATCCCTAGCTAACAGGACCAGTGGTTAGGGATGGTGGGAGTTGTAGTCCCAAACAGCTGGAGGGCTGGAGTTTGCCTATGCCTGCCTGTGGTTTGGTTCAAACAGGAGATAAGAAATCATGACCGGCAAGAGACAGGAAAAACAAATAGGAAGGAGCACACACATACTACACTTGCTCACAATCCTCCAAACCGTTTTCCAGGGGCTTTGGAATGATTCTGTTTAGTATAAACACCAAGCTTTTCAAACCACCTTCAACTCTCTGTAAAACCACTCTCCTGCCAAAAAGAGGTCAAATAAGTGTATTTTGAAAAATCTGCTAAGTTAAAAGTCAGCATCTGTGACTGACTATGCTATGGGGTCTCTCCATGGTCTTTCTTTTGTAAATATGAACATTCTTAACTATTTCTGTAGCAATAGGAGGTTATATACCAAACTTTCACTTGGACTGTTTTCAAACAACAAAAAATCTCTAGCGCCTTGTATTCTTTAAAAAAAATCATGGAGAACCAGTCTTAGGAGCATTTTTGTTTACACAATAATATGTATATATAAGGAAATATATATATATATATTAGAGGCAGAACTGTTATTTATCATACTTTATGTTGTGCTTGATTATTTCTAAGAGTCTGTCATCTAGAAATATTTTCTGTGATAGAGAAAGAAAAATGTTATATTGCGGGAACCCTCCTGCATAGGAGCTTGAAAAGTGAAAGCTTTAAGCAACTGTACATCTATATTGTAGCTATTATTTTTAACTCCAACCTATTGTAATTTTCCTAATTTAGCCATGAAAGAAAACCAAAATGTGATGTTAAATCATTAACCAGGGAAGATCCCATTCATATGTTTTGCCTTGTTGTTTGAAAACTTCAGAACATATCCTTCATCTTTACTTGTGATGAGGGAGGTCTCTCTCATGGGCTGCCTCTACTTTCATCCCTTAGCAGTCAAGAGCCTTCATTTTCATGGATGCACATGGAAAATGGACTTACAGCGCAATCCTATACATTTCTCCTCAAATGTAAGTCCCATTGATTTCATTGGGGCTTATTCCCAGGTAAGTGGGTACAGGATTGCAGCCTCAGATAGGTAAAACTAAATTTCAACCCCTGGATAATACAGGTTTCTTTATGTGTCTGTATGTGTGTTTTTCAGTTTCACCAAAGTCTTTTTAATTTTATACTTGTCTTATGTTGGAAAGTGATCCACTGGTTTATATAGGCTATGAATGTTTGTTTTCCTTTGTTTTCCTTTTTTAGAATTAATGTACTTGGCTGCAATTTTTTTTTCTACCACAGATTAACTTGTTAACTTTTTGCGTGTCTACAATGAAACTTTATGAATGGAAAAATTTCACTGTGTGTTGCTCACTGGGCATATACCTCATGGTACATTGCACAGACTTGTAAGTTGTAAGTTGCACTGCAACATTATAAAAGGAACATATTGCTCTTTTTTCAAAGATATTAACTTATTTAAAAAAAACTATATAGACTGTACATTATTGAAAAAGGACATTTATTCTTCCTAAATTCAAAAGTAGCTTTTGTTTTGGGGGAAAGTTGTAAAACTTCAGTTGTAAATTTGGACTTCAATAAACTGAATTCTCTGATGTTTGAGGGCTCTTTCTTTTCTTAATATTTTGTATCCTTAAAAAGGGGGAACTGGTGTATGCTTCAGCCAGGCAAGAAAACACATAATGAACTGCTACATGAATCTTGTGAAAGGTTTATCATTTTAATTTGTCTCAGCAATGCCTTTTAATGTTTGTTTTAATACCTGGATGCATATTTAAAACTATAGTGAATTATAGTTCCAACTACAGAGTTTGCAAAACAAACAACAAGAAGCCTTGTGGCACCTTGCCATCTTCTGGAATGCTATAATGTTCTCCCAACCAAACAAACCACTAACGGAAGAACCCTATATAATGCCAAGGACTTGGGAGTCACATTTTAGAGAACTTTACAAGGACAGAGCAGTGGGGAGAGGCCAAATCCCTGAAAGTATTCTGGACCTCCCAAAATGGGCCCCTGTAACAACGTCAGAGATTGAGAGTCTGGTAGCCCAACTGAAACAGGGGAAAGCCCCAAGTGCAGATTTAATACCCGCAGAGGCTATTACAAATAATTTGGTCTTTTGGGCCCCGATTTTAGCCTCACTTTTCACCAGCTTAGACACCTATGGATATATACCTGAAGACTGGGGGCTTTCAATCATTGTCCCAGCATATTAAAAAAGGCAAAAAGATGATCCTGCCAACTACAGACCACTCAGTCTTCTTAACATAATAAGCAAACTGTACGCAAGTCTGGCTACAACAAGAAAACATCCTTGCAGATGAGCAAGTGGGATTTCAAGAAGGGCGTTCGACCATCGACCAATGTTTAGTTCTTCACCATCTAATAGAGAAGTACTCATCTAGTAATATTGCTTCTCTTTATGTGGCCTTCATTAACTTCAGAGCAGCCTTTGACTCTATTTCCAGAACAGTTATGGGGAAAACTGGAGACCTCCACAATAGATAGACGCTATACCTAATACACATGTTACATGAAGGGACTTCATTAAAGGTGGGTTGTACCTCCCAGGGCCACTTATCTAATGCAATAGAAACCGAGAAAGGAGTCAAACAAGGATGCATACTGGCCCCATCTTTGTTCAATTATTATACAAATGATATGATCCCTTATCTCCGCAATATTAATTTCCATCCTCCAAAACTTGCAGGAAATCATATTTCAGTGCTGCCATATGCAGATCTGCTGCAATCCTCTCTAGAACACCAACAGATCAATAGAACACCAAAACAGCCATGAAAACACTCACTGCATGTTGCAAAGAGAGCCAATTGAACCTCAATTATCAGAAAACCAAAATCATGGTCTTTGCCAAAAGGCCTAAATTACGTGTATGGTACATTGACGGTCATAAGATCAAGCAGGTCACCTGCTTTAAATACCTGGGTATAGCCCTTCACTCATCGGGAAGTAGAAAAATCCATGGCATCTACACTGCAGGGAATGCTCAGAGAAGTGCTAACACCATTCTTAGGTACCTTAGGTCCAAAGGTGGACACTATGTACCGGCAGCCCTCAAATTGTTTGAGGCCAAATCGATTGCACAACTGTTATATGGTGCCCAATTAGGCCCCTTTGCCAACTGCACTCCATTAGAATTGGTGCAATCCAAATTCTTAAGATCTGTCCTACAAGTACCTAAATATATCTCCAACGCTACAATACGCCTCAAAACTGGATTCATAAGAATTGAGGCCAGTGTGGCTTGCCACTCTTAATCACTGGCTGAGACTAGCCTCCCTTCCGAGTGGCCTTGCTTCCCTGACTATTAAAGAAAATTTCCAATTGTTATGGAAACGAGCTGTGGATAATATAATAACAAGTCTAGGATTCAATCCACAGATCTTACTTAACATGGGGCACGACAAGCAAAAAACATTATTAAACAGCGTGTGGTAGACATAGAATGACAGGTAGACCTAGCCAGGTCCCCCCAAATTTTAATTAACAAAACTAGAAGATAATCGACTTCCCAAATGCAATACATAGCTAACCTTGAAATACCAAAACCATGAAGGGGTTTCACTTTGGCCTGTTGTCAGGCCCTCCCTTCAGCAGTTCAGGAAGGCCGTTATAGGAAGATACCATATGAGGAGAGAAAATGCCCATGTGGCTCTGGGCAGCAGGAAACAATGGAGCATGCCCTTCTTCATTGCCAGTAGTCATACGTCTGGTTGCGAACATAATCCGTGCAGTAGGCATGTTCGCAACCCACAGCGTTCGCAGCCTGAAGCGCCGCGTCTGCGCACGCACATGATGCGATTCGGCACTTCTGCGCATGCGCGAGCACCGAAACCCAGAAGTAACCCGTTCTGGTACTTCCAGGTTTGGCACGGTCCACAACCTGAAAACGCGCAACCCACAGCGTTCGTAACCCAAGGTATGACTGTATTACATAGACATTCGAGCTAGGTTTATCCAGCCCATCCTATATAAGTTCCCTGGGCATTCAGAACAACACTACATCTCCCTATTACTACAGGACAAAAGCCCAGAAGTCACATATTTAGTCTCCAGATTTTGCGCTGCCATGGTAGATATTTGTCGAAGGATGGTCCATGTTACAAATCAGTCCTAAACTGAAAGCCCATATTGTTAGATCCGCACTTCTGAAGCCCCACCCCATACAGCTGTTTTTAACTGATCTCTTTTAATTTTTCTTATCAGTTTTACTCATCCATTACCTATGCTTAATCAAGTGTTCTATGTATATGTTTTAATCTATGTTTGGTTCTTGCTCCCATTTATTTAATAATTATCCGCTTAGAGATATTGTTACGCTATCTATTTAGATGTTTTGCTTATGCTGGTCTGTGACCGTAATAAAGTAATTCATTCATTCTTGTGGCACCTTAAAGAGGTTATATGTATAGGCTAATATTGTTAGCCTATACATTTCTACTCAGAGGTAATTCCCATTTAATCCAATGGGGTTTACTCCCAGATAAATGGGTGTAGTCTAGCAGATTATTCTGGCATAAAATTTAGTGGAGTAGAGTCTATTTCACCAGAAAAATTAAAAATTAATGAGCAGATACAGTGGTGCCTCGCAAGACGAAATTAATCCGTTCCGTGAGTCTCTTCGTCTTGCGGTTTTTTCGTCTTGCGAAGCACGGCTATTAGCGGCTTAGCGGCTATTAACGGCTTAGCGGCTTTAAGAAAAAGGAAACAAACTCGCAAGAACTCGCAAGACGTTTCGTCTTGCGAAGCAAGCCCATAGGGAAATTCGTCTTGCGGAACGACTCAAAAAACGGAAAACTCTTTCGTCTAGCGAGTTTTTCGTCTTGTGAGGCATTCGTCTTGCGGGGCACCACTGTAGATATTTATGTATGCTTAGAAAATGCTCCATAAATGTTATCAGACCAGGGGGGCAAATGCAACCCTCCAACCCTCTTCCCCAGCCCCCAAGATTCTCCCCATGCCACATCCTCTTCCCAGCCATATCCCTCACAGACTTAGCTTTGCACTTTCCTTGAGTGCTTTTGTTGGGCAGTGGCATGTTCTTGAATTCTGATGGTACCTCAAGTGTGTCTGGATGGTGGATAGAGAGCGATGGGGGTGGAAAGCATCCTGCTGTATTTAAAAAGGGTAAAAATAACATATATTACTCCATACACCCGTCTCTGACCCTGCCCACCATTGGCATATGCCCCACTCCCAAAAGGGAAGGTGACCCTCAGAAAAAGTTTCCCCAAACCAGACCTATACTGTATAAACCTAATAATTTAGGCTTTGTGCCATCTTTCAATGTCTCTTCTGTTGCAGATATGGCCAATGCAAAGTGGTTGAAACAGTTGGGAGGATTGTCTATACTCTACGTTGGCTTTGTGACATTACCATATAGCCACTCAGAATAGGCAATGTCACAAATCCGATTCAAAATTAACCTGGAGCTTCCTGCCCTCACGGCAGCATCATGTTCATGACTCAATATTCAGTCTTCTGGAACCATATTACTGTGGAAAATTACACACACTCACAAAAGTTATGCCAAAGCATTGGAACAGGAAAACCATCAGCCATGGACTAGCAGCAACCAAGCCACACTTTTGCAGTGAAAATATCTACACATGAACATTCAGTGCAGCTATAGTTATCAATATGTCATGGAATCAGGGCCACATACCGAAAGGGTTTCAAAGCAGGTGCATGAGTAAGAATTGTGATGGAAATATATCTGGTGAAATAAGGAAATCACTCAGATTACACTGGTCAACAACAAATTTGTTGTCTGTGTTTTTTCAGCTGATTTAGGATGAATCTGATGCGCTGAATCAAAAAATCACATTGGTTTTGCTCAATCAGGTCAAGTTTTTGAGCTATGGCCACATGTCTTTTTTACGTTTTTGTTCACATGTACACTTGTGTGGAGCATTTTAGAAGAAGTTGGTGGGGGTAAAATGCCTTGTCAAATAATTGTTTTGATTGGAAATGATTATTTTAATGACAAGAAGTATTCAGGTCCGATAATGCTGGGTGATTATGTCGAAAAGGGATCAGTTTGAAGTCATAAAACCTCGAAATCTTCCATAAATTGGTCCAGCAAAGCATAAAGTTGGGGGATAAAAACTAAGTTAATGGGGCAGCCGCCCCATGAAGTATCCTGATCTTCAATCAGCACGTCGTCCTGTAGCTCATTGTGATGAAATTCCAGTGTCTATCTTCGGAGAACTTCCTGACATTAGTGACGAAGATGCCTCCAGTGTTGAAGGACATGAAGAAGAAGAAGTGGTTCTTGAAGATGATGCTCCACATCCATTTTCCCAAAAGGAGTTGAATGATCTAGTTCGCGACCTCAGCTTGTCAAAGGACTCTGCCGAACTGTTGGCCATCCAGATTGAAGGGAAAAAACCTCCTCTCTGACAGTGCTCGCATCAGCTTCTTGCGCAACAGGCATCAAGAGTACCTCCGTTTTTTCTCGGAAGAGAAGGACTTGGTGTACTGTGCAGATATTGCGCAGCTTCTGCTCAAGCTTGGAGTGCCACAGTACAAACCCAAAGATTGGAGACTGTTCATTGACAGCAGCAAGCGATCACTGAAATGTGTTCTGCTACACAACGGCAACCAGTTTGCCTCTATACCCCTGGCTCACTCGAGTACACTGAAGGAGAACTATGAAGCGGTGAAGTATGTGCTGGAGAAAATTGGTTATGATCAGCATAAGTGGTTTATTTGTGTTGACCTGAAGATGGTGAACTTTTTGTTGGGACAACAGTCTGGCTTCACCAAGTACCCATGTTTTCTGTGCATGTGGGATAGTAGGGACTGTGCTCAGCATTACACGAACTGGACTGGCCTGTGTGGGAGGAATTGGTGCCTTGCAAAGAAAGGAACGTCATCAACGACCCTCTGGTGGACAGAGACAGAATACTCTTCCCACCACTGCACATCAAGCTTGGCTTAATCAAGCAGTTCACCAAGGCTCTGGACAAGGATGGTGACTGCTTCATTTACTTGTGCCAGGCTTTTCCAGGATTGACCATGGAGAAGTTGAAAGCTGGCATCTTTGATGGCCCTCAGATCCGTCAGCTCATCAGAGATCCAGAGTTCGGAAACTCAATGAACGAAGTGGAACTGGAAGCGTGGAAGGCATTTGTTCTGGTAGTGAAGAACTTTCTTGGCAACAATAAGGCCAGAAACTACGCAGAACTTGTCAACAACATGCTGACTGCTTTCAGAAACCTGGGCTGCAACATGAGCTTCAAGATGCACTACCTATTTTCACATATGGACCGGTTTCCTGAGAACCTGGGTTCAATGAGTGACGAGCAGGGGGAGAGATTCCATCAGGACATGAAAGAGATGGAGACCAGGTATCAGGGTCGCTGGGACGCAGTCATGATGGCTGACTACTGTTGGACTCTGAAGAGAGACCTCCGTGCTGCTGAGCATTCCAGGAGTTCCAAGAAACAGAAGTTCAAGCCCTGAAGTTTGAAAAATGGTGAAGCAACATGCAATTTACGTGTACTTACCTTTATCAATGCCCACCATTCAGTTTACAGAAAACCTGACCTGATGGAGAGAAACGGATGCCATTTCCTGATTCAGCAGTGCAAAAATACCCTAAATCAGTTGTAGAAATCTAGACAACATTCAAAAAGTAAAAAATTGTTGCCCAGTGTTATCATTTTAGGCCTGCCACTTGAAGAGTCTCTTTGGAATAGCAGAATACAACTAATGACCAGTTTTTGTCCAGCTTCATGGAAGAGGCCAAGACCATATCCATACCATGCATTTAAAGCAGTATCATACTGTAAGTAGAGATGGCTTTCCCCAAATAATCCTGGGAACTGTGGTTTGTTAAGGCTGCTGATAGTTCTTGAGAGACTCCTACTGCACCGTACCTATTATTTATAATGGAACAAGTAAACATAATTCTTGAACACCCAGTTTACAAATCTGAGCAAATGAAGAGCAGAAATTCTACATGATGAACTCTGCTTGGGTCACAATAGTTGGGCTTGTTTTTAAATTGACCCAGGTGAATGGTTTACTCCAAAGCCAACATGGCTATACAATTTTAGTGCAAAACATTTTACCCTGACCCGGACTGTTGGACCTCCTGAAGCACTGTGCAGTTTAGTAGACATGAATCCTGATTATTAGGGTTTGAACCTTGCTTCCTGGGTCATCCTAGTCAAACTCCCACGCCAGTTCACCTCAAAAGTTTGTTGTGAAGATAACATGGAGTTATATGCATAACATCTTAAGCTCCTGGGTAGGATGGGTATAAATGTGGGAAGCAAATAATGAATGTTCTGAAAGGTGTGTTCCAGAATCCCTTGCAAAAGAAGTCAGGAGTTGCCTTGATACTTTAGTGCCCTACCTAAAATACTGCTACACTTTAGATTTTCCTTTTTTTATACAAATTGTCACCAAATTAATACAAATTTAGAACAATATTAAAAACTGACATACCCACCCCTTTCCTTCTATTTGTATTTGGAGCAGCAATGGAGGGAGGGAAATATTGCTGCTCCAAACTACACTGGTACCTCTGGATGCAAACGGGATCCGTTTTGGAACCCCATTCGCATCCAGAGAAAAATGCAACCCGTGTCTGCGCGGGTCACGATTTGCCACTTCTGCACATGCGCGTGACGTCATTTTGAGCGTCTGCACATGCACGAGTGGTGAAACACAGAAGTAACGCGTTCCGTTACTTCCGGGTCGCTGCAGAGCGTAACCTGAAAACGCTCAACCTGAAGCAACTTTAACCCTGGGTATGACTGTACCTGAGTTGCTTGCCCAAGCCAGCACTGCCTAATTTTGTATCTTCTTTGGAGAACACATTACTGTATTAATACTATTAGGTATCTGTTCCAGAATGCATGAAAAGGGCATTCAAGTATATCATGTTTTAGACCTGGAGTACATAACAAACCCAAAGATTCTTTTACCACAGAATACCAAAGCTTAATCCACACAGCAGGTAGCAATTTACTGGTGCGGCTTTTACATGAGTTGACAGATTACTGTATTTGCATTTTGTTGACTTTTAAGGTGTGAACCGCCCAGAAGGTACGATTAACTGGACTATACAGTATATTGTTCCTGGCCACGTCAATCCCTGTTATTTTTGTTTGTTTGTCTTTACAATCAAGCGGTGTATAAAAAATTTAAGAAATAAAACATACAAACGTAAGAAGTTCCATAGCTGAAACCCGGGAAAAGAGCAGGGGGGGGGAGTAAAATAATAACCCTCCAATACTGAGCTTGAGGGGACCGTTAGTATTGACGCTGTGTTAGGCAGCGCCCTATTCCTCCCCGCCTAATCATCATCATCATCATCATCCCGACGCCCCTCTTTGTACAAAAAGAAACATTTGCGGTTGGTGGACAACCAAAATCTTAACGTCTCCCTTCAGCAAATACCAACAACACCGGGAGGGGGAGGGGAAAGCACGCGTCATTTTCTCCTCTCCGCCAATCCCGCGGCGCTCTCCTGTTTAGTCCCGCCCACGCTGTTTTTTGACGTCGTTGGTCGCGAGCGCTCGGCTGGTCGCCTCCTTCGAGTAGGAGGAGCCAAAATGGCGGCTAAGGTGAGTGGTTCCCCTCGTGTTTATCATCCTACCTTCTGCCCCCTCCCCTCCCCTGCCTCCCCTTCCAGGAAAGGCTTCGTGAGGCGCCCTCCTTTTGAGTGGGCAGTGCTTAAAGGGCACAGATGACATACAGGGTGAGCTTTTCCCTTCGTTTAAAGGACGCCTTAACTTTCTTGAATGCGGTCGTGGAGATGCGAGGGGCGCCTGAGCATGTGCAGAGCGCCCCCGCTTCCATGCCTCATAGCACGTATGGCCCAGCTTTCCCCCGCTCTCCAGGTAGCCTCAAGGTAGTGGGCACGGTTTCTTTCTCCCCCTTCCTCTGCCTTCCCCCCACCCAATGTCATTTGAATCTCCACAAACAATCCTGTGAGATAGCTCAGGCTCTTAAGAGACAATACTCTGCCCAGTGAGGACGCTGGTCTCCTAGGGGCTGGTCTGACACCCAGCTTCTCCACGCCTGGGTGGCCAAGGACTGATGGGAGTTGTAGTCCAAAGCATCTGGACACCTCCAGGTTGGGAAAGGCTGCAACCACCATGCTGCTCAGCTGGTGGAGCTCAGTGTGGCTTGGCAATGCATTGTTATTGTTATATTATTACTATGTTTTCTTTTGGTTGTTTAACAGTCACAAAACTACATCCCACTATAGTGGAACCTCGGGTTGCGGACGTAACCCGTGACGAAGGCACGTCCGCAACCCGCAGAGTTTGTAACCTGCAGCTCCGTGTCTGCGCACGTGCATGACGCGATTTGGTACTTCTGCACATGCGCGAAGCGCAATTTAGGACTTCTGCACAAGCGGCGAAACCCAGAAGTAACCCTTTCCAGTACTTCCGGGTTTCCTGCGGTCCGCAACCTGAAAACGCGTAACCCGAAGTGTCAGTAACCCAAGGTACCACTGTACTCCCTACTTTGGCACAGCTGAAATGAATAGGACTTTGGGTAACCAGGAATGGATCCATGAACTGTCTGACTGTGTGGAACTCGTATATTCAGTTATGACACTATATATATATATATATATATATATATATATATATATTTTCTGGGCTCGGAATTCTCTTATTCGATCTCTCTTGCACCTGGCTCTGGCTGGTGGATTTATCGGCTCTAGCAAGCAAAGCAGATCCCATTCTGCCTGCCTTTGCTCTTAAAAAGTCCCAACTCTGAAAAAGAAAAGTCCCAACTCTGCTTCTTTCCTACTGCTGCAGCTTCAGCGAGGAAATCTTAAGTGCTCTCAGGTTCTTATAAAGCTGCTGTTGAGTTTCAGGCATAGTCCTGAAAATGAAAGAGTGTCTGAGCAGGAGCAGAGTGCTGCCTCCTGTGTCCACTCTGTTCTGTCACTTTCCTTCTACTCCCTAGTGGGAAAATGTGTAGCAATTTTTAGAACTCCTGGACATTAAAGACTAGTTGTTAAGATGAGGAAGGTATCTGAACATGTGTGGTTCCATCTCCATCTTGTTCTTCTGAATAACTGCTGAATAACAGATACAAATCTCGAAATTGAGTTAGATCTGTGATCAGACTTTTCAAATAGAGAAAAAAGCTTAAAATCCAGGTCTTTAATTATTGGGGCTCATGCTAAAAGTTAAATGTTTTCATCACATTTATAATATTGTATGCACCTTAAAACATCTTAAGATTACACCCAAACCCAAAAGTTGTTTGTACTTCTATAAGCCTTGAGGTTTCCTCATGCCTGTTGATACCTCCCTCTTGTGTTTGGATGGTGTCATTTTTTGCTATATGGGATCCACAATCAAAGAATGAGTTTGCTATTAGCATATAGCAAGAGTGGCTAAGTTGCAGCATGCAGACTGGATCTATTCCTCCCCAAATGGATGGGTAAGTGGGTATGTTCTCCAAGATCCCCAGCGATTTGGCAATTTAAGATTAAAAATAATAATATTAATGTAATTCCCACTGTAGTGCTGTGGAGTTTCCTCTGTGGGACTGGAAGGGCTGCCAGCTTTCCAAAAAATGTGTGCCTCTGGTTCAGCATACCTTGCAAAGGCACCTCTTGTCTCTCGAGTGCCACATAATGCACTTGTAAGGAACTGATCTTTGAGTGGCAGCTCCTCACATTCTGGAACTCCCTGCCCATTGACAGCAGGCAGGCACTTTCATTGAACACTTTTTGGTGCCTACAAAAAACTTTTTGTTTAGTCAAACTTGCTCTTACTCATTTTGCATTTTTATAAACCTTTTAACAATTATTTTATTGACAATTTTAATGTATATTTTATATTATTTGTAAAGGTTTTGCTTACAGTTAAGTGGTATGAAAATTTTGTTAAGCAAATAAATCAGAGCTTTCCAAACCGTGTTTCGCGACATGTTCATGTATCAGCTGCAGTGTGCAGGTGTGTCATGCGAATGCAGCTCGCTCTCCTGCCGGGGCTGGAAAAGGGTTAGTTTAACCTTCAGTTTGCTAGTAAAACTGAATTACTGTGTTTCAAAATGATGCATGTCTAAAAAATGTGTCACTAACATAAAAAGTTGGGAAAGCTCTGAAATAAAAATAGTGTGGGGCATGAAGGTCATAGTGTTCAGGGAACAGGAAGGTGCACTTCTTCCTGTTTCCCGAGCCCTGAAACATTATTTCAGTGGTACCACCCCAGGGGGAGAAGAGGCTCTCTTTGCAAGGTAAGTGAGGGTTTCCAATCCCCAGCACACTTCTTGGGACCTCTCCTCACAGCCCAGCGATGGAAGCAAAGCTCTCCTGCTCCACTGCTAATCAGCGGAAGAGCTGTGTGGGGCAATGCTATCTGCCTGTGTGAGTGAATGAATGTGTGAGCCTCCCTTTGTGTATACAGTGGTACCTTGGGGCCTCCTGCTGCCGCTGTGCCGCCAAAGCACAATTTCTGTTCTCATCCTGAAGCAAAGTTCTTAATCTGAAGCATTATTTCTGGGTTAGCAGAGTCTGTAACCTGAAGCGTATGTAACCTGAAGCGTATGTAACCCAAGGTACCACTGTACAGTGGTACCTCGGGTTACAGACACTTCAGGTTACAGACTCTACTAACCCAGAAATAGTACCTCAGATTAAGAACTTTGCTTCAGGATGAGAACAAAAATCGCACATCGGCACCGGGACACCCCATTAGCTAAAGTGGTGCTTCAGGTTAAGAACAGTTTCAGGTTAAGAACGGACCTCCGGAACGAATTAAGTTCTTAACCCGAGGTACCACTGTATGTGGTATGTGTATTGGCCATTTAGGCCAAGCCTATAGATGGCATGCTGCCTTCAGAGGGTTGACAAAACTTCAATGAGCTCCTCAAGCAAAAAAAAAAAAAAAAAGGCTAGCCACCCTGTAGTTAAATGTTGCTCCAGTTTGAGCCCTCCGAAATGCAGCTAAAACAAAGTCATCCCCTGAGGCAGGATCTGGCTGAGCCTTGCCATTTTAATAGTTCTTTTCTGAATAAATCTTTCTTTTCAATAAACTGATTCAAAATAATTACTGGGCAGTGAAGTGATGTACAGTATCATTTTGTTAGTCGTTGCACAGTTGACTTCAGTAGACCTTCCAAAGCAGAGCAATTAGTGTCATTCAAGAATTGAGCTAATTCCAAAAGTCACAGCACAGTTCCTAGCCCTTTAAGTAGAGTGGAATGTGTGTTATAATACATACAGCTTTGTTTAACAGTTTGAATTAAAAAAAAACCCAAAACACTCCCACACAGTCTGCCCACTGAGTGCTGCTGTTTCCAAACATGTTTGTCATGTGACAAAATAGACATTTGAGCAATTTTGACACAACAGTGCACAAGAGCATAACTATTTTTTATTCTACAGCCACCTGAGGAAATGGCAGTGTGTGAAACATCTATTCCTCTCCCAGAGCTTCAGTTTCCAGAGTTTCCTGGGAAGAGGGATTGATTTTAAACTGCTCTGGGCATTGTCACCCTGTGAGGAGAATAGGGGTTTCCTAATGATTCTCAGCACCCATAGCAAACTACAGTTCCTGCAATTCTTTGGGGGAAGCCATGGCTGTTCAAGTGGCATCATAGTGTTTTAAACGTATGATGCAGATGTGGCCTTTATCCTGCCACAACTCTTTCATACTTGTGGCTTTGGAAGATACAAGTTAAGTTGCAGAGTGGGTATCTGGGCAGAGAGTCCTTTCACATGCTTTCTGTCCTTCATCCCTTAAGTACTTACTTCATTATTCGGCTCTCCCAAGAAACATAAAATGTGAACTTATTTCCTCTAGCTATAAATTACATATTCGAGTTGCAGCCACTCTTATGCACCTTAACATCAAAAGAGCAGAGAAATCTCCTATCTTGCAGGCCAATTCTGGATACAAGGATACATTTTTATCACACTTGATATTTAAATGACTAGATAAAATTTGGCTGAGAGCATTTTATCACTTTATAAGTCAGATTCTGAACGTTTACCACATTTATCACACATGCGCCTTCTCCTGAGTTAATCATTTCATTCTGCTGTATTCTTCCTAATACTCTTTCTATGCTCCTGCTCATTAATGTTCAGTGACTTCAAAGTGTGAGAGTTAATTGCTCTTAGGGGATGGGCAATACTCCCCCCTTTTCTGCATGCTTAAAAAAAAAAAGAAATCACACAGTTGACAGTCCTGGTATAATTTCAGAATGCCATTTTCTTTTGTGCTTTTCCATCAAATATCTAATTTTTGCATTTTTCTTTCCCCCCTGTGCTTCATTTGTCCGCCCCTCTGTCTATTCCTGCAACACGGTCAGTTTGCTTCATTGTCTGTTTCTTTTTCTGCTGTAGCTAACTTGATACTTTACATCCCAAATTTTATTTTTAAATTGTTGTAGCCCACCTGGGCCTCAACATGGAGAAATCAAATAAATAATAATGTTGATATGTGGAAAAGATCGCCAGAAATGCATTCTGTTGGGAGGAGACTTTAATCCACAAATTAGTTAAACTTGGTGTCCTTAGATTCAACTATTGGCTCCATTCCTCAATGGCTGTATTTGCATATCACTGTAAACTATGGTTAATAGTTTGACAAACAAATTTCATCATGAAGCCAGGTATTGGTTGCTGCCTTGCCAATTATGGTTTGAGTGAAACAAACCACAATTCTCAGTTCATGCATAACACTAAGTCAGAGATTTTGGCTTGTTGATCACACATGGAAAAAATGAAAGTGCTTGTGATATCAACACTATTGGTAAGTCATTAGCAGTGGTTTGCGATGATGTCTGAACTGGGCTAGTGTGGGAATTAATAAATACAACACAGTAATAAAACCTTCATTAAAATCCAGTACAGCTTCCTTAAGTTGTAACGTGACTATGGGGCTTATCAAGCATTAACTCATGATAAAAAATGCAGTAAAAATGGTTTGTTATGCTAATTCACCTCCACTGGCATTTTATCCTTAAAGAGGTGAGAGCATAAGACATTTCCTAGTAGGAATGAAATTGCTTATTAGAGTGGAAGAGGAGATGCAGCACTTGGAGGAAGTAGTTTCCAGAGATGCAACATAATAGGGAATGGATAGCATATTGCAGAGAGAAGGTAACTGACACAAGCTGCATACATACTATCCATTTAAAGTACATAACTTCCCTGAAAGAATCCTAGAGACTAGTTTATTAAGTGTGCTAGTAATTGCAGCTCTGAGAAGTAAACTACAGTTCCCAGGATTCTTTGTGTTAAGCCATTTGCGTTAAATGTATGGTGTGTGCGCATATTAACTTGTAGAATTCACTGCCACAATAAAATGTGGTGGCTGTTGGCTTAGAAGGCTTTCCAATGAGAATTTCATAGGCTATCATTTCCATTCAGTATATATTGAGTAGCAGTAAGTACTATTAGAGGGACATGGGTGGTGCTGTGGGTTAAACCACAGAGCCTAGGACTTGCCGATCAGAAGGTCAGTGGCTCGAATCCCTGTAAGCGGGTGAGCTCCCGTTGCTCAGTCCCTCCTCCTGCCAACCTAGCAATTTGAAAGCACGTCAAAGTGCAAGTAGATAAATAGGTACCGATCTGGCGGGAAGGTAAACGACGTTTCTGTACGTTGCTCTGGTTCGCCAGAAGTGGCTTAGTCATGCTGGCCACATGACCCAGAAGCTGTACACCGGCTCCCTCAGCCAGTAAAGCGAGATGAGCGCTGCAACCCCAGAGTTGGCCACGACTGGACCTAATGGTCAGGGGTCCCTTTAAGTATTATTGCAGAGCAACACTAGATGAAAGTTCCTGTTTTCTTGCCCAGCTGCTTAACTCTCTGGAAGCAGTTGGTAGAGCATAAGACTCTTAATCGCAGGGTCATGGGTTCAGGCCCCACACTGGGCAAAATATTCCTGCATTTCAGGTTGGACTAAATCAGGGGTCAGCAAACTTATTCAGCAGTCCACTGTTCCTCAGACCTTGTGGGGGGACAGACTATATTTGAAGGGGGAAAATGAACGAAATCCTATGCCCCACAAATAACCCAGAGATGCATTTTAAATAAAAGCATACATTATACTCATGTAAAAACACCAGACAGGCCCCACAAATAACCCAGAGATGCATTTTAAATAAAAGGACACATTCCCGGACCGTCTACTCATTCCCGGACCGTCCACAGGCCAGATTTAGAAGGTGATTGGGCCGGATCCAGCCCCCGTGCCTTAGTTTGCCTATCCATGGACTAGGCTAGATGATCCTTGTGGTCCCTTCCAACTCTACATTTCTGTGATCAGGCTTCACAGATTGTTGGTCTAATTGAGTAATGCTCTTCCACTCTTTTCCATGTTTTTTTGTCTTCTTGAGGTCTCAAAACTTTGACCTTTTTAATGAATATATATTTTAAAACGTTCTTGCTAGATTCTGTAAACGCCATTTGAGCATTAGAGAGCAGACTTCTGTGTAGCGTCCTCATTCATGCCTATACCTTTAAGGCAGTTTTGCTCCCACTAAATGTTGTTAAAATATGAACACAGGAAGCTGTCTGATATTGAGTGAGGCCTTGGGGGTCCATCTAGTTCAGCATTGTCTACACTGATTGCAGTGGTTATCTAGGCCTTCTTTCTCAGCCCTGCCTTTAAGACATCAGGGATTGAACCTGTGACCATCTGCATACAAGACAGATGCTCTCCCACTGAGCTGTGTCCCTTCCTTCATCTTGGGAGATATTTTAGGTATTTTTTAATTCTAAGGATTTCTACAGTGATCCTGCATTTTACCAGCACTTTATTGCAGCAGACCATGCATAATGCATCTTCTGTGTACACATTGTGCTTCACAGTGACAAATATTTTTTAAAATGTGAGTCCCTGCACCAAGAAGCTTAGGACCACATCACAAGTAATATTCCTGAAAAGCGTATTTTAAGGAAACAGTTCAATAAATTATAGTAAGCAACTTCCTTGGTACCCAAAAATGATTAGTTTGAACAACCTGAACATTTGCAATTTGGAAACCTTTTCTACATCTACCGCCCGCCCCCCCTTGCAGTGAGAATGTTTATGTTTCTTAAAATGCTTTTGTATACATTTTTTTCAATTCTGTATTTTCCTATATCAGATGTATGAAAAACCAATAATTTATTGTGCTTATACTCTTTAGCAGACTTAGCTGGTTAATGGATATTGTTGTTGAACTTGGTCTGAATATTGATGAACATGTGCATTTATTCATTCATTTATTTATTTGCTATTCAGCGATTAAGCTTCTTTCTTGCTTTCTTTTGGCCTCTACCCCCCCCCCCGCCCCCAGATAGCAAAATGGGTGGCTTTTCCTACAGCCTTGGCAGGTGCATCTATTGTACATGCTGCATCTGAAGAGGAACCAGAATCTCGTCGCATGAAGGCACATCAGGTAGGATTTGTATGACCTCTTTAAAAATTGAATGAGCAGAAGCACCTAGGTGCAGTGAAGGCTTTCTTCTGAGTTTTGTTTCACAGGAAACAGAACTATATAATAGAATGCAACAAGTGATATAGTAAAATAATAATAATAATGTTGTGATGATGATTCTCGATGCTGCATCACTTACCATTGCAGATGATCCAAAAATGGAGGACTGAAAAGATAAGCTAATGCAAATATGTGATATAATACATAATATAATTTAAAGCTGAAGAGAAGCATTCCTTCTATAGTTTCAATGTTTATGAGTTGAGAACTGTTTCTTATGTAGCCAAGGTAGTACTGCTCACACAAGAAGGGGATACCCTCAAGTTTTGGAGAGCCCAAAGGTTTGCATTTTAAAACAACCTGGGAGAGGGAGAGCCCAATAAGGACTGAGTGTGTGCTCGGTGTCTACAGAATGCTAAGTGATAGGGAGGGTATGGAACACCAGGGGCAGAGGCTATGCAGTGCAACAGCTGGAATATTGAACAGCAGCACTCCACAGCGCAACATTTTGTTGCAAGTCCCACTTGGAAGACTGAATCACATTTGTACTTAAATTTACTGTGGCTTTTGTATTAATGCATAGGGGTTTTTTTTGGGGGGGGAGAGATTTGGTTTGCTTTCATATTTGCTTTATTTATGCTTGATTGTTATCAATCTAGGTATGATGAACTTAAGAAGAGGGCAGTATACTGCAGCAACAAGCTCCACTACCATCTTTTGATCTCAACACATTCATCATATCTTGTGTACAGAGCCTACATATATACACTCTAACGTCTCCTGCACTCTGTAGGTTAGGTACACAGAGCGCATAGAGACCAGCATGAGGGCCTGCTACTGTGCTCCAGCTCCCTACTCTACATATTCTTTGTGTAGGGCTAAAGAAGATTATGTTCTTGATTTCCACCCCACTTGGAGGCTTAAAACTTAGGACAACTGCTGCTGACATATGGTCCAAAGCACAGCAGTCACATTGGACAAGGTGTTCTGTGCGACTTGGAAGTGTTCATACAAGAGTGAGCCTTCCCATCTGCACCATGAAGCTGGTGGTAATCTGCACCACCATTTGCACTGCTCAAGGGTGATGGAGATAGCAGTAGGTCAAGGGTATCCAATATGGTGCCTTCCAGGTATTGTTGGATTAAAACTTGCTTCACAGCCACTGGCCATGCTGGCTGGGGCTGATGGGAGTTGGCATCTGACAATATCGGGGGGGGGGGGGACCACACTGGCTACACCCGCAGTAGACCAGTGGTTCTCAAACTGTGTTCTGAGGGATCTTTAGGTTCGTCAATGAGAAAGTTGGTAATGGCTGGCAAGCTTCACTGAAAAACTGCTTGTCTGCCACTACCAATTTCTCCTGCAGATGCAGTGGGGTTTTGGATGCATTTGAAAGACAACTCTTGGTTCATTCAAGTTAGGTACTAGCTCAGCTGATCATAGTACCCCAGAACACAACCCTGAACCCTGTGCTGCGTACAGGTATTATGTGGTAGAGATGGTTATAGCTCAGTGACAGAGTATCTGCTTTCTGTGCAAAAGGTCCCAGGTTCAGTCCCCATCATTTCCAAGTAGGGCTGGGAGAGACCCTATCTGAAACTCTGAAGTGCCATTTCCAGTCAATGTAGACAATACCGAGCTAGATGGACCACTTTCTATGTTCCTAGATGTGCTGGGGACCTCAACAGCCATGTTGAAATGGAAGGAATTCTCTGAAAGTAGAATCCACTGCATTAGATGACTTAAGCTCAGATCCCTGTGTGTGTGTCATTTCCCTGATCATCCATATCCATGGCAAAATGTCGGGGTCAACTTACTGGCACTTAATGACCATACATGCCTACTTACACACAGAAGTCTTTGGATCTACCCTTTTATCCAGTAGATGTTAGTATCCAAAGTAGTTGTGGATGTAGAACAACCCTTCTATTCATGCAAGTCTTGTACTACACAGGCAAATTTTGCTGGATTGAGGCCATGGATAAAATAATCCCATTCCAAGTATGTGGATTGCCCCTCCCTTTTCATGGTTTTCCCAAGACAAGCTTTGTTATAACTCCTATCCCCCCACTTCCTTCCAGCTTCCTATTTATAATGCACCACCTCTTAATTCAAGATACATTGATGAAAAGCCTGGCCGCTTGCAAAGTAGGATTTCATCAGTAAGAAACACAACAAGTTACTATGTCAATGGGTGCAAGGTAAGAATATTACTTAATTTAATAGATCAAGAATTCTCATACATGTCTTGCCATAAGTGAGCAGGTGGATAAATTGGAGTCAGCATGGAATAAGATTTCTATGAATTAGTTCAGTTCAGGATTTCCAGTGCATTTTTAGTTCAGAGTTCTTAGTCAAACCCTTAAGAAGAGAAGTAACATATTCAAACACTCTTAAAAAACCTTCTGCCTAGGAAGTTGCCCTTTTGGTAGAAGAAAGGTTAGGAGTAAGAATGATGTTCCTGCTTTAGGTTTGCTTTGTGTTATCTGGACCAACCTTTTAATGCCCACCAGTCAGTAATTTCTCTTTATTTTTGTTGTGTTTCAAAGCTTGGAGCGTAGTGACCTCTTGTGGTGTAAATTCAAAATAAATTTTCAGTGCCAAGTTTTGTTCACAAAACACCAGTGCAAAATAAACTGAAATGTATCATTGTGAAACACACAATATCTTTCCCACTGTGATGTCCCAAACTCTATTCCTTATTCGTTCCTGCAATATGTTATTTCAGCTGAAATAAATAACAGATGGTAGGGGAGGGAAAACTGAAGGGAAGATGGTAGGGGAGGGAAAACTGAAGGGTAGAGCATTGGGGAGGAGTTTTCCAAAACATTTTGCCTCTTGTTGAAATCAATGAGAGGGCAGTAAATGTAATTTCTCCTTCTTGATACATTCCCAACATGCCATCAGAATGCTTCCTCTTTGGCCTCTCTGAGGTTGGAGAGGAATCAGCTGCAGACCTTTCTGCAACCGCAGGCAAAAGGCTTCCAACTACGGATCTTCCTTCCTGAGAGCAGACCTCTCTCTGTTTTCAGCCTGATGAAACTTTGGCCCCTAAGATGTCCTCCCAGAGACTATAGGAGTGCAGAGTTAGGATCTACTACATATTTTAGAAAGTTGCACTATGCATTTGGATACCTCTTAAGATATCTTACCTAAGTTTTGTGTGCTAGTTCCTAAGATCAAGGAGCAGTTTTTCGTTTATGTTTGGATACAGTTGAATGCCATTTTAAATCAAGATTGTGGACGGAACCTTTTAAAAAAGCTTTTATGGTTTCTTGGAATTCCTGAGCACCAGGTAGAAGGCAGCTTGTCCTAAATAAAGAAATATAATACACAAGATGTCCACCTAAAAATTGATGCTGATGCATAAGAATGTTTACATCTTCTGGTGGTGCTGGAAAATATGATGTATCAAAAAGTTTAAATCAGAAAACCTCAAACACCTTATAAATGTAGCTTGTGCTATGCCAGTGGATTAATGCAATGAAATAACAATTTCCTGTTATGTTTGTCTATCAGTAGTTATGATGGAAGGCAAGGGGGATGTGTGTTTGTATTTTATTTTGTTTGTATTTATATCCCATCTGTTTGTCTGATAACAGGCAACTGAGACAGCTGACAACATGGGGAAATTAATACACAATAAAATAATAGGATGTTAATCTTAACAGCAGATGGTTCAGAAAGGCTAAGTTTATTTATTATTTGTGGCCTGGATCCAAAGCACCATGTGACTAGTTTTGCATGCCCAAGTGTGTTTGGATATATGATTCACAAAAAGCAACCCCCCCCCAAAAAAAAGGTATGGCAGACTTCTTCCAAAACAGAAGTTTCATAAGCACCTGGTGTGGGGGGGCTGCTCTTCAAAGGGGACATGTTCAAAATTCCACACACATATAAGGCCTTGGGCATACCTAATTAAAGTATCTTCTTGGATCCCAGCCATTATTCAGTTTGGAGTATATGTGGGAGGGGGAGTGATTTTTACACAGCCTTGCTCCCTCTGACAGTGAATGAGTTGCTGTTGGTAATGCAATGTGTACCACAGTGTAAATTAATAAAGCTGCCTTTTGTTTTTCTCTAGCTGAATAACTTTCCTATGTAAAGAGATCAAAAGTTTCATATTGAATATATTGTACACTGCACATGCTATAGCAGAGTCACCATGTGGCACCCACAAAGGCCTTCCCCGGAACCCATGAGGTTCCCTGCTCCTCTGCTTGCTGAAATTAGGCTTGAAGTATTATTTTGTAGCCAATAGAAAAGGTTGTGGGGGTATTTGGTTGTGGGGTGTGTGTCACTGATAGTTTATCAGACTTACAAATGTGGCCACGGATCCAAAAAAGTTTGCAACCCTTGCTACAGTAATATTTTGCTATTGCTACAATAATATTTTGCAGCATTGGGTAGAGGGCATTAATAAAATATGGCACTATTTGCCTCCTACTTGCATCATATATACTGGTTCCAAATCCACAGAAGCAGCAGCACAGTAGGAGTCTCCTCCTGCCCCACCACCAAAGAAGTGATAGCTGTGACAAATTTGTCATTACCAGCTATTAGATTGTTGGGGAAAGTCATGGGCTCAATCCAACACTTGCTTTTCTCTCTTTTTTTAAAAATAATATTTATTACTTTTCCAACAATTTAAACACTACAAAAAAAAATAAACAATACAATACAATACAAAAACAATACATAACACTAACACATTAAACTAACAAAACAAAACAAAAACAGTTTAAAACACATCAAACAGTTTCAATATCTTATCTTTCATTCACTTATTTCAATGACCTCCTCACACCTCCCTTTTTTGTATTCCACTTCTGTTAATTGTTTCAGCAATTCCTTTCCATCTTCCTCTGCTTTCTATCCTTTAATTATCTTAACACATTCTAACCTTATTTTTCCCTTTAATACTCTATTAATCTATTTATACTTAATTCCTTATAACATTTCTACTAAAACCATATAACTTCATTCCAACATTTTCCTAACATTCATTAATTTTACAGTATTTCTGTAAATAGTCTTTAAACTTTTTCCAGTCTTCTTCCACCGACTCTTCTCCCTGGTCTCGGATTCTGCCAGTCATTTCCACCAATTCCATATAGTCCATCAACTTCATCTGCCATTCTTCCTGGGTGGGTAAATCTTGTGTCTTCCAATACTTCGCAATGAGTTTTCTTGCTGCTCTTGTTGCATACATAAAAAAAATTCTATCCTTCTTTGACACCAATTGGCCAACCATGCCAAGGAGAAAGGCCTCTGGTTTCTTCAGAAAGGTATATTTAAATACTTTTTTCATTTCGTTATAGATCATCTCCCAGAATGTCTTAATCTTTGGGCGTGTCCACCAAAGGTGAAAGAATGTACCTTCAGTCTCATTACATTTCCAACATTTATTGTCGGGCAAATGATAAATTTTTGCAAGCTTGACTGGTGTCATGTACCACCTATAAATCATTTTCATTAAATTTTCTCTTAGGACATTACATGCCGTAAATTTCATACCTGTGGGCCAACACTTGCTTTTCTCTTGCCCTGCCTAAGACGTGATGTTATTGCTGATGTTGCTGGACTACAGCTCCCATCATCCTTGAGCATTGAGCATTCTAGATGAAGTTGGACACAGGTCTCCACCCCATTGTTAAGTGATTCAGGAACATTGCACTTAAATCTGCCTCTTTTCCACCTCCTCCATGTTCCACTTGCTGATCAGTTATACTAAATTCAAAGAGCTGAATTACAAAGTGGGGAAATTTCCAGTGTTTTGTCTCCAACTGTTTGTCAATGTGATTATTTGATAAATATTAGGAGTTTTTAATACAGTTGCATAAATATCAGATGGGGAAAATTATATTTTACTTTGTTTGTGCAGGATGCTTATCTCTTTGTCAAAAATGGGATAATATCATCTGTACAGTTTGGAAAAGGTGAGTGATTATGTGCAAAGCTTAAATCTTTAATTTCTTTGTTCTTGGCCATGCAAATTACAAACCTTCTTAAAATGAGGCGACATTCCAGATTTTCATATAAATATTTTATATTTTCTTATAAATATTTTGCCCCACTGTAAATACAGCACAGTTAATAAAGTCTGAATTTGTATGAAGTAATCATTTCTACATCCAATTACAAATAAATTATTGTTTTTATTAATTCTTAGAAAATAATATTCAGGCTTAGCAAATCTTGCTCTTTTTTTTTTAAGATGCCTATGTTTACCTGAAGAATCCACCTCCAGAATTCCTTCCCAAAGTTGGTGTGATTACAGTTTCAGGACTGACTGGGCTAGTCCTTGCAAGAAAAGGTAAGGGATTACATGCTTATAAGTTACTGTTATTAGTATTAATTTATTAATCACCTTCTGTGCAAACATATCAAAACAATTCACATTAAAAACAGAAAAAAACAGTTTATAACTCATACACATAATCTCCCCCATTACATTTAAAACAAAACTAAGAGAGTACAAAATACACACTTATGGCAAAGACCATTTATTCAACTGGGAAAACATCCTAAAACAAAAAATAGTCTCCAGTTGTTTGCAGAAAGTGCAGATAGTGGGGCACCTGTTGTATCTCAACAAGAATGCTATCAACAGAACAGGAGCCAGCCCAGGCAAGCTGTTTAATGAATGGGGAGAGGCACAAAATGTCTATCCCCCTCCATTAAATGTGTTTGTAGCAAGGTTTAACAGAGGGGTAGGGAGGCCCTTCACCTATGTCTTATACTGGGTTAGCAAGCTGCCCTGTGGCCTCCCCACCCCTGGTTAAACATTTTTGCAGTCAGGTTCAATAGAGGACGGAGAGTTTAGCAACTGGTGAGCAAGGAGAGGGAGCAGGTGGATAAGATACATAGTTATATGTTGGGGGAAGCCAGTTGATGAGGTGGGGTTGGTGAATGGAGCTGTGTGTGTGTGTGTGTGTGTGTGTGTGTGTGTGTGTGTGTTGCTTCCTTGCCACATTGGAATGTGGATCCTAATGCAGATGGTTACAAAGCTTGCTGTCCTGTGCACCTTGCACCTACCCCACTGTAAGTTTAATACATCCAAGTAGAATCATGAGGATGCATGCAATGGAATACATAGTACAGCCTTATGCCTAGTAGTCTGTAACTGTATCCAGATTCAGATGCTTTTGCAGCCTCATTCCCATTAAGAACAGAAGAGATGGGCAGTGTTGATACAGGCTGAAGATAGTTCACTTGACTGAATGCTTGTCTATATAAAAATATTGCTTATACATTGGAAGCCAGTGTGGAGCCTAGCCTTCTCAATATGATTGTTTTTGCTTAATGTTGCTTAAATCAAAGATGGGCAACCCATGGCCCTCGAGATGTTGCTGGGCTACACAACCTGTCATCTTTGGGATAGGACCTTGTCATCATTGGCCATGCTGGCTGGAACTGATGAGAGCTGTAATCCAATAGCATCTGCAGGGCTGCAGGTTCCTGGTCACTGCCTTATATGGTTGATTGATTGATTTTGCAGGATCTAGATTTAAGAAGATTTGCTATCCCTTTGGACTCTGCACATTGGGCATATCTGTTTGCTATCCAGCTCAGTCAGTAATTATTGCAAAGGTGAGTTCTACTAAATGGTGTATGAATGCTTTCCTTTTTATTGTTTAAAAATCTTGCCACTTGTTCATCACACTTTAGCATTTTAAACTGGAAAATTCTTTAAAGTTTAAAAGCACTAATAGATTGCTATCTATAATTGCGTTTGTTCTTTCTTTCACTGTTGGCTGCATCACAGTTCATTGGAGAAGTTTTGTTAGCCTTGCCTATGCTACAATATTTTTAAAACTGGTTGTTCAGTGCAATAACATTTCTAATATTAAACTAGGTAATAGGTGGAAAGGCCTATGCTGCAAGCCATAAAACCTATGAAGCAATAGGATCGCTATGGACCAAAAAGTCCACTACGGAAGTTCTACTCACCCAGGATAAAGATACTCAGGTAGGTTCTTTTCCAAAATCTACCCTTTAGCAGCATGGGCTAGTTATCTTTCTTTGATATACATTGTGTTTGAAACACATGCATAAAAACAATAGTGTTGCAGATATCCAGCATCATTATTTTTCAGCCTTTGAACTTCCAAACATACAACAGATTTTTAAATACTATATATAGTAGACTGGTTTGGAGACTGACAGATACTCTGCACATGTTAAGAGACATATTTTTGCTATTATTTGTGTGTATTTTAAAATAATTTTTATTAAATTAAAAATAGTTATACAAAATTCTGCACAATATAGAGTGTTATCAAACAGTATCTGGTGGCAATTATACATTGACCACATAAAATTATGGATCACTGTCAAACAAAAATAAGACATGAAGTAAAACCAAAATAAATAAACAATGGGCATATGAATGGATGGAAGGTAGTGACTAGAAATATTTATAGCATAGACATAATGGTTAAACAAGACAGGGTTATGAAACATGGACCCTATTACACCAATGGAAAGTATTTTAATGGGCACAATGACTATCAGCCATATTCATTTGTAAGCCAAGGAGGATCCTCAGCCAATTTGCTATTATTTTCTTATTTATGCACTGCTATCCATGTGCATGACATTTTACATAGCAATATTAAGCAAAAGACAAGCCACCAATCTGTGGGGGAAAGACTGTAGCACAGTCTCTGCGTGGAGAAGGTCCAGAATTGAATCCCTGGCATCTCCAGGGCTGGAAAAGACTCCTATCTGAAACCTTGTAGAGCAGTACTTGCCAGCCTGGTGTCTTCCAGATGCTCTGCACCAGAGCTGGGGCTGGGGAAGTGGGCAGCAGAGGGCACCAGATTGCTGAAAGCTAGTGTAGGCAATACTGGGTGATGGATCATTGATTTGACTCTAGTATAAGGCAACTTCCTATGTTACAAGGAGTGTTCTGCCTAAATTTAGATTTGGCAATATCAGGCTAATTTTACAATTTAGTCATTATTTCAACAGCAGCAAGTACTTGGAGCAGTTCCAGGAACAGACCATATTGTCTCAGAAGCTCGGAAGATAGCCCTTGAATCAGAAGAAAAGGTGAAATCATCACAAATGCAATTTAATGCAGAGAAGACACTTCTGCAGACAGATTCTGTTCCTTTGATAGCTGAAGCGAAACCACCAAGTGTGAGATCAGGTATGAATAACCAAGAACTGTCCTGAAGATCTTAAGTGACAAGACAGTGCCAAACACATACACTAACACCTTTTTTATACTTAACAGATGTGTTGAAGGCAACAAAGTTTAAACCAGACCCCAGCCTCATGGACCATGGCCAGTCCAGCCCAGAAGATGTGGATATGTACAGTACCAGAAGCTAACAGAGCACAAACTCCCAAAAATTTTGGATTACAATAATGATGGGACATTAAAATGGGGAAAGTTGTGATCTATATGGTGGTATTTGATCAGGTAGTTCTTCAACCTGATCTTTAACTGCACAGCCAGTTCACTTACCCTTCCTTTCCACGTATCATTTCCCCCCCTATTACTTATTGCTACAAGTGTTCTTTTAATTTTTGGAAATCACTTGGAGAAACAGATTTCTGTGCCACTCATGCACAGATAATGAAGTGATAATGAAAAGAGAAATATTTAAACTTCTTTTCCTTGGGCTTATCTTTAGTCCAGGAGATGTGGCTGCTCAACACTGTAGCACTTTGCTAATATGCTGGCCTTTAAAAACTTGCTGTCATTCAGAGGAAAAGGGGGAAACATATTGATAATTATAGTTTATGGATATATAGGTATATATAATTAAAAATGCATTTCCCAAACTGCTTGCTGTGGAGGTGTTTTGGTAGCTTCATACAGGACATGAATTTTCATCTGCTTTCTACAGTCCTTGTGTAGTAGCGAAGCGGGAATTTGCATATAAACCCAGCAGATGATACCGAGGCTATGTTCGCAGTTGTGAATGCAGGTATCTTCCTATTTCTCCACTTCCAGCCTCTGGGGCTGATTAGTCCTGTCAGGTTTTTTATTTGACCTCAATTCCACTTTGGCCAAGTCACACCCATCTACTCTATTCCTGATACAAAATCGGATGAGGTTGCGCCTGAGCCAAAAAGATCTACCAAAGGGAGCCAGCCAAAAAAGGCATACAGGATTAAACAACAGGGTGCTTCTGAGCACATTCTGAGCCAACACATTTGTTTTTCATACTAAAACTGAAGTGAGCGCACAATCCTTTCACATACAATACCACTCCTGGTTAGCTTTCTGCAATGCAACAGCCTAACTTGGGGTGTCATTTTGTCATTGCTATAGTTAAAATAGTTGCTGAAACTCTAGCTGATCTACGGAAAAGTCACTCTGGGGTCTACTAATAGATACTGATCTACTTTCTGCCGCCCCCTGCTTTATGTGGGTACTGGGACGCTGCCTTGGTTCTCCAGTATTGGTGATATAGCAACAAGCCATGTGACACAAATGTCATGATACTGCTTTGGGTAAGGGTAGGAAAAGTGCAAGACCACAGGAACATAGGAAGCTGAGTCAGACAATATGGTCTCTCTGGTTCAGATTGTGTACTCTGGTTGGCAAAAGCTCTCCAGGTTTCAGATGAGTGTGTTTTCCCAGCCCTACCCAGAAAAACTGGTGATTGCATCTCTGACTGTATGCAAAGCCTGTGATTTTAATGGTAATACCTAAAATAGGTACAGTTTTTTAAAGTGTATCATGCATTCTCTAGTTGTAACCTTTATAAACAGGCAAGTCACTGGAAATCGGGGGGCTGAGAGAACGGTTTGTCTAAGGCAGCCTTTCCCAGCTTGGCATCCTCTGACTTGGAGGCACCAGGAATCAAATCTGGGACTTTCTGCATGCAAGGCAGGTGCTCTTTCCCACAAAGTCTTGTTCTTCCTTCTGGGCATAAGCTTGTGCATGCTCTAACACACTAGGGCACCAGCACTATTTTTGCATTTGAAGAAAAGCAAGAGGTTTCCTGGCCAGACCAGCACATTATGTCCCACCTGTGTTCTTTCTCCATATGAGTCACCAGTTGAGTCACCTTTGCTTAAACTGATCCGTAAGATTCAGGCTGCATTTGAAGTGTTGTACATCCATGTGAAGAAAAAGTAAAGCAATTTATCAAAGTCATGTCAGTCATAAAACACGCACGCTTCTTTTAATTTTTCTTGCTATTTGCACTCTGCTTTGAAGCCACTGTGTTAACCAGAAGTCTCCCCTTGTAAGTGAGATTTTTCATTGCAAGCCTGATGAGCACTCCAAGCTTTGAGAGTGATAAAAAAAATGGCGGACTTCCTTCTTTTAGTCTCCAGAAGCCATTCTGACTAGATTTTCTTTGTCAAATCTAAAGAGATGCCAGCCTTCTTCAGTGGAAAGGTCTGAAGCACCACGCCTCATATAGTACTCTATAGATGGCTTGTTCCAAACAACAACAAGGAAATGCATGCAGCTGCAGTTGGTTTCGATTGCTATCTGAAAAGTAAGCACAGGCAATAGCATTTGGGGAAATAAGAGAGGGGTGTCCAGTGCTGGTAGCCATTTATTGCCTTTCCCTCTATGCCAGGCACATCCAAGCTTAAGTTGCCTCCCATCTACCAACAAGTATCAAAAACTGGCAGTGCTCTACCACCCTCCGAAGCAAGATAGATAAATACATCTTTATTTCATAGATACAGTAGTTATGTTTGGATTTCATTATGACAGATCCAAATAGTTACTAGATGGAGAAGTAACTAAACAAGTGAGAAAAGTCAAACTATATTTTTATATTAGTTTGCACAGATCTGAGGAGCCAGCTTTTCTCTCTCTCTCTCTCTCTCTCTCTCTCTCTCTCTCTCTCTCTCCCTCCTTCAGGCAGCATCCCATTCCACTGCCAGCACTCAGCACAGCGGGAAAGATAGCAAGCTGGGGCACTCACTCTCCTCCTCCCTCTCTTGCTCTCCCTCAAGCAGCATCCCATCCCACCCCACTGCCAGCGCTCAGCAGCGGGAAGGATAGCAAGCTGGGGCACTCTCTTTCTCTCCCTCTCTTTCTGTCCCTCAGGCAGCATCCCACCCCACCCCACCGCCAGCGCTCAGCAGTGGGAAGGATAGCAATCTGGCAGCGTATGCACACACCAGCTCTCCCTTGGAGATAGCAGGGCAGCATCTCAAGTCCCCCCAGGAGCGCAGCGATCAACCTGCGATCGACCATAATCAGTCTCAGGTTCCAACAGTCGATCGTGATCGACGTGTTGTACATGCCCACTCTATGCCATTTATTGCCTTTCCCTTTATGCATTCCCTCTAAGACATGAGGTTGGTAGCCATCATTACCTCTTGTGGGAGTTACTTTTTTAAACCATTTATATTTAAGCTGCCAGTTAATCTTGTTGCTTGAAATTATTACTGTAGCAAATGCAGAAACAAAACTTGGAGTAAAAGAAAACACAGTTACTTGGCTTTCTTTGCAAGAACCACTGCATTCACGGATTGCACAGAAAGTTGTAGGACTATAATACCTGCATCTAGAGTTCTGAATCTAAACTGGGACAACTTAAAGTCTTTGCTGTTCTCACATTCTTGGGCATTTTTAAGCATTAATACAAAATCAAAGATTTGGATATAAGTCATTAATTAGTCACTAATTTGTTAAGAATTCTTATAAAACCTTTTAGCTGGCAAAATGCTTTTCTGCTTCAGAGCCAATTGATATGTACAGTAGCTGTGGTGGTACATTGCACACCCACCATTTAATTTCTCCTTGTTTTATTTAAAGATGCCTATAATTGTTTTCATTTCACTCACAAATGTCTCAAAGCAACTTACACATCCATAAAATGCACAAAGCTTACAAACAGTTAAAGACAATGCATCAGGAAATTGTATTTTAAAAATGCTCATGCAACAATATTAAAAGGATGATTCCTGCCCCGTTCAGCTGAAAGGTGAACATGACAAGCAGGTAAGAAATCATACTATAGTATGATCCCAATCATAAGCACTCAAGGAGAAGACTTAAAATCCAATCTGTTTTTTGAGGTAAGTTCTAGTCTAGGTTGTATCTTCCACATGGGAATATTTTTCAAACCTGTAACTCTTCCCTCTTTTTCTACCTAGTCTCCCTTCCCAAACAAATTCAGGAAGTTGATTAGGATTGCCCTTCTGGAAGAGGATATTGTATCACAGCTGGAGAACGAAGCTGAGTCACCAGTTGGAATGCAAGTAAAAACTTCATTCATACAAATGATTAGATGGTTAAAACTGTTGGTACCCCTTCAGACTACAAGTGAGGATTACATGGTTCAATGTATTTTCATACTGAAAGCTTCCCCACACATAGAAAGCTAGCACAACAGTGAGTGTTCAGCTATAACACCTCCCCCTGACATCTAGTTTTATATATGCAAAATTCTGATTTTATTTATTAGTACAGAGGGATTAGGAAAGTATTGAGTTAGAAGGGATTTCAAAGGTCACCTAGTCTAGTCCCCTTCATGCCAATGCAGTAAATCCACTGCTACATCATTCTTGATAGGTGGCTGTTTTCTGTTTAGTAACCTCTAAAGACAAGTTCCTTCCAAGGGAGTCTGTTCCACAGAACAATTTTGCTTCATTTATTTTATTTATTTATTTATTTATTTATTTATTTATTTATTCCCCGCCCATCTGGCTGGGTGTCCCCAGCCACTCTGGGCGGCTTCTAATAAAACACTAAAATACAATAACCTATATGACACCCCTTCAGGTATTTGAAGATTCCTGTCCTCCAGATTTAAGCCCAACTCACAGAACATAGTTTGCAGACCCCTCACCGTCTTTGGGAGGAGATGCCATGGCTCAGTGGCAGAGCATACACTTTGCATGCAGCAGGTTCCCCTTTCACCCTCTGGCATTTCCAAGTACGTCTGGGATTGCCCCCATCTGAAAGCCTGGAGAGCTGCCGATGATAAGATTGGGTAGAAGGCAGGTTTTCTGTGTTGCTGTATTGCTCTCTGTTCCAGTTTATCACTATGCTGCAGTGTCCAGAGCTAGATGCAGCACTCCAGGTGAGGTGAATCTCTCCAGAGTGGAAGAAATTATTAAAATCTACATATATTTTTCTTGGTGCATTAGCCCTTTTTTTAGCCTCTGCATTCTGCTATTAACTCACATTTCACCTTGTGTTCTGTTAGAAATTTAAGGAACTTTTCATGTGTGTTCCTGCAGATGCAAGCCCCTACCTGCAGTCTGAAGCGTGAAACAGTTGTATCAACAGTTTTTACAATCTGATCTGTTTCTTGTGTGAATAAGATTAGAGATTCTAACCACTGATACCCTGTTGATCCTCTCTTTTGCTTCTTGATTCTCACAACTGACTTGAATAATGAAACCAGGTTTGGGGAACTGGTAGCCCTCCAGATGCTGTTGGACTCCAGCTCCCATCATCCTCAGCCAGAATGAGCAATAAGGGTGATGGGAGTTGTAGTCCAGCAACATGTGGAGGTCACCAGGCTAGAGAAGACTCTCAGTCAAATTTAATATGTCAGCAGCTTTTTGACTAAAGTAGATTTAAGTCTGTACTGTTGAATATACAGCTTACAAAGTAAATACATACAAGTAAATAAAAGACAGGAAAATATAACTTGCCTGGCTTAATCTTTTTAAAAGTTCTGTTCCAATGCCCCAACCTGCCAAAACACAGATCAGAAAAACCTCAGATACCAAAACTTGCAACATACCCATGTGAACAGTTTGCCTGCTTTGACAATATGCTATTTTATCTTCTTTGCCATGAGCCATGAACAAAATAGGAATATTTACCGGTAAAATCTAATGCATTATTCTATACACATACAAAAAATTAAATTTCTTTGAAATTGCAAAGAAGCCTGTACATTATCATTATTTTAGGAAAGAAAAGGAAATGGAACTGCAAGGCTAGCCTCCTTCTACCTGGTGGACTCCCAAGTCCTATCAGCCCCAACTAAGGAAGGGTGAATCTATCAATTTTGGTTTCTCATTTTTTCACACTCAAGTGCAGTTATCCACATTGGCACATCACTTCACTTTTAAAAAAATAAAAATTCTCATGAGAACTTAGTGATATTTTATTGTGCATTTTCCCTCATATATATACAACTTTGCAATTTTCTCTAGCATATAGCTTTGCATTTTGTATGCTATTTTTACTAATATATGCATTTTTGTGCCCAGTTTGCCCTAGCACATGCATTTTTCCACGCATTACATGGCTTGGGAACTGTAGTGCAAAATTGAGAGAAGTGTGAATCTCCAAGGAAAGCTTGTGGCATTTCAGTTTGTGTATTGTTACAGAAAATGTGAATTAGGAAGCTTTGCCTATAAATGTGAACTGAATCTCGTTTCTCCCCCATCCCTAGCCCCAGCTAGCAGAGCTAATGATCAGTGATTATGAGAGTTGTAGTCCAAAACATTGCAGGGCACCAGGTTACTGATGGTTGTTCAATGTAGAATGTAAATATTTATTCAAGGTGTTTCCCTATACTGCCCCACAAAGCTGGCTCCATAGAATTAGTAACAATAAGCATGAGTAACAATTAGACAATAAAACAAAAAAGGCAAAATGAGAAATAACTCAATATTGAAATCCTATTCTCCCCTTTCCTCAGGACAAAATGGTTCTTCAGAAGCCACCGTGGTTAGTGGCAGTTGGGCAGTCTTAAATTCAGTTATTCACATTCCAAATCAGTGCAAAACTCCCAGTATAAACAATTTTGAAAATCAATTTCTCTTACATGATTCATTTTTCACTAAGCAAGTCTGGACAGTGTATATGGTCTTGATGGTCCAAAGGAACAGAAAGCAATACGTTTGGCACCAGCTTGGTGCAGGAGTTAGGTGCATTTTATGCACATTTCACCCTGGTATATGCAATTTTGAACACTTTCCTTGGTTGGAGAACTGCATCACAAAATTCAGTGCAAAATTCTAAGGATGACTGTTTCAGTTTGCATTTTGTTTTGGAAATTCAAATTAGGTATGTTTCCCTTTAAATGCAAACTGTCTTGCCCAACTGGCTGGGGCTGATGGGAGCTAGGAATCCAACAATATATTGGGGGCCACAGTTTCCCTAACCCAGTTTTAAGCTTTAGGGCTAAGTGATGAGGACTTTATCTCCGGGGTCTTCCCAATCTCAGCCCAACCACCTAACCACACCTCCACACTGTCTCTCACTTTATTATGTGCAAACAGTATTATTTTTACCTCTATATTCATCCATAACGTAGAAGTCTTCTAAGTACAACAGCTTGCCAATCCAAGGGTCATAAGTATAGTAATACATAGCAAACCCTACAATGTCGGTTTCTGGCGAGAAACAAAACAGCTATTGTAAGGAAATAACTACTATTGTGTAAGGCTGTCAATCAGCTAGAGAATTATGAATTAGTTAATCATCTTAGACTGTATCCAACTAATTTCTACTCAGAGTGCACACATTTGTTTTAGTTTAGTAATACTGTAATCATTAATTTCAACAGGTCTACCTAACTAACATTAGATACTACACCTTCCTTTTAAATTATCACTTCAACATAAATAGACCAGAATTTTACTGAATTTGGTAATAGCACCTTTTGTAAGACGTATTAAATTTGCATTTGGGGGGAAATTACTTTGTCATGGCCTTCCAAAGGAGCCAGGGAAGCAAACAAAACCATGTGTTGTTATTTTTTAAGCAAATCAAATTTCCTCAATATAAAAGGGCTTACTGGTTAATACAATAAAAGGAAAGAGAACCACACTGCTATAAGGAAAAGCCACTTCAATGTTTTTTTAATTAAAAACATTTTCAGTAACAAAGCCAAAATAGTCCCACACCAACATAATGATGCAATTGTGCCTCAGAAGCCCCATTAGTAATTCTGTCTCCCCCCTGAGCATACAGAGATTTTCTCCTTTCCTTTCTTCTCAGTGGTCCCACTTTGCCACCAATTTATTACTTCTTTATTTTATTTACTACATTTATATACCACCTTTTTCTCCATGGAGCTCCTCCTCCCCACCAACCCTATGAAGTAGTACTGGCCCAAGGTCACCCAGAGAGCTTAATAAATGAGTGGGAATTTGAACCAGGACTTGGTCTGACACCCTAACCACTATACCACACTGGCTCCAATCCTCTCTAAACTCAGTACCTGAGTTGACTATTAAAGCAGCACAGGCTGGTCTGCTTGGGTAGGTGGGGGCATTGCCCCTCCAACCTCAGTCTACCTTCCGCTAGCGTCCTCATGTCTACCTTCTTAACTGCAGCTAGGCCAGGTTGTAGCACTGCCTCTCAACTTCCCCCTCCTTAGTCCCATTGTTGCCCTTGTAGAACTCAGCAGCCAGGAGGATGGAGACTTAGCAAAGTTACGGTAGTTCACTCTGCCTGTCATTGGCTCTGGCTCTACCTGTTGTTTACTCTGGCGCCACCTTCTGTTGGTCTCCCTGCCTTCTACCCTACCAGTCCCAATGGACACTAACCACCACTGTACAGTGGTACCTCGGGTTACATACACTTCAGGTTACATATGCTTTAGGTTACAGACTCCACTAACCCAGAAATAGTACCTCGGGTTAAGAACTTTACCTCATGATGAGAACAGAAATTGTGCTCCAGCGGCGCAGCAGCAGCGGGAGGCCCCTTAGCTAAAGTGGTGCTTCAGGTTAAGAACAGTTTCAGGTTAAGAACGGACCTCCAGAATGAATTAAGTACGTAACCAGAGGTACCACTGTATTAGATAAAGTGATATTATCTTGGTGGGTAGAAAGAAAAATAAGAGCCTATATTGCACTTGTCTCCCCCCCACCCCCCACCCCTGAGAGCATTTTAATAGCTCAGACATAGGGAAGGATAGGGGAAACTGTGTGAGAGGTTAATTACCTCTCTCTCCCAGCACTACTGTGCTAAGCCAAATACCACCTCCCCAACCACTGACTTAGCTCTAAAAAAAGGCCAGGATCAAAGGGCTCACATTTTAGGTTCATGTAAATATCTTCATATTCTTGGTGGGGGGTATTAATTTCGTTTTTGTTGCACAGTTGACCCATTCTCCGTCTCATCAGGATATGCCAAGAATTGCTTTTGAAATATTTATTAGCTTCAAAACACCATTTGCCATCCAGCAGGGTGGTATGTACATCTGTGACTAACAGAACACAAATCTAAAAGCCTCTTTTGGATTGTGAAGCTATAGCCAGACCTTTAATGTTTAGCTGATTTCTAAAAAAAAGTTTTTTTAAATTCTCCAAGCAATTAAAAGGATTAAGGCTGTCATCTTTTAGGACACACTATGTGCCTCTTGGTCAGATGGCAGGAGGTTCAACAACATGTGCTGAAACTCATTTAAAATTGTAGAAAGTATTTTGAGGGAAGTAGCAATCCACTGTTGACAAGCAATTCCAAAACAAAGTAGAATATTCTTCACACTTTAAATGTCAAGGAGTGCAAGTTACATGTTTTATGTCCTGGATGGCTGGGGGTTCTTGTGGGGAGATATTTATTATTGCCTTTCACATGAGTCTGAATGTGATTTACAAACATAAAACTGAAAAGAAAATAATAGGAAAAGAATAGGAAAAATCCAACTAAATTCAGGCTTGCAAACAATACAAAGTGAACATTTAAAGCAGAAACCTTTCTCTTGAAATGTAGAAGCTTGTCAAAGTAATAGGTAAAGGTAAAGGGACCCCTGACCATTAGGTGCAGTTGTGACCAACTCGGGGTTGCGGCGCTCATCTCGCTTTATTGGCCGAGGGAGCCGGCGTACAGCTTCCGGGTCATGTGGCCAGCATGACTAAGCCGCTTCTGGCGAAGCAGAGCAGCGCACGGAAACGCCGTTTACCTTCCCGCTAGAGCAGTACCTATTTATCTACTTGCACTCTGACGTGCTTTCGAACTGCTAGGTTCGCAGGAGCAGGGACCGAGCAACGGGAGCTCACCCCGTCACGGGGATTCAAACCGCTGACCTTCTGATCAGCAAGTCCTAGGCTCTGTGGTTTAACCCACAGCACTACCCACGTCCCTTTGTCAAAGCAATAATGTCTTCTATTTCCCCCAAAAGTAAAGTGGGCCCACGATTTACCCTTAATTTACCTGCGCAATCAGAACCTTCAGCGCACAGCTAAAAAATAGTTGGAGAGCAGGGTAAACCCGCCACAGAAAGAGCTGTTTAAGCCCTCCACTTTGCTTATCTGGCTCTGGGAACTTCCCAGCATAAAACCCACATAAATGGTGGGCTCACTATATCCCAGTAGGGATGCTGTTCCACAGAACAGGGGCAATGGCAATGAAAACCCTGCTTGTTCGGTGGTTGTTGGGTTAAGTTAGCCATATTGAATTGTATGCTGTCGGTGGGTTCATGCTGTTGCCTTGTTGGGCTGTGTATGTGATAAAGGGGAGCCATGCTGGAGTAAATGCATCCTCTTCTATTTCTCCCCGTGTCAGTTTCAGTCTACTGGTTAGTTTTTCTAGTAAGGCTGTTTCCTGTACTACTTGATACCAGTGTTCCATCTTTATCCCAGACAGGTCCCTCCAGTGTCTGGCTATGTTGTTTCTGGCTGCTGAGAGTAGGTGGGATATGAGCTCTTTATAGGGTAAGATATTCAGTAGGGCATGACTTCTAGTACCTGTTTAGTTATTTTGCTTAGTTCTTGTATGACTGTTGTCCAGAAGAGTTGGGTTTGGGGGCATTCCCATCACATGTGGAGGTATGAGCCTGTGGAGGTGCAGCCTTGCCAGTATTTTGGTGAGGTTCCTGGGTGTATCAGGGCCAGTTTCTGTGGTGTTTGGTACCATCTGTAAGTGAGTTTCAGAGTGAGTTCTTCTTGCTGATATGGCTTTAAAGGGAGGTTTAGACCACATTCTAGTCAATTGGGTGGGGTTAATTTCACAGCCTATGTTGTTTTTTGATTGTGTGAAGAGGGTTTGTGGGGCTTTGGAGCAGTGTTTTGTATATTGTAGATACCATCCCCTTGCTATGTCCCGTTGTTGTTAGCAGAAGACCTTTGAAGGTGGTCAAGGGCCTAGTGGCTGCTGATTTTACTGCTGGGTTGTTTAAAGTGTGTAGTTGGTGGTGTGTTAGCCAGGATATTTATTTTGTATTTCTTGTGTCAATATGGGTTTGTTATTTTTGTAGAAGTCTGCTATGTGATATAGACCTTTGGCTTGCCAGGTTTTTATCTGGAGATTTTGTGCTGTGTGGTGGAATAGTGGGTGGTAAGCCAGGGGGATTAGTGGGGATTGGGTTGGGGACAGTTTGCCAACTTCTTCTTTCTATGTAAGCATGGTCTGTGTCAGGCTTCCTCAAACTCGGCCCTCCAGATGTTTTGAGACTACAATTCCCATCATCCCTGACCACTGGTCCTGCTAGCTAGGGATCATGGAAGTTGTAGGCCAAAAACATCTGGAGGGCCGAGTTTGAGGAAGCCTGGTCTGTGTGAACCTGTTTAGTGTGGTGGGGATTTTCCTTAGTTTGTTTTGGAGGAAAGTATATGCTGGGGTGGGAGTGTTTTCGATTATGTCTCTCTCCAAGGGTACCCATTGTTTCTTCTCATCTTCTAGAATGTATGGGATTATATGGTTGGCGATGTAGTATAGTTCTATGTTGGGGATTCCCCATGCTCCTTCTGAGGTGGGGAGGTGCAGGTGTTTGGGGCTTATTCTTGGCTTTTCGTGTGAGAAGATAAACAAGTGTAGTTTTTTCTGCCATTTGTGGAGTTGGATTGGTGGAATCCAGATTGGGAGGGTTTGGAATAGGTAGGTTAATTTTGGAAGGGTAATCATTTTGATCATGACTATTTTATCTGAGAGAGTGAAGTTGGTATTGCTCCATCTCATCAGGTCTTTGTTAATTTGTCATCATAGGGGTTTGTAATTGTGGTGGTATAGTTTTTTGTGCTTTCTGGTTATCTGTACCCCTAGGTATCTGAACCTGGTGCGGCAGAGTTTTTTCTTTGTGATGTTGGTGAATTCTTTTTGGGTATGGAGGGAGTGTTGAAGCACATAGCCTCAGATTTTGCAAAGTTTATTGTAGGCCCGATACCATTGCAAATGTGCTGAGTTCTTTGGTTAAGGTGGTTGCTGTGTTGATGGGGTCTGGTGCTGTGACCATTAGGTCATCTGAAAAGAGCCCTAATTTATAGGTTTTGCCTTTTATTTCCACTGCCTTGATGTCAGGCTGCCCAGATTCGGATTGCTAGAGGTTCCAGGGCCAGGATGAATAGGAAGGGGGGCAGTGGGCATCCTTGTTTCGTGCACAATGTACTACCCATCTCCTAACACCCCTTATAGGTGGAGCAATGGATGCCAAAAAATGACCTAAGTTAGTTTCTACACACAAACACACTTTTTGATCCAGGCAAGCAGGCAAGAGGAACTCAATGCTACATTCCCTCAGGGAGGGGTATAGCTAGGGTGGGATTTGCTATGATGAAAGTACCAAAGTTCAGATAGGGAGGCTTAGAAGGTTGCAGTTGAACTGTGAGCCTCAGCATTGCCAGTGATGAGGCTCTCCAAATGTCATTGGACCCCTCACCCACATCAAGCCCATTCAGCATAGCAGAAGTGATAAAGTTGTAGTCCAGCAACTTCTGGAGGCCCACAGGTTCCCCACCCCAACCCACCTAGACCCTATTATCTTCTGAGGTCCTTCTCTGGATACCCCCACCAGATGCAGCCCAGTGGGTAGCTTCTTGAGGTGGAGCATTTTCAGTGTTGGCACTCATTCTATGGGATGTCTGGTTATACAAATAAATGATAACTTTGTTTTCTTGAAAGCTTACCCTGCATTGCATCATCCTTATTTGCTTCTGCTATTAAACACTGGAAGAAAGGACGTGATCCGAAACCATCTCGAAGCAAATCTGAAATGTTCAGATAGTTGAATAAAGCACTAAAATATAGTCCCAAGATAAAAGAAGATTAGTAATAGGTAGTAGTACTAAGTAGTAGTACTTACTAGTACTAAGTAGTAGTAGTAGTAGTAGTAGTAGTAGTAGTAGGATGGGGTGGAGTGCGAGGGAGGGAGGGAGGGTTAGGGTTTGTTGTTGGTTTGGCCTTATTCTTGTTTTTATTATGTACCATATTTTTTGCTCTATAAGACTTACTTTTTCCCTCCTAAAAAGTAAGGGGAAATGTGTGCGCGTCTTATGGAGTGAGTGCAGGCTGTGCAGCTATCCCAGAAGCCAGAACAGCAAGAGGGATTGCTGCTTTCACTGCGCAGCGATCCCTCTTGCTGTTCTGGCTTCTGAGATTCAGAATATTTTTTTTCTTGTTTTCCTCCTCCAAAAACTAGGTGCGTCTTATGGTCTGGTGCATCTTATAGAGCGAAAAATACGGTATTTGGGGGGAGGGGGTTATCTTGTGTTTTTATGTTGCAAATCGCCCTGGGCGCTACAGATGAATGGCAGTATACAAATTTAATAAATAATAATAATGAATAATAATGTTGCCACCAGCATCTTCTCAAAGTAGAATTCTGGGTGGGTGTGGGAGAGCAGCCATGATGGACTGGAGGGTGTGAAATCAGAGGTTCACCCAAACAAAATTGTATTTTGGGGGCTCTTTTCTTTGGACAGCAACATGTGAATTGTGTTGGCACAAAAAGATCAAAGGCCAAAAGAGGCATCTTCACCAATATGCAGATCTGATGCAAGGCCAGACCACATGAACACCAGCCTTTTTGCTTAATCTGTTTGAACGGGGTAGGTAGGTGCTGGTGGGTTTAAAATCCCTGCAGGTAAATAACCGGCATGTTAGGGAGATGTTAGACTAGTCTAGTGTTAGCCAACCATAGCGTCCTCCAAACATCTTGGAGTTGGAATCCAAACCATTCAGAAGGTGTCAGGTCTTTCGAGCTAGAACCATCTTCCCTCACATTCGTTTTCTGAGCGCCAAACTACACTTGAAATGTAGATTTGCACAATGTGCAAAATTTCTGCCCCCCCCATGCAAGTTGCAGTGTGTGTGTGTGTGTGTGTGTGTGCGTGTGTGTGTTAGAAAGACGATCAAATCAGGACCATAGCAAGGATGGAAACTGGTTCAATTCCATCTCAGTTCTTGCTCTGATCCTAAAATTACCACCAGCATCCTGCCACCAGGTGATGCAATTTGTATATAAAAATAAAGACACCTGCCTTGAGGGGAGGCAGAAGTGAGGGAGCCCAGGCCATCAGTTGGCATAAGAGGATGTCAGTCTCCACCTTATATAATGCATTTGTTTTAGTGTTTTAAAATTGTAAACTGTATTGGAACAACAACTGTGTGGTTCTTCACCTGAGGGACAGGGCCGAGGACTTGATTGCATGTTACACTCTGAAGAAGGCCTGGAGGTAAAATAAATAGCAGCCTCCTAAATTTAACATGCTAGGCATCTACCTTACCTGTTTCTGTTACTTTTACTGCATTAGGCATGTTTTCAAAAGCAGCTAGTTCCTGCCAAGAGAAGAAACCAAAATAGCAAAGCGGACTTTAAAAACAACAACACTATGAAAGATTGGAATGGCATTGTTAGTGAAGGTCAGCTCCTTGATAGAAGGAGAGCCAAGAGATTAGGCATATGCCCATCTAGTCAAGCATCCTGTTCCCGGAATGACCAATCGGATGCCCTAGAGCAGGGGTTTTCAACCAGTGTGTCTTGGCACCCTGGGGTGCCTTGGAATGATAGTCAGGGGCACCGCAAGCCACACTGGCCTCTGCCCCTCCTTCCTTCCCTCCCTTCTCTGATGCCCTCTCTGTTTGTTGCAGTCACCCTGGCTATAAGCTCCCCAGGCGAATGGTGCCTCTGGGACTGGCCAGGGGGTACTGGTTATACCAGGAGTTGAGGCGGACTAAGCAAGCAAGTGGGTGAGGGAACCCAGCCAGCCAGTCCACCAGCCCCTGCTGTTGGGAATGGATGGACAAGGCGGAGGCCTGGCAGGCAGGCGTCGCACTAACCTTTCTTGTGCTTGTGTGGAATACCTGCCTGGGAGCTGTGTCTGGTGCCAAAGGGGAGCCTTTCCACCATGTAGGCAGAAATGCTCTGAATGTCCTGAGATCTTTGGATGAAGGGCGGTATACTGATTTAATAAATGTAAATAAATGAATAAAGGAGAAGAACTTTGACATGTGGCCCACCATCCTGTTCTCATAGTGCCCAACCAGATGCCTCTGGGAAGCGTACAAAAAGGACAATATCCTCCTACCCCCTTGTGATTCAGAGTCAGTACATAGCCGCCATGGCTGGTAGCCATTGATTACCTTCTCTGTGAAACCAGGAGTGGTGGGAGAATTCTCACGCATGGTTGAATATTGGTGACCCCTCCCCAACAGGGAAACTGGGACAGAGACAGAATCTGGCAAGTTTTTGGGAGGCTGGTGGCTGTGCCACCGACACAAGCAAAGTGATGGTGACAGGGATGCTTAGATTCCTTTCCAAGGTGCCATAGCTGAGCTGGGGGGGGGGGGCTTCTGGCTCATGGACCTCATTAGCCGCAGCAACTTGCCCAAAGTTTGATATCATATATGACACCAGGTGTGTCTTTGGGCAAAGACAGGTTTGCAAACACCAACAACTGGCTAATTAGAAGCTGCAGTTGTGTCTGGTACTCGCAGACAAGGAATGGAAAACATGATGTGGGAGCCTCTGATAAAAGGCAAGTACAGGGAGAGAACAGCAAGCTCCACCCACGCACCTGTACCATGAAATGAAGGGGGAGAAAGAAAATAGATGCTCTGTCACTCCCCCTCCTCCCGCCAGAGGCCACAAAGAATCACCATGAGAACGGAGTATGTTTTTCAACCCTGGGACATCCGAGCTTTTGAAATTATTCACTGGTGTAATGCAGTACAGGATCATGTTGACCCGCTTATTTTATTAGGAGCCTTACAGAGTATCAGAACAAGTCAATGGATATTTGTTAGGCAGATTTGTTCTATGACTTCTACTTCTATTTATGTATTTTTCATAATCATAATAACAACAACAGCTACTACTATTTTGCTCCATAAATATTTGGGCTGTAAGCAATAGACTCTGTTGTATCACATGTATACATCTCTGCTGCCCACTGCACAAACCTTCCAATAAACAAATAAAAAATAAATATTGTTTTTGTATGTGCAAGTTTTAAAGCAACAGATTGAGCTGGAAACAGGATGGAACAGATTTATGAGTGAAACCCTTCAAAGCAGAAGCTTTGATAATTGATATTAATCATTAGAATATTCCATGCTATGAGCAACAAGATGCTGCTGCTTCTCTGTGGAACTTGCTAGCAGCCTGCTTTTTGTTCTTGTTACTTGCTGCTGCTTTTTGTTTTACAAGGAAGATATGGAGGTGCTTTCCATAACTCAGTAGCAGAACCCTGGCTTTGCAGGCAGAAGGTGCTAAGTTCAATCCCCGTCATCTCCAGTTTAAAGGAACTCAGATAGCTAAGCTGATAAATTGTTCTGCCACGGAGATACTGCCTGCAGCAGATAGTACCAGACAATATAGGCAAGTTATAGGGAAGTAATATAACGGCAGCATCATGGGTCCCTGGAACACAATCTGCAAGCTATATATTGCTCATTTCCTTGTGGTGGCTTGCATAAAGAATACATGATTCCTTCTTAACGACGGTTAGATGGGTAGCTCAGGGTTCTTTCACATATTGCACAATACTTCAATGTCAGTGGGGCTGAAAAGTGGTGTGTGGTGGGACAGTTTCTGAGAATGCTGGGCGTTGGAACCTTCAGATCAACCTTCATCAACTTGGTGACCTCCATATGTTTTGGACTACAAATCTAGCTCTGGCTGTGCATAGTGGGAGTCCTTGTGCAAAACATTTAGCGAGCAACAAGTTTGTACCCTTCCTCAGACAAAAATAGGGGATTTTCTCACTCCCCACTCCCTACTGACCCTCCTCAACCACCCTACATTTTTTGTGTCCCGCCTCTAAAGCATTTCCAACCAGAAGAAGGGCAGGTGACACCACCACTAGACCAATGGGACACAGCATACACACCCTACACTGTCCTAAGGAAACCCCTTAATCCCGATTTTATTTTATTCTTCGATAGATTTACAAAAAAGAAATTCGCGCACAAGTAAATTTTTAGAAAGGGGCAAGATTAGACTGAACAAAGCATTTTTTTTTAAAGAAAAAGAAAAATCGACTCCTTGCACTCTACTCCCACTTTCTTACTGCCCAGGGTGGTCCTGCCCTCTGCCTGCCCCTCAGAGCTGACATGTCACAAAGGGCTGCGCTTCCGCTGTGGAAGCCTCTCCTGCTCCTCCTCCTCCTCACATGCTTTACAGCAGCTGCCATGAGCTGCCCAAAGAAGGAAGTTGGCAGCAGCAGCCATGAAGAGGCAACGGATGCTCCCTCACAACCACAGCTGCCAACACTGTCATAGCGCATGGGACAAGTGCCAGTTCATCTACTAATATTAAGTTTCTTCCTAGAGACACTTGAAAATCTCTGGGGATCATCAGTTCAGGTTTTGGTTGACTGTTATTGTTGTATTGATTGGTTTTCTTTTCCTTAAAATAAAAAAAATACGAACTTCAAAAATATACACACATTCCAGATTTTCTCTAAAACAACAACAACAAACAAAATATGCCAAAACAAACACACATCTAACTCGGGGTTGACCTCCATAATTGCTGCAGATTAGCCCCTGTTTATGGAAGCTGACAAAGTCCAAACAATATTTTTCAGGGAAGTCCCAAGGGCAGTGCCAGCACTCTTAATAAATTACGTCAGTTAGTAATCCATAGCTTTCCTTAGGTCACTGGCAGAGATCAGCCCAAGACCTCTGTTTTGGTAGGAGAGATAAAATTCTTCTATATGTTGCATAATGCAACTTTTTGTGCCTGTTCCTTGGAAACAGCTCAGATAAGATAGCTTCTCTGAAAGCAACAAACCACAATTCCTGGTTCCATATTTCAAGAGGCCAATTGCATGATTAGTTTTCCAGCTCAATATATGTTTTAATATGTACCCTGCTTTGAGAAGGAGCAGGACGCACATCCAATTTTGTCTAAGAGGAACTGGTACATACCAGCTTTTAAATGTCCTGGAGCATCAGAGCAAGAGCTCTTTGCACAGAAAGCTACAGGTGCGCCACTTGCTATTCTAAGAGCTGTTCTGCTTGCAAAATATACACCTTGCCTTAATCACTGGAATACTGATAGCTAATGACAACAATTAAAAGGGGTAATTCAGTATTAAAACAGGAAGATAAATAGATAAAACTGCTGACAGAATAGCATGGTTTTAAACCAGTAGAAGAGAGTGGTGGAGGGGTCAGAAATAATAGAAACTGCATCCATTTTTTTCAAAATGCTAATTAAAGGACTGCTTTCTCTGCCTGGCTATCTCCTTGATTGCATTTGGGCAACAAATAAAGGGCTAAAGTAGATGTGATGTTAAATGTGTTATTTGACCGAATGTGCTTGTAAAAAAAAAAAATGTATATGGGTGTGGATGGAAGGCAGGAAATCACTCAGGATCGCAATGATCGTGGGCAAAGAGGAGGGGTTTGTCTTTATTAGCAAACATTAACAGCACAGACCTGTGGATGTTTATTCAGAAGGAAGTCCCACCGAGTTCAATGGGGATTACCAACCAGAGAGAGCCAGTGTGGTCTAGAACCTGAAAAACCAGGGTTCATAATCCCCATGAAGTTTTCTGAGCAACCTTGGAACAGCTATAGTCTCTCAGCCTAACCTACATCACAGGGTTGTTGTCAGAAGAAGCGTGCATGTTACCTTGAGCTTGTTAGAGGAAAGTGGGGTGGGGATATAAATTTAATGAAATGAAATGAAATAAACTTGGCTGTGCTGTAATAGTCCAGCACCATCAGCCCTCCCTGCTCCCTCAGCTGGCCCCTGGGGGAAGCCATTTCATCAGACGTCCTGACTGGGAGAGACAGGAAGTGGAGCATGCTTGCTGCTGTGCTGGCAGAAGTCACACTCATTAGTGTCACCCATGGCATTACAGCCTAAAGACTTTTATTTTCTTGTCTGCTTTTGTGTAAAATGAACCTATTAATTTTGTAAATGGCATTGGTTTTGCATTGGGGATTATTATGTGACTGGTTGTGGTGATTTTATGTGGCTTTGCTATCTGCTGTCCTCTTTGTTTTATACAGTATTTAAAGAGTTTTCACAAATTATGTATTATTTTAATTGCCTAGTTTATAATGTTTTATAGTGGCTCCTTTCTTATAAGCCACTCTGGGATGATCTATGATCCTAAAATGTTTAAATCTTCCTTCCTTCCTTCCTTCCTTCCTTCCTTCCTTCCTTCCTTCCGAAATTACCGCAATCATACTTATCTGCCAGTCTAGCAGTTTATAGGATTGGACTGTGTTTCATGACATTCCCAAGCCCAGGGGTTACCAATGGATACAATGGCAATTTGGAGAACTCCTCAGGGTAGCCCTGGTCATCAGGTAGTGAAGGTAATTACCCTTTTCTACCTTAAGGAAAGAGTGGAAGAGTGATGCTCTTTCTCACTTCCTCTTTCAGTGCTCAGATTAATTTTCTTGGATCCAATTTTTTACTCTGATCCAATTTTTACCCTGATATTTTGGAGGAAGGAAGTGTGTGTCTTTGTGTGTTTCTCTGTTCTTGTCTTTGGGTAGGGATGGGCAGATTCAGGGGAATGGGAGAGAGATAAACAGAAAGGGAGGCACCCATGCAACTCACTCAAAAATCCAAATGTGTCCAATGGTCTAAAAATCGAACTTTCCTTCCCTACAGCCTCTCTTCCCCTCCCCACCCCCCGCTTACTTTGATGAGACGCAGGATTTCCGTACAGTCCCGCGGTTCTGCTGGACGAACCCGGAAGCGGTTCAGAGAGTTGCTAGACATCCTGAGAGCATGAAGCAGCAAGGATGCTGATCACTTCCCACAAGGGAGCTTGAGTGCTGCTGGGCCTCTCCTTGGGGGACTGACTTCATTCACCATCTCCAACGGCTATTGTTAGCCAAGGCACAAAAAATAAAAGGTGGGAAAAAGATGTTATTCCTCCCCACCCTTCCCCACCCTGTTTTCTCCTTCCTCCTTTACATAGGTGGGGATTTAACTTCCTGCTGCTGCCCAGTTTCCATCCCACCTTGTGCTTCAGTTGGTGGTTGAGCCATTAAGCATATGTGGATCATATGAAGAGTCACAATGGGATCAGTGTCACAATTCTCTACTTCCCCTAATCTCCTCCCCTTTAGTGAATTGCTTTGCACAGGTGGGAAGGAGAGGGGCTCAAAGAAACAACACAGAGGTGGGTCAACTATTATCATAGCTTTCCATGTTCAAAAATCCTAATGGGAGATATTTAGGCCCATCCTCACCCTTGCATTCACCTAAGGTAGAGGTTCTCAAACAGTGGTCCACAAACCACCAGTGGCTTGTGAGCTCTGCTCAGGTGGTCCATGGAAAATCTGTGGAGTAGTCAATAATACGTTACTTTAGCACTGTGCCTGATTTTACTTCTTCAAGATTAAGATAAGGGATGCCAGAGAATTCTGAAAGAAACAGAAACAGGAGCGGAAAGTGCTGTTGTTTGTTTTACTTAATTACTTGTTTTTATCCTGCATTTTGGGATGCGGGTGGCACTATGGTCTAAACCACAGAGCCTAGGTCTTGCCAATCAGAAGATCGGTGGTTCAAATCCCTGCGACGGGGTGAGCTCCCATTGCTCAGTCCCTGCTCCTGCCAACCTAGCAGTTTGAAAGCACATCAAAGTGCAAGTAGATAAATAGGTACCGCTCTGGCGGGAAGGTAAACGGTGTTTCCGTGCGCTGCTCTGGTTCACCAGAAGCGGCTTAGTCATGCTGCCACATGACCCGGAAGCTGTCTGCGGACAAATGCCGGTTCCCTTGGCCAGTAAAGCGAAATGAGTGCCGCAACCCCAGAGTCGTCCGCGACTGGACCTAATGGTCAAGGGTCCCTTTACCTTTATTCTGCATTTTATTCTGTATACTGCCCTGAGATCTTATAATGAAGGGAGTGTTAGAAAATGCCCTGGGGTATCGGCAGCCCCCCCCCCATTCCTCCAGCTGTCCTTCGGTGAGCCTGGTTCTGGAAAAGCTATTGCCTTCTACTCCAGATGCTCCAGCGACACACATCATAATGATTTATGCACACTAATCTCCTGACTTTGTATAGTAATAAGCAGGAGACACTGTAGAACTAATCTACTATTTATTTACAGACTATACACAGAGAAATGCATAATGGTTACCGTTCTCTTCAGCTCTGAGAACAAATAGGGTCCGTAAAAGCAAAAGCACAGTTACAAAAGAACATAAGCAGCTGGAAGAGATAAGACTGTTTCTACCTGTTTTCACACACTCTCAAGACAGTCATGTGAATTGTACCAACTACAAAATGCAGCTTTGGTGGACTGATTTACTAACAGGGAGATATACAAATTTAATAAAATAAAATAGGGCAAAGGGGTCCGTGGGTTAAGAATTCCACAGGACATAGAATTTCCCTTGACTGTGTCTAAAGTAGCTTTTTGGCTTCTGCCAACTTAAAACATAATTCTGTTCTGACAGGCAAGTTCTATGGCAGTTTTTCAGATCATGGTGCCTTCCATTCACAGGAATGAACATGTGTTGAGCGCCTTATCACTCAGGGTGAGTAGGAACTGTGCACTTGTGATACTTGTGCTGCCATCATGGTATTCAAGAGAGCCTTATCTAAATCACAGACTCTCAATTTAATCAGTTCATTTCCTAAATGAAGTCCTAAACTAAAAGTGCAAAGGTCAGGAAAAGTCACAATAATCATACTGTTTTCTTCTTCCGTGGGCAGATCCTTACCATACATTTAAAGCACATCCATCACAGATGTAAAGCACACGGCTTCTCCCAAAGAATCCTGGGAATTGTATCCACCCCACAAACAGCTACCAACTTAAGTTCCGAGGATTCTTTGGGGAGAGCCATGTGCTTTACATATGTGATGGATGTGCTTTAAATGTATGGTGATAGTGGCCCATTGCCAGAATCAAGAATTCCTGGGGGTACTGTTGGTATTGCATGGTACATTTTAACAGGCAGATTAGCCAACTAAGGCTAGAATCCTAAACTCAATTTCTATCTAATCAATTTCTATCTGTTCAATTTTATATTTTTCCATTTTGTAGGTAAATTATATGATTCTATTTTGTATCATTAATATTAATAAGCCAAGTAATTCATTTCAGTTACATTCAGTAGTCTATTTCGGGTGGGTGGGTGGGTGGCTGTAGGTAAGCTTTACTCCCCATTCTACTAGAGAACTACAGAACCCTTACTCCTGCCCTAAATATTTAGCTGCTGTATCACTTCGCCCACCATTCTTTCTCCTTTTTTGCCAATTATTTTCATTGATATTCCATAATTTTTAACAAATTGTCACAAAATTAATACAATTTCAATATAAATTTAAAAGTTGTCTTTCTACCCACCCCATATGTCCCCTCTATTTTCCTTCCTCATTTGCTGCTCTCAATAATGTAACTTTTCCAACTATCATTTCATTCATCCCTTCTCCCTACACATCACCTGTTCAGTTACCAATTTCTGCTATAGCTTTTATACATTGTTATAACATGTCCTCAAAATAGTCAAGTAGAGTAAATCCTCTTCTATCTATCTATAATAGCCATTCATCAATTTTCAAACATTTCCTTCTGATACATCTTGAGTAACACTTTGCCTGTGGAAAAAACCAGACCTTGCTTCCTCACTGACGACATACACATATTCCTCCTTAACCTGGCCTTGAACATTGCTATCGGACATCTGGCCCCAGTAATCAACAACTCAGCCTCACAAGTGCAGTATGCAGAGAGTGAAAACGAAACCTCTAGAAACTTTTTGGTTTATATAATTGACATTCTCTCCCTCTAACGCTGCCAGTTTCCCAGCGTCACCAACCCTTCACATTTCGCCATATTTTATCCTCAATTTGACACACAACAAGTTCATTAATAAAGAAACACCATCCATATCTCTTCTTTCCTGTCTGAAAGTCTCAGAAGTCGTCAACACACTGTGGTCCATCCTGTCCCGTTCACTGTTCTTATTTCCAGCTTCAAGCTTCAAAGAGGGAGGCTGGTGTAATCTCAACAAAATCCCTATCTCCTCTCCATCCTCCTCCTCCACAACTAAAATTTTCCTGCAGTCCATCCTTCCAATCCTCAGATACATTAGTCCTTAGTTATAAAATAAATGCAACGCAAGGAGGTATTTTTAAGTCCACTCTTCCCAAAAACTTTGCATTCCATTGCTTTAGGGGAGGGTAGATAACACAGATCCCCCCCCCAAAAAACCCATTACTTACAACATTGACTTCCTTTCCCCTCCAGCATAAATCAGGATCTTTTTAGCAGGTTTTCTCTTCACTTGCCAATTATGTCCTAATTCAAAGGTATTCCAGAGTTTACCATGGTAGCTTGCTGGGGCTGTCCTTGGACGCAGCAATTAAACCCAGCGCCCTTACCTTTTCATCTAGGAGATGGGGATTTCCATCCCCGCTCACACACACAAAAAAGCATTAACGGACAACCGTGGATTGTGTCCTTTTGATACCCTCGAAATGTTAGGGGAGACATGCCCCTTACCCAGTGCTTTTTTTCTAAAAAAATAATAATAATGTTTAGCGATACTCTCATTTTCCTACACATATTGAAATACTGCCCCTCAATGAGGTCAAACTTAGATTCACAAAATGTTTAGGGATATGCGTTCCCCCAGAAAAAACCACTGAATATAGCATTGTTGATTTATTTTGTATGCTATAAAAGAGCTATTAGAGGATGTGTTAGAGAGAGAGAGAGAGAGAGAGAGAGAGAGAGAGAGAGAGATAACTGGAATATAAAACTAAAACTCCAGGACAATGTTCAATGTTCATATTTATTTTCACTCATACAATTTGATCTCCTGCTCAAAATAGAATAGTAACCAAGGATAGCTATTAAGTTATGTAGTGCTCCTTAAACCACCATTGACTTTGTGTGTATGGATGTGTGGTATTATGGAATTGTATATATATTTATAAATATTTTATTTCTTTTGTAATTTTTTAAAATAAAAAAATGGATCCAAATAGGTTTGCCTTAGAAAAGTTAATTAGTAATTGCTTACAAGAAGGATGCTGTAAAACAAGTTCAAAATCCAGGACCTTTGGTCTGCCATAAGGAGAAAGAACAAGAACAAGAAATCAAAACTGAAGGAGAATCTCAGATGGGCAGGAGAGTCCCAGAGAAGAGGATTAACTCTTGTACCAAACAGCATCCCACCATGTTAACCTCTGGTGCTCTCTTCCTTCTCCTGGCCGTGTTGTCCAAGAGTTGGCTGACGACGGAAGCTGCAGATCGTAAGAAACATTTGGGGCTGGTTATAGATGAGACCTAGTTGAACAAGATCCCCCTAGGTGCAAAACGCAATCCTGGCTGATCCCCCTCACTTAGCTACAGTTTCCAGAGTTTCCTGGGAAAAGCGATTAGTTGTTAAACTGCTCTGGGAATTGTAGCTTTGTAAATAGAATAAGAGTCTTCCTTAGCACCAATAACCAACTACAGTTCTCAGGGTTCTTTGGGGGAGGGCATGACTGGGAGCCAGTGTGGTGTAGTGGTTAAGAGTGGTGGACTCGTAATCTGGTGAACCGGGTTCGCTTCCCTGCTCTTCCACATGCAGCTGCTGGGTGACCTTGGGCTAATCACACTTCTTTGAAGTCTCTCAGCCCCACTCACCTCACAGAGTGTTTGATGTGGGGGAGGAAGGGAAAGGAGAATGTTAGCCGCTTTGAGACTCCTTCAGGTAGTGATAAAGCGGGATATCAACTCCAAACTCTTCTTCTTCTTCTTAAAGTGGTATAACACTGCTTTAAACATGTGGTGCACATGGGGCCTGAACTTAAGGAGTCCAATATTAATCCGCAGTAGGTTGGGTTACGATTTCAGGGCAGGGCTGGGGAACTGCAACCCTTCAAAGGATGCTGGACTGCATCTCCCAATATCCTAGGCTATAGGCCATTCTGGCTGGACGTGATGAAAATCCAGCAACGTATGAAAGGGCCACAAGTTCTCCGCCCCTGGACTTGGGGATACATCCCATTGAGCACAATGGGACTTACTTCTGGAGAAATATGGGTAGAATTGTACCGTCAGGCAGGGGTAGGCATGACAGATGTAGATAAGGGTGTACTGGAAGATCTCTAGATGGTGTGCAAGAGATCAACCAGGGCTTCCTCTAGGCATCTGCTTGGTCACTTGTGGGAAAAAGGATACTGGACTAGGTAAGTATTTGGCTTCATCCAGCTGGAATCATCTTATGTTCTTATGTTTTTCTGACTAGCAATAGCAACAGTTAGAAAGCTTCCTAAACTAGGTTGCCGAAAGAGAACATTCAAAGGAAAAGCAGGAGTTGGCTTTTATTTGAAAGGATCTCCCAGCCCTTTCTGGACATGCCAGCGGGAACTGAACCTGGGACTTTCTACATGTAAAGCAGAGGCTCTACCAGTGAGCCACGGCTCTTCCCCTTATAACCCTAGGAAGGGAGGTACTTTAAAGTTTTCCATCAGCCATTAGCATCTCGAGGGCAGAAAGAGCAGCACTCAGGTTACCTGATCATAGTCTTCTCTGCATTAGTCATAAGTTTGCATCCATACATATAAAATAGCACACAGAGATGTCATGCAGTTCTGTGTCCTCTTTTATGATAATGTGTTAATGGTCACCCTATCAACAACAGTGGTCCCTGCCAGTAATTCCGGAGGTGGATGATGATGATTATTAACCAGATGCAAAGGAGGTCGCAGGCTTCTGATCTGCTCTCAGGTGTTTACTGGTATACTTTTTCTCATATGCTATAGATACATCTCTTTACCTTGGCCTGTTCTTAACCCCCCCCCAGCCCCCATTCTTCTGATTGTAATTTGTTTTAACTGGTTTAAAATCTTTTTGTGTGGTTGTAACTCACCCTCACACCTTATGGTGTAGGTCAGGTAAATAGTAATAGTAGTAGTAGTAATAATAATAAACAAAAACAGAACAACAGAAGTAATTTTAAGAGGTACATCTTTGTGTATCTTTGCATCAGAGTAGTGCAAATGCACTGGCAGGAGTGTTGGATCAGCTCTGCAGGCAAGTTTTCACTGTACCAGCCTCCCTGTTGTCTCATCCCTCCCAGCAAGCAGCAGAGACCTACCTTTCCAGAGTGATGTGGTTGCATATGGCAGCAGACCACCCTAGGTAGCAGCCATTGGGTGGTACTCAACCAAGTTTTACTGGGATTAGTCCAGTTAAAATGAATGGATATGACTACCTGAAAGTTAGGTATTTTAATTTCAGCAGGTCTGCTCTGAATAAAAGTTAAATACCATCCATAGTTTCTCAGTTTAGATGAAATAGGTATTGTTAATTAGAGGCTCCCTGGTTTAATTGTGGCTTGTATGAAGCAGGGAGCAAAGGTGCTTCGTGCATCGGGGCAGGTGTGTTTGTTTATATCAAATAATAATAATACGTAATAATGATAAATAATAAAGCAGGATGAAATGTTGGTGGTCCTATATAAATCCACCACTAATGCACTGTTCTTGCACCGGTGGCATGTTGAATACCCCTGTTTCCGCTTCTTTGGCAATCACTTGTAGCCACGTAAGATTGTCTTTCATGAACACGGTCTTAACAGTGAGTCCATAAGTGACTGTGGAGGCCAATTCTGGATCCACACATCCTTCCACAGTGGGGACATAGGTTTCTGGGTGGGAGTTGGATTTGCCAAGCATGCCTTCCTCTTGGCACATTTCTCCCTTGCGTCCTGAGTTCATGATTCTTCAAAGTCTATGACACCTTTGGTGAAGGCTGTTCTCCATGGGAGCACTCACAGAGTTTCCCAGTTATCTTTTGTTGTCCACCGGTATTTTGCTTTCCATTCTTAAGTTGGGAATAGAGTAGTTTCTTTGGAAGACGATAATCAGGCACCAGAACAACATGACCAGTCTAACAAAGTTGATGTTGAAGAATCATTGCTTTGACACTGGTGATCTTTGCTTCATCCAGTACACTGGCATTAGTTCGTCTGTCTTCCCAAGTGATCTGTAAAAAATTTCAGATGGAATATTTCAAGGAGCTGGAGATGGCATTTACAAAAGGTTCATGTATCACAAGTGTACAGTAAAGTTGGTAGTACAATGGCTTGTTACTAGCATTTTGGTTTCCTTCTGAATGTCCTAGTCCTCAAACTCTCTGCACTTCAGTCAGGAGAAAGCTGCACTCGCAGAGCTCAGGCGATGCTGGATTTTGGCATCAGTGTTGGCTCTTGTGGTAAGATAACTGCCTAGGTAGGAAAAGTGGTCAACTTTTTCCAACGTTACACCATTAAGTTGGAATTGTGGTGTTGCAGAGGGGTTGTTTTGTGCTTGTTCGTGCAGCACTTTGGAGTTTTTTTTGGATATTGAGCAATAGGCCAAGTGGCATGTTGAATACCCCTGCAAAACAACTCAGGTCCGCAGGGTCCCTGAGACAAAGTAGCACATCATTAGAATATGCTCACAAATTATCTCTATGGGTATCTTAAATTATGGTCAATATGACCAATTGCTATGCAGCTCAACTCTCTCCCCACTGTTTTCAGCCAATTGTTCCGGTGTGGCTGACCTTGATGATTGTCCAGGCAGTACAAGTGATTTCTGCCCAGAAGGAGTTGCCTGTGGTTGTAAAGATCAAATTCCCTTTTGCAAGTAAGTTACTTTCCTTCCTTTTAGGGTTTGGTTGAGCTTTGTGGGGAAAGACAATGGTTGGGCACCTGACCTCCCTCTGTCCGCCTCACTGCTGCATATTATAACAGGGGTGGAGGGGAGAGAGAGGCCTGTAGCAAGGATGATGTGGAATACATGTGCAGCAGCTGTGCTGAATTAGCTTTGTCCCATTGCCTCTCCATCCTGGTATGCAGCATCAGTGCAGCCAGAAGGAGGTCAGATGAGTGGTGCAGCCCCACTGCACCAACTGCCATGTCTACGCAGGCACCATGCGCTTAAGCCATGGGTGGAGAACTTTTTCAACCCAAGCCACATTCCCCCATAGGCAACTTTCAGGGGGTCGCATGCTAGTGGAGAAAGAAGCCAGATTCCACAGTGAGTGGGGCCATGGATATGACCTACCTTTCTACAGTAGGCGACACCCCAGCTGTGCAAATGTCAGAGGCTGTGACATTCCCCACATTTCCACTACTCTCTATCCAAGCATGCAAAAGGCGCTGTCCTAGCTCAAGGACACTTTCCAACCAGGCATAAGAAGCCAAGAAGTGTGTGGTCTGTGAAAAGAGGGAAGAACCCAAAGGTTCAGAGAAAGAGAGAGAGTCTACTTGAGTTCTAGGGTTGCCATATATTGAATGGCAAAAAAGAGCACAAATTTGCTGGTGCCTGGGGTGGGGTTGGGTGGGGAGAGGGGTTGCAGGCAGTGGCATGCGGCCTTTGGACTAAGGGGACGAGGCTAGGCCGCTAAATGTTTCCCCGGTGCCTCCTTCCCAAAGCCCAGGAAGCTTCTACCTGGCTTAGGCAGGAAGGTGCAAGGCTCCAATGTGTCCAAGATCTGTCCTGCCATCTTCCCAAAGCCCATCTGGCTTTTGGAAGGAGGCAGGAGGTCCCCAGCATCCTGTCAGAGCGCTGGCACCTCCTTCACAAAACCCGGGAATCTTCTGCCCAGCTTAGGGAGGGAGGCGCGATGCTCATGTGCATGACGTTAGGACATCACAACGTCACACACATGATGTTGCCCCTCCCATGCCCCTCACAAGGTTGCACCTCTGGCTCTGTTTCCCTATGAAAAAGTTCACCACACACACACACACTGTGTGGGAGCGGACGCATTCTACAATGTCCCTTCAAAATATACAAAAGCAAAGACCTGGTCCTTTCCTGCATCATGCAAAACTCACACAGTATGTACCGTATTTTTCGCACCATAGGACGCACCGGCCCATAGGACGCATCAAGTTTTTTGGGGGGAAAATAAAGAAAAAAAATTATTTCCCCCCCAGGCGCTTGTGGGGCTGGCAGCGGGGAGAAGTGCTCTTCTCCCCGCAGTCCGGCTTCAGATCAGGTCCGGGGACAGCGGGAAGACGCGCGGCGTCTCCCAGCTGTCCCCGGAGCTTGGGGGCAGGCCGCGGGGAGAAGCGCTCATCTCCCTGCCGCCCGCCTTGAGATCAGGTCCGGGAAGCGGGGAGGCGCGCTGCGCCTCCCAGCTGTCCCCGGAGCTTGCGGGGCAGGCAGCGGGGAGAAGCGCTCTTCTCGCCGCCGCCCGCCTTCAGATCAGGTCCGGGGACAGCAGGAAGACGCGCTGCGTCTCCCAGCTGTCCCCGGAGCTTGCGGGGAAGGCAGCGGGGAGAAGCGCTCTTCTCCCTGCCGCCCGCCTTGAGATCAAGTCCGGGGACAGCGGGAAGACGCGCTGCATCTCCCAGCTGTCCCCGGAGCTTGGGGGCAGGCAGCGGGGAGAAGCGCTCTTCTCCCCGCCGCCCGCCTTCAGATCAGGTCCGGGGACAGCAGGAAGACGCGCTGCGTCTCCCAGCTGTCCCCGGAGCTTGGGGGCAGGCAGCGGGGAGAAGCGCTCTTCTCCCTGCCGCCCGCCTTGAGATCAGGTCCGGGGACAGCGGGGAGACGCGCTGCGCCTCCCAGCTGTCCCCGGATCTTGCAGGGCAGGCAGCGGGAGAGCGCTCTTCTCCCCGCCGCCCACCTTCAGATCAGGTCCGGGGACAGCGGGGAGGCGCGCGGCGCCGCCCAGCTGTCCCCCGTGCTTGCGGGGCAGGCCGCGGGGAGAAGCGCTCTTCTCCCCGCCGCCCGCCTTCAGATCAGGTCCGGGAACAGCGGGAAGACGCGCTGCGCCTCCCAGCTGTACCCGGAGCTTGCGGGGCAGGCAGCGGGAGAAGCGCTCTTCTCCCCGCCGCCCGCCTTCAGATCAAGTCCGGGGACTGCGGGAGACGCACTGCGCCTCCCCGCTGTCCCCGGAGCTTGCGGGAAGGCAGCAGGGAGAAGCGGTCTTCTCCCCGCCGCCCGCCTTGAGATCAGGTCCGGGGACAGCATGGAGACGCCCTGCGACTCCCAGCTGTCCCCGAGCTTGGGGGCAGGCAGCGGGAGAAGCGCTCTTCTCCCTGCCGCCCGCCTTGAGATCAGGTCCGGGGACAGCGGGGAGACGCGCTGCGCCTCCCCGCTGTCCCCGGAGCTTGGGGGCAGGCAGCGGGGAGAAGCGCTCTTCTCCCTGCCGCCCGCCTTGAGATCTGGTCCGGGGACGGGGGCCTGCCCGGCTGCGCCGCCCAGGTGTCCCCGGAGCTTGGGGGCAGGCAGCGGGAGAAGCGCTCTTCTCCTGCCGCCCGCCTTGAGATCAGGTCCGGGGACAGCGGGGAGACGCACAGCGCCACCCCGCGGTCCCCGGGGCGTGGGGGGCAGGCAGCGGGAGAAGCGCTCTTCTCCCCGCCGCCCGCCTTCAGATCAGGTCCGGGGACAGCAGGAAGACGCGCTGCGCCGCCCAGCTGTCCCCGGGCTTGCGGGGCCGGCGGCGGGGTCTACCCGCCCTCAGCCTCCAAACCACATCGGGAGACAGCGGGATGGCGGCGGTGCGCCACCCTCAGTCCCCCGACCGGGTGGGGCTGGCGCGGGGGCTCTCCGGTAGCCTGGAGAGCGAGAGGGTCGGTGCGCACCGACCCCTCTCGCTCTCCAGGCTTCAGTGAAAGCCTGCATTCGCACCATAGGACGCACACACATTTCCCCTTCATTTTTGGAGGGGAAAAATTGCGTCCTATAGTGCGAAAAATACGGTATATGTTTTGCACTTGCTTGTCTAGTACTACGTGTGTAACATAAAAAGTAGCCCGCTCCTGCACCCCCAGACATTTTGGCAAATTAAAAAAATCCAACCAGACAGAAATTTTCCCACTGAAGAAGAGGACATGTCCTGGAAAAAGAGGATTTATGGCCACCCTACATTTTACCTCTGGCCCTTTGCGTGTGTAAGATGGCACACTTTCCTAAAGTGCTGTACAAGTTCCACTAGGGACGCGGGTGGTGCTATGGTCTAAACCACAAACTGGTCAGCCAGGTGGCTCTGTGGTCAGCAGTTCAGATCTGTGTGGCAGGGTTAGCTCCCGTTGCTCTGTCCCAACTTCTGCCAACCTAGCAGTTTGAAAGCACACCAGTGCAAATAGATAAATATCTACCACTGCAGCGGGAAGGTATACAGCGTTTCCTTGGACTCTGGCACTCATCACGGTCCTTCATGTGCCAGTAGCGCTTTAGTCATACTGGCCACATGGCCCCAGCAAGCAGTCCGTGGACAAACAAGTTCCATTGTGAGGAAAACAGCAAGGTTAAAAATTGCAGCCCTGCCCAATTTGACCACACGTCACTGGATAGCACCCCAGCACAAAAGCATTACGATGGGTTGTAATCATACTATTAGGGGGTTGATGCAAACTATTTTGATGTTGCTTTGCTTGATTCCATCCACAGGTGCCCTTCCTACCAAAATGGCTGGAAAAATTACTGGTACATGGGTGTCAAATGCGAGGAGCTTTGGAGCACTTTGGACTTGATTTTAGTCGTGGTTTTCCCCGCAGTGGCTCTGTCTTTTGCAGCTGCTGTCACAACACAGTGGGTCCAGTATTGCAAGGACAAGCCAGAGAAACAAGCCAAGCGAAGCCGGTGAGTCAGTATATATTGCAGTGGAAATCTTTTATTTCCCAAATGAACATCCTTGTAGGCTGCAAGTCTATGCACACTTACCTAGTTTGATCCCAAGTAGAAATCAAGGAGAAATTAGGTGCTGTTTGTATTTTAATGGAGAACAATGGACTTCACACTTCTCGAACTGAAATATGAATTTCTCTCGCTTGGACTACTGCAACGCGCTCTGTGTGGGGCTACCTTTGAAGGTGACCCGGAAACTACAACTAATCCAGAATGCAGCAGCTAGATTGGTGACTGGGAGCAGCTGCCGAGACCACATAACACTATCTTGAAAGACCTACATTGGCTCCCAGTATGTTTCCGAGCACAATTCAAAGTCTTGGTGCTGACCTTTAAAGCCCTATGGCAATCGCAATAGGTGTTGAAATTTTGGGAGGTTGGATAGTTACAAGGGAATGGTCTCAGGTGTGGGGTGCACATTTTATTTATTCTTATTACTTTATTTATACTTATTACTTTAAAAAAGGAGGAAGCGCAAGTGGTGGTACCTCACCTGCCCCACTGTTTCCACTGGTGCCAGAATGCCCTCCTCTCTCACCTGTGCACAGTTGCCCCCTGTACAAAGAAGACAAGTGACAATGCTTAGATGAACACCCCACTGAGAAAGGAGTGGGTATTCTGGCAGTGGTAGAAGTGGGAGCAGGGCACAGCACATTCCCATTTTGCCTCAGGTGGTGAAATGGGACATGCTGTTCCTGTTCTCACCCCTCCTCGCCAGCAGTGTACTAAATTTCTATATGTATGTGGAAGGAACGAAGGAAGAAGGAAGGAAGGAATCGCGGGGTCACATTCTTTTGACTCTTATATATTTTCAGTACTCAGGCAAGGCAGCTGAGACCTGAACCACAGCATCATTCAGAATATGCTCCTAAACTGGCCAATAGGTTGAGATCCACCTCTTATTCACAAGGAAGACAGGTAAAATATTGTGTTTGTTTGTTTGTTTGTTTGTTTGTTTGCTTGCTTGCTTATTATGGACTTGGAATTTAATTGTGGTAAAAGGGGTGCTTTTTTTAATCCAGTGGATGGCATTGTTTATTTTTGAAATGCCCCTGGGTTTTGCATTATTTTTTGTAAATGAGGGAAATAGCTGGCAGCCTTTTCTGAAAGGCGTTCTTCCCGTATCCACTCTGCAATTTACATTTACAATGGATGTCTGATATGTAAGATGAGATTAGGGCATATGCATTAGCTGACATCAAATGGACTTCGTTTGCTTAGAAGCTGCAATATAATTGTCCTCCTTTATCCCAACCAGGCCTAGAAGACTCCTGGTGGGGTCAGAGGAGGAATCTGCAGCAACAAATAGCTGCTGCAGTGCCAAGAGTCCAGTTCAAGTTTTGTTACTCTTTGCAGTCAATGGCCATTACAACATAAGCATAAAACACATATATGGGGGGAGGATTATTCATCGCATAAAACAGATAAACCCCAATAATACAAATAAATAGCATTTAAAGCATGGATTTCATTCAAAACTTCCCTTAACATTTAGCACTGATCTGAAAGGTGCCTCTAACGGGATAAAGCTATCCCACAGCTAATTAACTTGTTTACATCAGGCAGCAGACATCTTATCTGGAAAATGTCTCGTTTGCCTTCTAAGAAGGTCTAAAAGGCTAGAAGAAATGTCACACCTGGTAGGTATTGTAAAGGACAAAAGAATAAAGTGCAGCAAAAAAAAAATCTTATTAGAAAATCTGCCAGCCAAATATGCTATAGGGATAGTTTGGAAGCTAAGCTGGAAGTGTGCCTGACAAGGAAATAAATTCATTTCTGCAAATAGGTGGCCATTTTATGGTTTGGCATCATACAGTTTTTTTAGAACCACAACCACAACAACAACACCTTGTGCTCAATGCAGCAATGCAGGAAATCCTTAGCTAGAGCATCACTGACCAGTGGTTGTACAGCCCCTGCTTGAAGACCTCCAGTAAGGGACACTGGTAACTGGTCCCACAGTCAAACAGCTCTTACCACTTATATTTCTTCTGTGGGAGAGAAAGCCACTGATTCTTTCATACATTCCTATACAGCAAAGATGGAGAACCTGTAGCCCATCAGATGCTGTGCTACAACTAATATTATCTTTGACCGTTAGTCACCTGGCTGGGGCCAAAAGGAGTTCTGAAAGGAGTTCTGAAAGGAGTTCTGAGCTGCAGGTTCTCCACCCCAATATACAGTTAAGGAACAGAAACTTTAATCATTTATGTGTAGAATGGTGGCAGTATTTTCTAAGTTTTTGCAATAAGAAATATAGGAAGGACAAGGTACAACAACCAGGTTTGTTTGTTTTTAACTCTATCATGATATGTTCACTCTGATTTTCTCTTCCTGGATACCAACCTTCATCAACCTGGTGCCCTCCAGATATTTTTTAAGCTATACTATAACTCCCATCTGCCTCAGTCAGCATGGGTCCCATATCTTGACGGCATATGGTTGATGAAGGCTGGTGAGTAACAGTAGATATATTATCTCATTATTTGTCTTCATTATTTTGGGGATTGCATATTTGTTTTGGGGGATTGCATATTTGTGTATTGCTTTGTAACAATTTGTTGGGTCTCTGGACCACAATAAAGATTGTTGTTGTTGTTTTTAAGGGTTGCATCTTTATCATCTGTTTTTCATAATAAACATTTTAAAATAACAAAACAGAAGTCACTTTGTCGCTTAATTCCCTCTTCTTTATTTTTTCTCTTTCTTGGTATAGGATGATATTAAATTCCCCAGGTACCCTCTCCAAAGTTACCCTCATGAACAAATACAGTCACCATATACTGGAGGCTACAGGTATGATGTCCTTTGGTCAAACTTTTTCACAATGATGATATATTTTTCCTGCTAGAAGATAAATTGTGCACACTGCTTGGCAATGATGGAAACCATTATATATTTTCAAATGTAAAATGATCTTGAACTGTTCTGAAATTTGCCCTCCATTTACTTGAAAGCTTTCATCTCCTGAGGAAGAAGATTCCATTGTTCTGCATCATTTTCAAGGCATTTTAAAAAATTTATGGACCTGGAGTTTAGAACATGCCTTATAGTTGTCACGTAGTCATGTGTTTTCTGTTTGCTCTTCTTACCAATAAACATGTATCCAGTTGCCTGCAACCTCCCCACCTGTTCAGGCCATATAACCTCCTCCCAGGCCACACCTCTCACTGGCCTTGTTTTGTACCTTCCTTAAGTGTTATTGCCTGGACAGAGGATATAGGTGTGTGTGTGTATATAGTGTTAAGTTGTGGGCGAACATGCACAAAGGCAAAATTTACATGCATCAATTTTTGCCACCGCCACCATGAGGCTCATGGAAGTTTGCCCAGAAGGCATTGTGGGCCTCGAGATTAAAAGGTTTCCCACTCCTGCTATAGGAGCTGCTTGCCTATCTCATCTCTACGTACAGAAAACCCGCAAAAGACAGAGTCCTCGGCTGCATGTTCATTCTATGTTCAGACCTTTGTATGAATGAGTGCAGGTCAGAAGCTGTGGTGGTGCCTGTGATCTGCAGGAGCTCATATGACACAATTAGGAAAAGGGATGAGGAAGGAAACAAGCAAACCGAGACAGAAGTTCGTTACCAGTTTTCTATAATGACCAGTTTGTAATGAAGGTTTCGCTTAAGGGAGAAGAAAAAGAGTTTGGATTTGATATCCTGCTTTATTACTACCCGAAGGAGTCTCAAAGCAGCTATCATTCTCCTTTCCCTTCCTCCCCCACATCAAACACTCTGTGAGGTGGGTGGGGCTGAGAGACTTCAAAGAAGTGTGATTAACCCAAGGTCACCCAGCAGCAGCTGCATGTGGAGGAGCGGAGACATGAACCCGGTTCACAGCTTATGAGTCTACTGCTTTTAACCACTACACCCCACTTCCTCTGAGGAGAGGAAAAGCTAGATGGAGCTGGTCTCTCAGCTGAGCCAACGGACTGGGCCCTGCTTCCCATCTTTCTTTTTGCTGCAGCCAGGTGGGATGCTTTGGGCTAAACTGATGCCAAAACTGAGGTCCCAAAACTGAGGCCATTCATTTTGATTCAGTGCATACAATAAGTGGTTATCATGTTGTTATTTTGCCTAGATCTGTATTCCAGAGAAGTAGCCATGTTATTCTGTTGCAGCAAACGTAACAGAGGTGAAATCTACAAACATATTTAAAAAAACACTGTGAAAATGCTTTTTAAAAAAATGTTTTGAAAAATACATTGAATTTGGCATAGCTCACTGTCTCCATATAGTGTCACATTTGTATATTGCACTTTACAACACATTTAAAATGTTTTATTTGCAGCTGTATAGCTGAGTCCAGAGTCTTGCAGCACCTTAATGGTTTACTTTGCCATATTTATCTTGAAACATAACTGTTTGTTACATTTATCTGCCCATAAGAAATTTATATTGGCATTTTTTTAAAAAAAAGTGTTTAATTTGATTATTATAGTCAGATGCCTCACCAGCCATTGAGAAGAGCTGTTCCAAGCCAAGATGATGTTTTTGTGGGTCGGTCTTTCCAAGCTGGCCAGCTTCACTCTTGGGAGAGTGAGGTGCCTGATGTGGATTATGAGGACATAAACCCATTTTCTGCTATGCCCATGCAACAATTTCCTGTATGTACAAATAATCTCAGTTATACAAGGAGTGGGGTTTTTTGTTTTGTTTTTACTGGGGCAGGATTCAGAGAGCTCTCTGCATGAGTGGAAGGCACCTCTTTCCAGTGGGAACCCGCTACACTAGCCTTCCCTGACATGGTGCTGTCAGATGTTTTAGACTGCAACTACCACCAGCCCCAGTCAGCATGGCCAATGGTTTGAAAGGATGACAGCTGCAGTCCAAAGCATCTGAAAAGCACCTGGTTGGGCAAGGATGCCCTGCACCAGATGCCACATCATTCTCAGTCCTCAGGGGTTACTTTTCAGGGCTGCAGTAGGAAAAAGGAACAATCCCCATCTGTAAACAGAACTCTGTTCACAATTCCCTTGATCCCACTGATAAAATTTGCACTAGGAAACTGGAAATGGAGCACATGTGAAGCCTTTGTGTATCAGGTTTACTACATAGGTGTTCAGCAAGCCTTAGGGCTTATTCAGACTTCCTTCTTTGCCATGCTTTCGAGCACAGACCCACAGTTTCCAGGTCTATGTCCGAGCTGTGGGGGTTTTTTGTCCCACCACTTACCCCAGAAAAGCCTGCTATTCACTGCTAAATCAGAACAAACAGCAATTGAGGTTTCTGTGGATTGCTGTTTGTTCTGATTCAGCAGTAAAGGGGGTTTTTTTCATGAGGAAGCAGTGGGACAAAACAAAAGACCAGAAAACAAAACATAAAAGAAAAAACAACTCACTGCTTAGACCTGGATTTGGAAAGAGCCCTTCGACGTAACTATGAGAGCCTGTCTGTTACATCACCCATTTCCTCTTCCTGATTCTTAGGCTGTGTGCACAACCATACATTTAAAGTGCATCCCTACCTAACCCCACGAAGAAACCTGAGAGCTGTCATTTATTACCCAGAATTCCTACAGTTCCCAGAATTCCTGAGGGTGTGTGTGCGCCTTAAATGTATGGTGTGGATGCAGCCCCAGGGCTTAATCTACTTCCCCACCTACCCACTCCCTTTCTTCTGTCTTATGCTGACCAACCCCACTGCAACTCTTTGCTTCTCTATGGCTCTTTAAGAAAGTATATCCACAGGAGTAGAAGCTGGTGGGAAAAGGGGAAAAAATAATGGAACTCATGAACATGCCCAGAAGCAATTGTGGCCCTGTAGCAGGAGGAGTCACCTGGTGTTTCTCTCCCCCTGCTGCAAATTACAGTTGGTGGTAGGTGGCCCTGTGGGGAGTAGGGGAGAGAAAACAGTCTTGCTGGAACTGTAGCAAGGGCCTGGTGTTATCCTTGCCTGCTTCCCTCACGGTCCTGGAATCCCACATGGCAGTTAGTGGGAAGGAGGCTCTAGGAGAGGGGGCAGGGAGTCCTTCCAATGCATCAACCAATTTTCATATTTTAATTTTCCCTTACAGAGACCCGGGGCATCAGTGGTACCTCGGCCTGAGCACCAGAAGTATGGCCATCAACCAGTGAATTACCTGAATGGTCAAAGAGCTGGAAGGCCCTATGGGATTGGGTACCAGCAGGATAGATACACCTAGGAACTTTTAATAAATATGGAAAACACGTGCAACTGCGGAATCGTCCTCCATTGCTTGGTGCAGCCTTTTCTGGGTGCTCTCTTACCTCTACTTTTCTCCATGAGGGCTTTATCGCAAGCCACACCCAATGAATACATACCTATCAAGACGCAGCAAATATTTAATCAGCACAGCCATTAAAATGAGAAATCTGTTCAGGCAGCATCTTTCTTATTTAATAAATGAACCTACCAATCCACCTCTTCCTGTCCAAAGCGTCTTATGTCCTGCTCTATAACATGTTGTTCTTCTAGCAATAATTGGTGTTCAGTGGATCCATTTTTTCTCGGTAGTGGCGCCCGCCCTGTGGAACGCCCTCCCATCAGATGTCAAGGAAATAAAAAACTGACTTTTAGAAGACATCTGAAGGCAGCCCAGGATAGGGAAGCAGTATAAGGAAGCTTTTAATGTTTGATGTCTTGCTGTGTTTTAATTTGTTGGAAGCCGCCCAGAGTGGCTGTGGTAACCCTATCAGATGGGAGGCATATGTATAAATAACACATTATTATTATTATTATTATTATTATTATTATTATTAATTGTTTTCCCTTTGGTATTATTGAACCTTGGATGGAGACAGGCTCAGTCACGGGGAGGGCTCCTCAGTCATTTTAGAACGTTCTGCAAATTTCCCCCACAACGTGTACTTGTGTCTGTAAAACAGGGGTTGCCAAACTTTAAAAGCCTTTGGTCACATATGGATTTCTGAACAAATGATGTGGGTCCTACTCTCTCTGGGCACTTTTATTCTCTTAGATCAACCCCAATCCTGTAAGGAAAGTACACTTAAAATTAGTTTATGCACATGCATAAGTAGATAGATGATACAGATATACATAGAAGTATAGATATGCTGTATGTATGGGGGGACAGTGGGCACAGGAGACAGGTTTACACTGGGGTGGAATATTTTTTAGCAGAGCTGTGAAGTCCAGCCACTTTTATTTATTTATTATTATGGGGGGCTGGGACACACACAATTCTGTTCAGACACCCTGGGAAGTTGGAGGGGAGCCTTGAAGTAGCCACAATTGTGGATGGTGCTCAGCATCTCTGTCTGTCAAAACCACGCAGGCTGAAGGCTGCTGCAAAGAGCTCTGAAAGGGCCTTTCCAGCTCCCAGTCACGCAAATGCTTGTTTTCTGCAAGAGTGAGATATGGTGGGGCCAGGCGGCCATTTTCTGTTGTGCCTCAGGCAGCAAAATGCATTGGGCCTGCCCTGGTCCTGAATCTGCCCTTTCCTGGCTGGCAGAGAATGCACTGGACAAAATATCAATAAAGGAAAATGGAAAGTGCAATCGAAGAAATAGGCAGTAGATGCATGATGGAGTGATTACAGATGTAAGAAGAATTTAATGTGATTTGATATAAGATTTCCTATTGTTATTTTTGAATGAATTTTTGTTTGTTTTTTAATTTCAATATAACATTATTTATATATAAAAATCTCACTCAGTTCAATGGGATACACTCCCAAGAAAGGTGCACTGGATTGCATCTTTAATTCCAGAGGTACTATTGTTGTTGACGACTGTCATTTATCTTGTGAGTTCAAAAGGCCTTGTAAAAATCTAAAATTATCCAAGTGCCAACCTTTGCTTACATTTCATAGAAAATATTTTGTTCACTAGATAAACTGGTTGAGAAAGAATGGTGGGGCACATATTGCTTTGCAGCAAAATTGGCAAGTCACCCTCTCAGGCACTCCAACACCTGAGAGGGGTCCCAGATGGAAATTATTGGGGGGTAAGGCCAGTGGGTTTATTTGGTGGTGGTGCAGGGGGACGCATACTGTTATGTACTGAGTTGAATAGGATCCAAAATGCAGCAGTCTGATTGGTCCTAGAACAATAGGATTCAGAACGCAGCAGTCTGATTGGTCCTAGAACAATGCAGCAGTATGATTGGTTGGCAGGAACCACCCAATCATGCTCCAGATAGAAGTGAATCCACAACCTGATTGGCTTACAGTAGAATTCCGGAATTAGCCAATCATGTGCAGCCCATTGTGTAAATGTATATAAAGCAGATACTTTGAGGGGACTTTCATTCATTCCGCCTCACCACTATGAGCTGAATAAAGAGCATGAAATCACTTTGCGACTCTGAGTATATTTCACTGGTGACGAGGATGGGATCCCGCTGAGCTGACTGCCACACACAGCACCGCAGCACCACCACCTGCCGCACCGCTGCCTTGCACCGTGTATCCAGGCTTCAGCTCCGGGACACAAGGAACTCAGAATCGCAACCGACAGCAGCTTCTCGCCGTTCAACCCAGCATCTGGAGACTGGGAAGCGTACGCCTCCCGTTTCACCTTCCTCCTAGAAGCCAAAGGGGTCGCCGACGAAGAAGACGCCAAGAAGAGGGCGATATACTTCAGTGTCTGCGGAGAGGAGACGTTTGAAATCGCCTGGGCTCTCCTTGCGCCTGAAGACGTCACTACTGTTCCATACAAAACAATAATCGAACAGCTGAAGGTGCACTTTTCGCCGCAGCCCTCAGTGGTGGCTCGTCGAAATGCCTTCTACGCAAAGCGGCAAGCCCCTGGGGAAACCATAACTGGGTTTGTGACCTCTCTCCGCCAAGCCGCCCGGTTCTGCAACTTCTCAGAGCTGGAGAACATGCTTCGTGACCGCCTCGTCGGTGGCCTGAAGGATGAGAAGCTGCAACGACGCCTCTACGCTAAGAAGGACCTAACGTTCCAGGTCGCTCTGGAGGAGGCCCTGGCAACGGAAGCTGCCGAGAGGTCGACGCAAGAGGCACAGCCGAGCCTGCCATCCCAACCGAGGGTCCACCACGAAGACCTCACCGATGACTCAGGATCTGACAGGGAGGAGGTGCACCGAGTACAGCAGCGCACTCAAGCAGCGCACAGACCACAGCTGCCTCGACGAGAAGGAGGGAACTGCGCAAGCTGTGGGGAGAGTCACGAGAGGAGGACCTGCCGTTTCCGCATCGCAGAGTGCAGGAGTGCAGAAAATTGGGACACATCGCCCGGGTGTGTCAGGCTTGGCCCACCCGATGCCAGGCATCAGATGACCAATCCAAGAGCCCCAGGTCCCGGGGCCCAATGCACCAAGGCAACTCGACGGAGCTCACGGACTTCCAGGTATACCAGTTGCCCCACCCCAACGTAGAGAAAATTTATGTAGAGGTACAGATAGAGGGGGCCCCATGCCGCATGGAGCCTGACACGGGTTCAACTCTATCCATAATCTCGGCAAGGACCTTAAGGAAACTGTGTCCTACTGGGGGTCCCAAACTCAGGCCGGCCCCATTCACCCTCCGGGACTTCCAGAAATGTAAGGTCCCCACAATGGGGGTGGGGACCTTCAGGGTGCAATACCGAGGGCGGACGCGGCAACTGGACTTGCTTGTGGTCAAGGGCCCCTACATTAGCTTACTGGGATTGGCATGGTTTGGACCGCTGGGGCTAGCCGTCACCGGGGTGAACCACACTAGCTTACAAGTGGATGTGGACGCCATATGCAAGGAATTTCCGGGGGTTTTCGATGGGAAATTGGGAGAGTATACGGGGGGCCCCCATTGCTCTACAGCTTGACCCCGCAGTACGACCGGTCAGGCTCAAGGCCCGCCGGGTCCCGTTCGCCCTGAAACCCCGTATAGACGAGGAATTGGACCGGCTCGTGGAGCAAGGAGTGCTGGAGCCGGTGCCTAATGCCCCCTGGGAAACCCCAATCGTCACACCCGTCAAGCCTAATGGTTCGGGCCGCATCTGCGCAGACTACAAATGTACCATAAACAAGGCCCTAACGGCCCATGCATACCCAGTGCCAGTGGTCAGCCATGTCTTTGCCACCCTGGCTGGGTCGAAAATTTTTGGCAAGCTGGACTTGGCCCAAGCATATCAACAGCTGCCAGTAGATTAGGCCACAGCAGAGGCACAGACGATTGTGACGCACAGAGGAGCGTTCAGGGTAAAGCGGCTGCAATTCGGTGTCAGTGTGGCACCAGGCATATTCCAGAACCTAATGGACTCTCTCCTTAAAGGGATTCCTGGCGTCACCCCCTTCTTCGATGATGTGTTGATTGCCGGGCCCACACCAGAGGAGTTTGAGGACCGCCTCCGCACCGTTCTGCACCGTTTCCAGACGGTGGGTCTCAAGGTGAAGTGGGAAAAATGTCTACTAGGAGTGTCTCAGGTGGACTTTCTGGGATTTATGGTGGACGCAGAAGGGGTCCACCCGACTGGGGACAAGGTACGGACCATTTGTGATGCCCCAGCGCCCAAGAGCAAGACTTAACTCCAGGCCTTCTTGGGACTATTGAACGTTTACCATTCCTTCCTTCCCCACAAGGCGGCGGTAGCGGAGCCCCTACACAGACTCCTGGACAAGCGGGCCCCTTGGGTGTGGGGCCAGCGCCAGGAGGCCGCATTCCAGGCAGTCAAGGACTTGCTTGTCTCAAACTCGGTCTTGGCACACTTCGACGAGAGGCTGCCGGTGGTGCTAGCATGCGACGCCTCGCCCTATGGCATTGGCGCTGTCCTGGGACACCAACTCCCGGATGGAAGAGAGGTACCGGTGGCATACTTTTCCCAGACACTCAACGCAACCGAGCGAAACTACTCGCAAATCAACAAGGAGGGTCTGGCAATCGTGAAGGGAGTAAAAAAATTCCATGATTTCTTGTACGGGCGGCCCTTCACCGTGGTGACTGACCACAAGCCGTTGCTTGGCTTGTTTGCCCCCGAAAAGCAGACCCCCCAAGTGCTATCTCCTCGCGTCCTCAGGTGGTCAATTTTCCTTGCCAGCTACCAGTACGCACTGATTCACCGCCCTGGGAAGGCGATGGGCCATGCGGAGGCCCTCAGCAGGCTACCACTACCGGAAACAGGCCCCGACCCAGCACCTGCACAAGAGGTTATGAGCCTGGAGCTGCTTCCCGACCTCCCCATTCAGGCACAAGAAGTTGACGCCATTCCAAGAAAGATAGGGTCATCTCCCGGGTCCTGGACTGGGTGTGGAGGGGATGGCCCAGCAGCAGCCCCGGGCCAGAATTCGCCGGCTACACAACCCGCAAGCATGAACTGTCGGCCCACAAGGGGTGCCTGTTATGGGGAAACAGGGTCGTTGTTCCCCAGTCCCTCCGCAAAAGGGTCCTCACAGCCCTACACGAGACACACCCAGGGGTAGTAAGAATGAAGGCCCTTGCCCTTGTGTGGTGGCTGGGGATCGACGGAGAGATAGAGGCCTGGGTCAAACACTGCCAGGCCTGCCAAGAATCCCACCCAGATCCCCCAAGGGCCCCAGTCCAGTCCTGGGAGTCCGCCCGAGCACCATGGTCACGCCTGCATGTGGACTTCGCTGGCCCCTTTCAGGGGAAAACATTCTTCATAGTGGTGGACTCCTACACCAAATGGCTGGAAGTCGCACTGGTACCGTCCACTTCTACGTCTGCAGCCATCCGGGTACTACGCAGGCTGTTTGCAACCCACGGGCTCCCTGACACTCTCGTCTCAGATAATGGGACCGCATTTACTTCAGGAGAATTCCAAACCTTCACAGCGCAGAACGCCATCCGCCACATCCGTTCGGCGCCATTCCACCCTGCCACCAATGGCCAAGCAGAACGCATGGTGCGGACCACCAAGGACACCCGTCGCTGCATGACGCAAGGGGATTGGGAGTACCGCCTTGCCACATTCCTTCTAGCACAGCACAGCACCCCCAGCTCAACGACTGGCTGGAGCTCCGCTGAACTACTAATGGGTTGGCGCCTTGCAATCAGATTGGACCGCCTTCACCCCGATAGAGCTCAGGATGAGGTAGTGGTGGGGGAAGGCAGGAACCCCCGGACCTTCGAGGCCCAGGACCCAGTGTACGCAAAGAATTTTGGGGCAGGCCCAGCATGGGTACCCGCCACAGTCACCAGGGTCACTGGCCCCGTGTCATACGAGGTGCTAACGGATTGGGGGCAATGCTGGCGCTGCCACTGCGACCAGATACGGCGACAATTCCCAGGAGACAACCAGGAGGAGGACAGGTTAGAGGAGTCCCAAGGGAACAGTGGGGCAGTGAGGCCCATAGAGCAGGAGGGGCCAGCAGGAGAGGCAGAATCAGTAAATACAGAGAGGATCCGCGAGGCCAAAAGGGCACCGGAACCAGAACCACGACTGAGCGAACCGGTTGCGCCAGACCAAACAGCCCCATCACAGCCAGCATCCTTGGAACACGAGCCAGAACCTGAACCCCAGACTAGGGAACACCCCAGGCCACAACGCATACGTAGGCCCCCGGCGTACCTTGAGGACTATGAATGCGACCTCCCGGGCAGGACTGGAACTTAGAGGGTAGGGGTGTTATGTACTGAGTTGAATAGGATCCAAAATGCAGCAGTCTGATTGGTCATAGAACAATAGGATTCAGAATGCAGCAGTCTGATTGGTCATAGAACAATGCAGCAGTATGATTGGTTGGCAGGAACCACCCAATCATGCTCCAGATAGAAGTGAATCCACAACCTGATTGGCTTACAGTAGAATTCCGGAATTAGCCAATCATGTGCAGCCCATTGTGTAAATAATGTATATAAAGCAGATACTTTGAGGGGACTTTCATTCATTCCTCCTCACCACTATGAGCTGAATAAAGAGCATGAAATCACTTTGTGACTCTGAGTATATTTCACATACCCCTAAACATTTGTGAATCTAAGTTTGGCCTCGTTGAGGGGCAGTATTTCAATATGAGTTGGAAAATGGGAGTATCCCTAAACATTTTTTTTAAAGAAAGAAAGCACTGGGTAAGGGGCATGTCTCCCCTAACATTTTGAGGGTATCAAAAGGTCACAATCCACAGTCGTCCATTAATGCTTTTTTGTGTGTGAACAGGGATGGAAATCCCTGTCTCCTAGATGAAAAGGTAAGGGCGCTGGGCTTAATTGCTGCGTCCAAGGACAGCCCCAGCAAGCTACCATGGTAAACTCTGGAATACCTTTGAATTAGGACATAATTGGCAAGTGAAGAGGCAACCCGCTAAAAAGATCCTGATTTATGCTGGAGGAAAAAATCATCGGTTTGGAAAGGCTTGAAAAGAATGAAAGATGCTAATTTCTGCTTTGCTTGAATGGTGTAAGGAGGGGAAAGGAAGTCAATGTTGTAAGTAATGGGGGTTTTTTGGGGGGGGTATGTGTTATCTACCCTCCCCTAAAGCAATGGAATGCAAAGTTTTTGGGAAGAGTGGACTTTAAAGATACCTCCTTGCGTTGCATTTATTTTATAACTAAGGACTAATGGATCTGAGGATTGGCAGGATGGACTGCAGGAAAATTAATTAGTTGGGGAGGAGGAGGATGGAGAGGAGATAGGGATTTTGTTGAGATTACACCAGCCTCCCTCTCTGAAGCTTGAAGTTGGAAATAAGAACAGTGAACGGGACAGGATGGACCACAGTGTGTTGTCGGCTTTTGAGAATTTCAGACAAAAAAGAAGAGATATGGATTGTCTTTCTTTATTAATGAACTTGTTGTGTGTCAAATTGAGGATAAAATATGGCGAAATGTGAAGGGTTGGTGACGCTGGGAAACTGGCAGCGTTAGAGGGGGAGAATGTCAATTATATAAACCAAAAAGTTTCTAGAGGTTTCGTTTTCACTCTCTGCATACTGCACTTGTGAGGCTGAGTTGTTGATTACTGGGGCCAGATGTCCGATAGCAATGTTCAAGGCCATGTTAAGGAGGAATATGTGTATGTCGTCAGTGAGGAAGCAAGGTCTGTTTTTTCCCCCAGGCAAAGTGTTACTCAAGATGTATCAGAAGGAAATGTTTGAAAATGGATGAATGGCTATTATAGATAGATAGAAGAGGATTTACTCTACTTGACTATTTTGAGGACATGTTATAACAATGTATAAAAGCTATAGCAGAAATTGGTAACTGAACAGGTGATGTGTAGGGAGAAGGGATGAATGAAATGATAGTTGGAAAAGTTATATTATTGAGAGCAGCAAATGAGGAAGGAAAATAGAGGGGACATATGGGGTGGGTAGAAAGACAACTTTTAAATTTATATTGAATTTGTATTAATTTTGTGACAATTTGTTAAAAATTATGGAATATCAATAAAAATAATTGGCAAAAGAGAAAGAATGGTGGGCGAAGTGATACAGAAGCTAAATATTTAGGGCAGGATGATTCTGTAGTTCTCTAGTAGAATGGGGAGTAAAGCTTACCTACAGCCACCCACCCACCCACCCGAAATAGACTACTGAATGTAACTGAAACGAATTACTTGGCTTATTAATATCCCAAGATTAATGGAAATGATACAAAATAGAATCATATAATTTACATGCAAAATGGAAAAATATAAAATTGAATGGATAGAAATTGATACAAAATGGGGTAAAGGATAATATTATTAATTAGGTAGTAGCTGGATATGACTGGCAAATGAATTTAAAAGTAGCATTGACAAAGCCACTAAAGTAAACGAAATAACTCCTATCTCCCTCCAGCCCATCTGGTTGTGAAATAATTCTAAGCATACTACAGCAATATTAGCCTGCCCTGGCCTCAGGAACTTTTGTGCCAAGTTTGAAAATTGGAAATATTTAAGGAAAATTATGGTCCACTTGAGAAATCATGCATCAAATATATGGTCCCCTTGTAAAACGAAAAATAGATACTGCATACTTTCCAACAAGGTACCTTGATGCCAGAAACAGGAACGTGCGTCTTCCCAGCCCTGATCCTCCACAAGTCAGATTATCTGTGTGGGATCACTGAGCCAGAAAACATGTGTTTTGGGGCAAAACTCACAAGATCGCAACCTCACACAAAATTACAATGCTCAAAAAAGCACATTTCTGGGCTCTCTGATTTTGCATCAGATCGCAATCTTGCACGTTTTGCCCCAAAATGTGTGTTTTCAGGCTCCATGGTCTCACATGAGGTCAGAACCTCACACATTGTTGGGTAGCATGCTGAAAGTACAGCATCAAAAAATTGAATGCCCTGCTTAGATTGGAACAGTTGATGGGTATGGATACTGTACTTGAATTGTCTTTGACAACATGGATTAAGACTAGTGCTCATTCTACAATTTGAGTTATGGTGGCTTTCAGACAACAAGAGAGAATGTAACCCATGATCTCAGACTCTTGAGAGGAGGCATCCAGTATATGGGCCCTCCCATATAAACAGATGGAAGAGAATCAAGCCTTGTGGCCACATTCTGAATGTCTTCTAATTTGGTTTCCAAATGTTTCAACTGAAACTGGGTTTGTGAATACAGGGTGATTTTTCATACCCTTTGATCTGCTTGGATGAAATACGGCCTAAGGCAGACCCAAATATTGTGCCTACATCGCAGGAATTTGCAGGTTCAGTTGCAATAAAATATTGCCATATCTTCCAACATTCCTCAGATGAAAATCGGGACATTTCTCACTCTCCCCAACTTACCTTCCTCAATCTCTTGTTTATTGCTCCCCACCCCCAAGCATTTCCCATCAGAAGAAAGGTGAATGCTACAGTCATTACACCAGTGGGACACACGTGTCCAGCAAAAACACCTTAATCCAGATTTTACAAAATGAGAAACATGCACCATTTATTATTATTTTTAGAAAGGGGCACCCCACTCCCCCTTTCTCCCACCTAGGGCAGCCCTGCCCTCTGCCTGCCTCTCAGAATGACCAATACAATACAATGAATGACCAATACAAATAAAATTGGGAAAAGAGGACATCCTTGTCTTGTACCTTGGGCTAGTGTTATTTATTCTGTTATTTGTTCTCCTCCTCCACTCTCCAGTAGCTGCTATGAGCTGCCCAAGGGAGGAAGCCAGCAGTGGCCATGGAGAGGCAACAGGGTGTTCCCTCACAGCCGCTGCCATTGCTGTTGCTTGGGAGAAGCGCCAGATCCTCCTCCTCCCCGATCTTGGTGGCAGTATCACTGGTGGGAGAAACAAGGACATTTCAGGATCAAATCAGAAGCCAAGATGGCTTCCAGAATTCTGGGAGTGACCCTGGAAAATTGGGACACTTGAAGGGTATGAGATATGCTATTAAGACAAATGGGTTACAAGGCCTGGAAGCTTGCCCAGTGCTTGGTCAACCCAGGATCAGTTTGCCCAGTGCTTGGTCAACCAGTAGAAGCAGTTTGGAAAGGTCCATTGGGATTACATTGTTTGCAATGGGGATAGGATTGATCTGAATATTTTGCAAAATGCAACGAGCACTTTGTTAGGTATCAGGCTGAATGTACTCTGTATAATTTAAGACCAATCCCGCTTCCAGAACTGGGCTTTTGGCAATATAGTCATAAGTGAGGCTGGGCACCAGTGGCTCGAAGACCCTGGATCCGGTAATTTATTTCATTTTCATGGTGTTCATTCTTTGATTTTTACCTTTATCTTCACCTTGTAAAATGTGTTCATTTGAAAGCTTTCAGGTTGTTTGTATTTTGATGCAGACTTTCTGATGCTAAATGTTTCAGAGAGTAGTTATGTTCTTTTGTGTTGCTCAATGAATATGGATGAGACAATTTGATCCAATAGGTTGTGCTATCTATGTTAGACCTTAGCCTAACAGGTTATCAGGGCTGTTAATCCCAGGCCCTGCTGGACCTCCATATGCATCACAACCAGCAGTTAAGGTGTATTTTATGCACACAGTAGATGAGCCATGGTGGATCAATATGGATTATGCTATGCCAGTCTGTGTCTTTCCTGTGGAAGCTGCTTGGATCTGTGAACACTTTTGCTGCTTCTGATAAAAAGCTCATGAAGAGCTTGGCAGTGCAGCTTGATTAGCGTGGTGGGAAAGCGTACATGTAACCCAAACAACGTGGGGGCATAACGCTTCTTGCAAGCCAACTCTGCAAGTTTCACAAAGGTTATTGCGTGGGGGGACTGCTTATACAACCAGGTTGCCCTTAGCTCATTCATATGGGTTTTATGTTGGTCCACCCCTATGAATAGAGCAACTGGTGGGAAGGTCCAACCCTCCTGCTCCGCCTGCTCAACAATTAAAAAGCAACCCAGCTCTTGCGCTCTTCCTTTAACTTTTTTGGAGCGAAGGAGGTGACATCGCTGTATTTTTCTTTCTTCTTGCTGATATCTGCCTTGCTTTGTGTCTGTTGCCTGTGGTAAGGACAGGGCCTGTTCTACGTTCGGTAAGTGAATTTTTACTGCTCTAATATGCTAGGAACTTCAAATTATTTCACAACTAGATTTGCTGCAGGTGTAGGAGTTGCATTATTTACTTTGAATGCTACTTTTTTACCCATATGCCAATCATATACATTGTTTCCATTTTCTATATGAATTTTGTATCATTCATAATTCTATTTAATAGCATTTACAATTTTCATTTCAATTTTTTTATTTCATTTATTTTCATTTCATTTCATTTCTATTAAGCTTTGTATATCAAGTAATATGTAATGTGTTTCAGTTACATTCAGTTGTCAGTGAGGATTTTTAAAACTGTGTTACCGGTAGCTTTACCGAGTTTCACTTGGCTACTTCATAGCAAAATTGAACTTATTGGGATCCAATAAAAATTGGAGCATTGGGCAGGATTTGGCATGGTGTTTACCGAGCTTGATTGTATCACCATATTGGCAGTTTCTTATCTTGATAACAAGTCTTGAGTCCCGGTTTTCTCCATGCACACCCCCCCCCCCCAGCGAATCTGTCTCCTCTCTATAGTAGTTCCAGGGGAGTCTTGCCAGTAGACCACATGCTGTGGTGTGGATCTTTGAACCATTCCCAATCATGCTAACTGTTGATGGCTAGAGAAACTCCTATATGAGAAAAGGTTGTATTTAGGGCTTTTTAGTTCAGAAAAAAGGTAAAGGTTCATAAAATTGTGTACTGTGTGAGAAAGTAGGAATTCCCCCCCCCCCCCGATATTTTCCATTGGTGGGATATTAAGGACAAAGTACTTATTCAATACAAATCAGATTTTTGAAAGTATTATATAGCATTTTTTATTAATAGAAATGATACAAAATATCACAAACATGATCCATTCACACTTGAATTCAAATCTGTTATCAATAAAATGGAAGAGTGGAAGAGAATATATTTGCTATAATAGCAATAATAATTTATTATTTATACCCCGCCCATCTGGCTGAGTTACCCCAGCCACTCTGGGCGGCTTCCAATCAAGTGTTAAAAACAATACAGCATTTGCTATGTGTTGAAATGGATATTAATAGCACAAACAAGTGGGGTGCAGGGTTCTGTCTTGTTCAACGTCTTTATGGAGCTACTTGGATGAAGGAGTTGAAGGGATGCTCATCCCATTTTGAAATCATCAGCAAGTTTTATGAGAATTCTTTCATCCAGGTAGTTCATGGCACCTTCTAGAAAAATAGCACTGGTACTGCTCTATTGTGTCTTGGTCTTCTGTGTCTAGTTCTGTGTGCTGCAATTTAAGGATACAGACAAGCTGGAATATGTGCAGGAGCGGATGATCAAGGATCTGGAAACCAAACCTTTTGGGGAATGGTTGAATTGGAAATGTTTAGCCTGGATAAGTTGAGACTGAGAGGATATACGATAGCCATCCTCAAATGTCTAAAGGGCTTTCACATGGAAGATGGCGCAAGCTTTGTTTTCTCCTGCTCCTGTCCAATGGACTCTTGATTAAACATTAGGAAGAACTTTATGATGGCAAAAGCTTTCAGAAGTTGGTATGAGTCTCCTTCATTAGAGGTTTATAAGCAGAGTTTGGATGGCCATCTATCACAGTTGCTTTCCTTGAAATTCCTGCATAGCAGCGGTTGGACTAGATGACCCTTGGGGTTCCTCCCAACTTTATTATTTGATCTCAGTGAACGTAATTAGTGTGTCGAGGATTATAGCCTAAAATACTCTGGGTTCAGGGTGATTAGCTGTTTCCTATTTTCAAATGGGAAACTCTCCAGTAGAGCAACAGCGCCATCTTATGCGTCCGAAGCCCAGCTGAATATTCAGCGAGGCTTGGGGTGCGATCCAAAGGCTTGCCGACTTAAAAATGCAAGCCCACTGGGTTCCACAAGGCTTACTCCAAAGTAGTCCTTGGTTAGGATGGCAGCCGCGACCCCTTTGCCAACCGCTGGGGGACAAAAGATTCCTTAAAGGGCTGGCCAGATACAACCGCGGCGACGTTTAAAAACGAGTTGGGGGAGCAAGAATCACGACTTGTACATGAGAAAAAGCGAACGGTAGAGAAACTCAGTTGTGTGTTTTTTGTGGGGAGGGGGACACCTGCCATGTCTTTTATTGCCTCTTTGAAATAACCATTCGACGCGTTTTGAGGTACCAAACTCAGTTATCGTTTATTGTAACGGTGCTGAAATGACCTGTTAAGTTCCCGTGTTTTTTTTGACTGGGGCGGGTTTCGAGAGCAGAACTCCTGCCGTACCCACCCACCCCCCAACCCAAAAAATCAGGTCGGTTATTTTCCATCATTTATTTTTCTGGGGTATCGTCAAGACCACATCACCTCTCCTTTCTGGTCAGCGATGCCGTGAAGCGACGGACCACCGAGCGCTCGCGTATCTTCGGTGGTCGCGATCCTCCCCCCTCCCCAGTCACTGCAGTCAATCCAGGGCGCCTCTCGACTGGCTTTTGTTTTGCTTTGGCTCCCCCCTCCGCGCGCGACAACTAATGGCAAGGAAAGTACTGGCATATAGAAAGCCTCATTCGCTTTTGCTACGCATGCTCTGGACATCGGCGGCGGCGGCAGGGTCTCAAAAGATGAGAGAGATGGGGGGGTTAAACAAGATGAGGGGGGCGCGCAAGTGCGCGTGGTTGATGCTTGCGCCTGGGTGACGTGTGTTCCAGCAACGGCTGGTCGCGAGACTGCTGGTGGTTGCGTGGGGGGGGGGGGGGGCGAGGGTGAAGAGAGAAAGGGAGGGGGAGTGAGTTTGCGAGTGAGCAGGCCGCGCGCGCTCCCGCCCGCCTGCCGTTTCCTAGCCCTAGCCTGTGATTGGTGCAGGCCTCGGACCTGGCGGACCCCGAATGCCAGGCCCCGAAAAGCGACAGCCGAGGCGGCCGGGTCCTCGGGCCTGCACTCCCCACCCGCTCGGGCCCGAGCCCGCCAAGCGAAGGTGAGGAGGAGAGCGGCGGCGGTGTGGGGGGAAGCGGGGAAGGGGATGTGCGCTCAGCCGCGACAAGGGAATTGAGCACAAATTCGATTTTATTTTTTAAAAAACGGGGAGGCGGCGGGGGAGGAGGCGCCAGGCCGCATAGGCCCCGGAGCAGGCCGCGCCCCGAGGCCTACAGGGCCGCTCATCTAAACAACCGCCTTTTTTTTTATTTAAAAAACCGAACGAAGCAAAAATACGAAGCGTATGAACCGGCTCGCGCCTCACAACCAGGCGGCCGCGAGCGAGCGCTCGGGCTTCTCCCCCTCCGCATACTGCTCGGCCAGGGCTGTGGCCAGGCCCGAAGGCGGCCAGAAAATGGCGGAAAATAAAATGGCGCCCGTTGCAGCAGAGAAGCGCAGCTCGGCAGAGGCCCTCGTCTCCCTTCACCTTACAGAAGCTCTTTAAAACACGCGCGTCCACACACACACACACACATGCCCGCCCGCCCGCTAACTGACACCCAGCGGCTGTAGCAATCAGACAAACCGTCCTCCCTCTTGCGCCTCAGAGTGCCGCGGGACGTAGAAGCACGACAGAAAAGGGGGGGGGGAGAGAAGAAAGCGGCGGCAGTCCGGTGAAGACGAGGCCCGGCGATGCGGGGAAAGCGTTGCTTTCCCACCTCGCAACTCCTGCTAGGGGAGCTGTCCCTGGTGGAAGCCGCCTCCCGCCTTCCCCGAGAGAGTCTTTTGTCTCCCACAGCCGACGGGCCCCCTCGCTACCGTGCTTCCTCTCGGGCCCCGCGCTAGGCACCGCTGGCTCCCTGCCCTCCCTCGGCCGCGCAACACCGCCCCGGGGAAGGATGGGTACAACCCCACCCCCTTTTGCCCGACTCGGGCTCCAAAGCGCCGCTTTATTGTTTGCTCATCACGGGCGCTGATTGGAAGCGAGAGGAAGAGGAGGGTTGTGTGTGTGTGTGTTTTTGTGTGTGTTTGTATATAGTATGCGCGTCTCCGCCCCATGCACGCGCATTTCCCCAGCTGTCTGTTCCGCGCTGAGGAATAGCAAGCTAGAAGCCTTATAGAAATGAAGCATATAAATTTAGGTAGCAAAGCAACGCGCCTTGGTCTCGAACATGTGTTTTTGATTCTCATAAGCAGTCCGATCTCCTCTGCATGTTTACTTTTAAGTTCAGTTGGAACTCACTCGCCCGTGTGCTTTAGTTTTGCAGAGCTTAGCCTGTTCGGGTTTACTGGGAAATGATTCAGAAAAAATCCCAACCCAATCTTTGACTTCCTTAAGATGCTGCAGATTTATGCTATAAACTTCAATGGCCTAGAGCCTACTTCATCGGATGCATATGATTAAAAACATCTGATCTTGTGCACGGCTGCAACAGACTTTTTTGCTGTGGGAAGTAAGTGCAGCTGACATTCAGTAGGGCTGTAGACCTAGATTTCTTACTGCAAGCAAGCATAGTTTATTTTTTACTTGGGGAAGTATAATTTTGCATCCACAGTCTTCATTGGGTAGGTCAAGTCCTTTTCCATATGTCCTGGACATTTCCATTTATATTTAATTGTACAAAATGCCTGGTTGTACAAAATAATTGTACAACATTTAGGTGTTTCTTTATTAGCATCTGTAATTCCACACTTTAAAAAGAAATAAACAACTATCTGATGTTTAGAAGACATCTGAAGGCAGCCCTGTATTTAACGACTGATGTTTTAATGTATTTTTTATCTCTTATTGGAAGATTGGAAGCTGCCCAGAGAGGCTGGGGAAACCCCGCCAGATGGGCGGGGTATAAGTAATAAATTATTATTATTATTATCATTATTATTATTATTAGTGCCTAATGTCAGCTCTGTTGACTTGGTCCTGCTTAGCTCATCTGCTGTGCTGGTTGGGAGAGTGGCGGGCGAGACAATTGCAGCTGCAGCAGCCACTTAAAAAAAACAACTACTACCTGCAAACATTTGCTGCCTAACAGCTGAGTGACTCAGAGTTACTGCTGTTGACAGGGATTTGGTCTTGCCCAGGAGGGACTCTATATGCATCGCAAAAAGATGGATCCCTCATGAGTGGAATGCTTGCAGTGCTATTTATTACCCACCCTGCAATTTCAGTACCCAGATGTGGCCCTTTAACAGAAAGATTTGCCTCCCCTTGCTGTGCACATTTCTTAGGAGCAAGCCCCCATTGAACCAGGGCTAGCTCCAGGTTTTTCTGAGCCTTGTGAATATGACTTTTGGTGGGTCTCCTGTCACTGTCATACACTCTTCTCACATATAAAAATGAAGCAACACATTCACTTTCTCACACAGAGGGAACACTTCCTGATCTGCTAGATTGGGTACTCCTCCGAGGTGGCACTCCTTTTCATACAGTACTGAACAAGGCTATTCAGGTCCTGCTAAGTTAATTTTACCTGTAAACATGCATTGTTGGAAGATAAGGGGAAATTATATTTTGTGTGCATGGTCAGAAGGTTAAGGTATAAATAAATATGTCATAAGCCCCTGAAATCACATAGGTGGTATCTTCCATTCCCCCAAGTTACTCCTTGGGATGTGGGCAACAAATGGAAGCCTTAATTATTCAACTATAAGGCAGGTTGCTACTTACTGCTCCACAAGGTTAGAGCATGGTTAGTAAAACGTAAGAGGAAAGCCCTGTTGACTGGACCATCTCGGGGCCATCCTTTTTCTCACACTGGCCCACCGTGACTAAAGGATGATTAGAAAGGAAGGGTAGGGCAATCAGGAAGATTCCAGTTTGTCTCATTCAGACACTGTGGGATTCTGGTGAACATAGGCACAAGTGTTAACAATGCTGAGGGATATACCATGCGTTGATTCATACCTGTGTGAGGTGCTACATATTCCTTTTTTATGTAATAATACATTTTATTCAATTTTAAAAGCTTAAACACATTAACCTCAAATTCAAGATATGTTTCTTTTGCAAAACGAACAAGGTGACTTCCCACCCTTACCTCTGTGCTGTTTTTATTACCACCCATATTCTGTTGTATTATATGTCAAACTATATCTAATACATGTTTCCTTTGTTACATTTATTGTCATTCTCAATCCACTGCTCATAGTTCAAATCCTGTCCATAATTTTGAGTATAGTTTTTTCTCAAATACTGCGAAAAGGGTTTCCATTCTTCAATAAAAAGTTGGTCACTTTGGTCTCTCACTCTCAACTTCACCAGTTCTGCATAGTCCTTTAGGTTTGCAACCCATTCCTCTTTGGTTGGGACTTTTTCTTCCTTCCAATTGTGCACGTATAGGATTCTGGCAGCTGTCATTGTGCAGGTATGTTTATGGACAGAGAACCTGAAATGGTCTTTGTTATGTGGTGGTAAAATTATTGCTGCAGCCTTGTCCCAGTGGCTTTACACACCTGTTGCATGACTCTTTACTATTTCACACTCTATAAATGTGCAAAAACTGCAACAAAAATCGTTATCTGTCAAAGCACAAAATAAATGCATTCATTATTTTATCTCCCCTGCCCTACCAGGAGAGGCTGAGGAGTCATGCTGATATTTGCTCTTGGTCTAGTAAGAAGAAGATGCACACATGCACTTGCTAAATATGTGTGCACTGAATTCTGTATGAAACACATTCTAAGATAGTTATGTTACTACAAGTAGTAATTTCTATTCACTTTCTTTTCTCAGTTTGTGAGCATAGAAGATTATGGATCCAGGTGGTGGAAGTCTTGGGTTGCAGACACAGGAGTCCAAAATGCCTCACACTATGATTATGCAGGATTTTGGTAAAACAACAACAAACTTTTATTTTTAACTTGACTGTTTACTAATCACCTGCTGTATATTATGAATGAATAACGAATGGCATGGGTGCAAAACATGGCATAGATAGTAGGAGAGGAGCCTGAGAGTCGCTGTACCACAGTGGGTGGCTGACACTTTTGGCTACCTCTTCTGCGTAGCAGTATTGCTGGCTTGCTGCCTTAGTAGACCAGAGGCATGGGGAATGTGTATGGACTGCAGTATACACAATTGTTTATAAAATTCTTGTATTTAATTTTTGAAATAATGGAATCCGCAATATTAGATGGCAGTGGAGAGTTAAAATTATTTTTTAATTAGTTGTATTCCATAAACTAGGAAACCAATTCTATAACTAGATCTGCCAAGATGAGTGGGTTAGGATCCATCAAATCTTCAGCTCATCCAGGAGATTCCAGCACAGCTAGGTTATGCTGGTTTAACTCTCTCATTCATTGCACACCAGTTTATCTCCCCCATCGCAGCTCAGCTGTAACTCAACTGACTCATTTGAGCCCAGTGGATCTTAAGCTGGCATAAGTCTTGTAAAAATAACATGGTGTGTGCAGAATTAGAGAGACTTAGGCTGGATCGTAACCTGTTCAGCTCAGTCATGTAATCTGGTATAAGTCAAGCTAGCAAAAAAGGTACTATATCTCAAAAAAAAAATTAAAAAAAATTGTAAGGCTTGTTTTCTCTCTGCCAGACTTAGGGCAGTAACTGTGCTCCTGAATAGCATTTGAATCTGGTGTAACTTTCTGGTGTAAGCCAGTTAACTTATATTGGCTTGCTTTACACCAGCTTCTTGTGTATAGAATTGCTCTATAACAACCTAAGCATGTATACTCAGAAGTAAGTTCTTTGAATGTACTGATTTTTAATCTCTAGTAGGTGTGTTGTACTATAGCACAAATACTTGCCAAAGTTGATCATTATATGCATAATGATATAATTGAACAACTTAATTGAATTCCTTAAGCATTGGGTGATATCTAGGATAGCACAAGAGGGTGCCTGCTCCTGTAGTGGGATTTCTCTTTTGTCTCCTCACCCTGCGGTCTTCATGTGCACCTAAAATATGATCCAGAGGGTTGGATGACTCTTTGGAGCAGATCTTGGGGGCTGGAGAATAGAAACCAAAAACTTCATTGTGGTAGTGGAGTTTTGTTGCACAAGCAAGAGGACATTATTGAATGTCACCATTTTTTCTGAATATGGTTATCAAATATTTCCAGCAAAACCTCCCCTTCCCTTCAGAAGACCAGACTTCACATGAGCTATCCTACCTATGGGATAGCTTCACATGAGCTATCCTACCTATGTCACCTATCCTACCTATGGGGAGGATAGCTCAATTACAGAACACTCTCCTAATATGCCCTCCTTAAACTAAAATTAAATGTAATGAAAGGTAGGAGAGTAGTTTGTCTGACTGCATTCATTCTATGTATTTCTTAGATGCATAGTATTGTTCTACAGCAATATAACTATTAATACTTTATCTCATTTACATTTGTTTCATAGTGGCTGGAATGGCTGGTACTGCTCACATTGATGGAGATCATATTGTTGTGTCAGTTCCTGAAGCTGTACTCGTTTCCGATGTTGTCACAGATGATGGAATAACTCTTGATCATGGCTTAGCGGCTGAAGTTGTCCAAGGACCTGATATCATAACCGAAACCGATGTTGTCACAGAAGGGGTGATAGTTCCTGAATCTGTATTGGAGGCTGATGTAGCTATTGAAGAAGCACTAGATACCAGTGATCATGTTTTGACTTCAGATCTAATTACAGAAACTGTTAGAGTTCCTGATCAGGTTTTTGTGGCTGATCTTGTTACGGGCCCTGATGGTCATTTGGAACATGTGGTACAAGATTCTGTGTCAGGAGCAGATTCTCCCACAATGGTTTCAGAAGAGGTTCTTGTAACCAATTCAGATACAGAAACTGTGATTCAGGCAGCTGGCACTGTTCCTGGTTCTACAGTTACTATAAAGACTGAAGATGATGATGATGGCAAGAGCACATCTGAAGACTACTTAATGATATCTTGTAAGTTAAGGTTTATATGACATTTGAGTCTGTTCAGACTAGAAGTGATCCAGTGATGAGAGGTTATGAAGCATAATTGGTTGTTAGTTTGAATATAATTTTCCCAATAAAATTTTGGAAGAAATAGCATTACAACCGTAAAATACTCAATACTGCTTAAAAATGGTTTCTAGTTAGTAGCGGTAGGTGGCTAGTGTACATAAATCTTTATCCAATTGTACCCCTCTGCTTAAAGAATACTGTTGGATTGAGAAGAGGCTTCCGTGAGCCAAAATGGAAATTTCTGCAAATTCCCCTTTCTCCTGCAATTATTCACACTTCCTACTTCACTTCCAAAGGGTTCACCAGCTCTCTTGAGCAGATTTTGGAGGAGTTGCAGAGGAAAGAGAATTTGAGAAAATAAATTCTACCTTCCCTTTCTGCTAACAGAAACCTCTTAGATCAAAGAGCCTTCTATCAGCAGAAGAACACGATAGGATAGAATACAGCTCACAGTGAGATTTTGTTTTCACAGTTAAAGAGGTTTATGGGAACAGTACAACATTCTAATATATATATATTCTTGGAACCATGGCTGGGAGGACTTGACAATTCTTATGAAAGACTCTTCAAAAACAAAACAAAAAACTTCCATAGCAGTGCACATACAACACTTCAATTCTTTGCATTCTTTAGAACACATTTCCAAATGGAATACTTCCATGTTAAATAAGTAGACATTTTTAAAGGTTAATTTGAAAAAAACAACAACAAAAAACTAATTTTATAATGGGCAGTTATGGGAATTAGTGGCAATACAATCGTACCTTGGATCCCGAACGCCTTGCAAGTCTAACGTTTTGGCTCCCAAATGCCGCAAACCTGGAAGTGAGTCTTCCAGTTTGCGAACATTATTTGGAACCTGAACGTCTGACGGGGCTTCCGCGGCTTCTGATTGGCTACAGGAGCTTCCTGCAGCCAATCGGAAGCCATGCTTTGGTTTGTGAACGTTTTGGAAGTCGAACGGACTTCCGGAACAGATTCCGTTTGACTTCCAAGGTACATGAATTGAAGATCGGATAGTAAGAACAACAGACTTGTGGCATCTTTAAAGACTTACAAAATTACCATGACATGAGCTTCTGTGGATTATGACCCACTTCATCAGATGCATGCAGGGTTTTCTGAGCTAGAAAGATGTTTGTTTGTGTTGCCGTTAAGGTGCCACCAAGACTCCTTTGTTGATTTTGCTGAGGGAAACTAACATGGTATGACAACTGTTACAAGGAAGACATCAGTCTGTGTAAGCTAAAAAAAACCCCACACAAATAATGAAATATCTCTTTGTTTTTGTTTTTTATGTTTGTGATGTTCAAACACCCACAGTGGATTGCTAGCTCTTGATCCATATGATAGCCCTGCCTGCACAGTACTGGTAATCCTATGCTACCCATTGCAGCTGTTCTTTAGGGGTAACATAATATTCCACTACCAGCTTCTTTCAAAAATCTGTTATTTTATTTAAAGCAATTTCTAAACAACTTAAAATTGAAAGTCTCTAAGTGGTATACAAAAATGCAGACATGAAAACAGTAAAAACAAAAAGTAACATAAAAACCACAAAAAAACCTAGTAATAACAGGGTCCAATCTTATTCTTATTGCTTACTACAGTATAGTAGGTTGACAACTTTTTCGTGGTATCACGCCACTTCTCTTAGCAAGGATTCCACCACCAGTAATGTCATCACGGCAATCTGGAATGGTAGTGGAGTTTCTTACAAGCAATGTTTAGATTCACATTGTGGGTCATGCTGTAGACCACATGTTCAGAAATTATTATTTGAGCCATAATATGGGTGGCTAAGCCACATCTCGTATGCTGGCCAAAAGTTACCTAGTCCTGCAATATGGTGCTGCATAGTTTGCTAAAATTAAGAATACATTCCTCTATTGAGATAGAACCTAGGTAAAGCAAATTTAAACTTATTTAATAAAAGCACAACTGTAAAACTACGTCTCATGGACTTCTGTGCTTGGTGTGACATCACCAGCATAGTGTATGCTGAGACATCATATGAATTGAGAGCTGGCAATCTACAGTGAATCTGAACATCTCACATCTGGAAACAGCTGAAAAGGTAAGTTAGAGGTGGCAAATATTACCCTTTTTCTTCTTTGGTAAACAGGCTTTTCTGCAGAATTTCTCTTGCAAACAATCCCTTCACACTTATTTGTGCTGAGAGCAACAACATAACTGGAATTTACAGAATTTATTCAGTTTCTTCCACTAATGGGTTTACTATGTGGACCAGACCAGAAAGTAATAGTCCTGCAGCTATTACTTTAAAATGAAAATTTTGGTGAGGAGAGTTGTGGGATTATTAATGCATGAAACTGAAATTTCTTCATTTAGTTCATATCTATATAATTATGATGATGTCTGTGCAAATCTTGTTACACCTGGGTATATTTTGTTGAGAAAGAAGCATGGGTTGAAGGAGGAATCCAAAGTGTGCATATTGAATGGAATTGACATAAGTAATTAACTTAGATGTCAAGCTATGGTTGATCGATACAGTACATTTCTATAGTGTCTGAAGTATTACACACACACACACAAAAATATGGTAGCATCCCTTAAAATACCTTGCAAGAGTTGAAAAATGTGAGCACGTTTGCAACATTTTTATTTGGCCCCTTGTTTCCAATATTTTAAGCACCTAACATGTCTCGGTAACAAGGGCTTTAAAAAATGGAAAAACAACAACAGTGTGATAATGTTTTGTAACCACTTGTAAGGTCTACCCGAAAAGCAATATATAAACACCTTAAATAAATAAATAAATAAAAATAACACAGAACGTTGATAACCACTTCAGAAACAGTATGCTATTTATGACTTCCTGTGATTCCAGCTGAAAAGCTTTCTTTTCAAGCAGCTGTTTTCAGTAGAGTTTAACAATGTAATATCTACTTAGAAGTAATCCTGTCTGAGTTCAGTCAGGCTTACTTTCCGGTAAGTGTATGGCTGTATCCTAAATGTCTCCTCTGTTTGCATCCAACTAAATCCATGTCACTGTTCCACATTTTTAAGGCAGTATGTGTGGGAAAGAAATGTTAGTACAGTGGTACCTTGGTTTACGAACTTAATCTGTTCTGGAAGTCTGTTCTTAAACCGAAACCATTCTTAAACTGAGGCGTGCTTTCCCTAATGAGGCCTCCCGCAGCTGGTGCCCTTCCACTGTTTGGATTCCGTTCTTAGACCGAGGTAAAGTTTGCTAACCGGGATACTACTTCCGGTTTTGCCGAGTTCGTAAACCAAATCGTTCTTAAACAGGACTGTTCTTAAACCAAGGTACCACTGCACTCCCTACTGCTTGAACCACCTGAACAGGGAAGAGTGTTTTGTCTGCAACACTAGACATTCTAAAAGCAGAAATTACTATATTCAATTAAAATATCCTACGTTGCAGACATTTTGTGACTGGATGCAAACTTTATTATGTTTAAAGGACTTTGTTAAGCAGGTGTTAATTTGTTGTGTGGTACACAGCTTTGAACCATGGATGATCATTTCAAGATACTACTTCATTATTATATTGCCTGTTGTAATGCTGCTGCCTTTCAGGCAAGACTTAACAATTTTAAACAAAAGTGTTTGGGAGAGAAAGAAAGGTAAGTTATGTGTTTTTTAATGTGTTACAATAATGCTGGTACTAATGTTTTACCTGAAGGTACTATTTTTGTGATAAAAATATTTTTCCTGGCTTCCCCCCACCTGCCACGCCATATAGTTACTATTTGATAGAATACATTTATATAGGATAAATGGGCAAGAAATGGTGAAGAATATAATTACACTTGACCACTGGAATACTTCAGTTCTTATCATCAACTCAGTGACTTAATGTCTAATCTCATCTCATGCATAAGTCATGCACTGAAAGTTACAGAGGAGAATTTTTTTTTTTAGGAATTCAGCAACCTCATTCACCATATTATGGCTTGCTAGGACTGCAAACCTGCTTGTTTCAAGAGAGGAACTTGTACCTCCTTTGCTTCTCCTCGGTCCTTTCAGCATAGAGTGGTATCTAAGCCAGTGTTTCATTTAGTATGTCATCAGAACCAGGGATTGTGGTTAAAGTCTCTCCTTGTTAGCACCTTTGTCATATGTGATCCTCGAATGAAGGGTGGTATAGAATTTTTTAAAATAATAATAATAATATGAAAGCCATACAACATGCTAATTACCTCTTTTTTTGGTTGTATTGTTATATTTTGTATTTTACTTTTGGGGAGTATTTCCTTTTCTGAAAACCAATAAAAGTTTTTCTTTTTTTTTAAAAAAAGATCTCTCCTCTTTAACTACAATACACACCTGTAAAACAACCTTGGTGGATAAAGAGGAGATACCTTCACCTCTCTGGTTTGGATGACATGCAAACCACTGGTTTCCAACATTTTGGCCTGAAGGAACATTTGGAATTTTAAGAAGGTGCTAAGGGCACCAGTCAGAAAA